TGCCGATGATGGGCATCTGCTGCTTCAAGCCGCACAGGGTTCAGGGGGCCCAGCAGAATCTATGGTGGCAAGCACAGAGAACTGGTCCAGTGCTGGGACAAGCAGAGCAGCAAAATGCAGATCCTCTGATGGAAATTTGGTGACATTTTTTGATACTGCTTCGGCTGAGGCACTGGATGATGCTGTTGCAGAGTTCTTCTTTGCCGAGAACATCTCCTTCAACACAATCCAAAGAGACAACTTGAAGAGAATGCTGAAAGTTGCCGCAAAAGTGGGGCGTCCAGCGATTGACAACCTCATGGGATATGAGAAGTTGCGGACAACTGAGCTACAGCGAATCTACAACAACGTTCAGAAGTGGCTTGAAGATGTGCGGCTAAGTTGGAGGACATATGGTTGTACCATTGTCACGGATGGCTGGTCTGATATCAAGAAGCGGTCTTTTATCAACTTCATGGTCAGTTCTGTGAGAGGCTCAATTTTCCTGAAGGTTGTGGACAGCAAGAACACGAAAAAAACCGGAGCATGGTTGTTTGAGCAGCTGAAACAAGTGATTGCTGAGGTTGGCACGGAAAACGTTGTGCAGGTGGTGATGAAACAAGTGATTGCTGAGGTTGGCACGGAAAACGTTGTGCAGGTGGTGATGGACAATGCAAGCAACTGTGTGGTCATGGGGGAGCTTTTGCAGCAGGAGTTTCCACAGATTGTACACGTTCACTGCGTTTGCCACATTATGGACTTGCTGTTCGAAGATATTGGAGCTCTGTCTTGGGTGCAGCCTTTCGTCGATGGCTGTGCGAAGACAGTTACCTTCATCACCTCAAAACCATGGGTTCTAACTCTTTATAGAACTTTCTGCAAACGCGACCTGATAAAGCCTGTGACCACGAGGTTTGCTTATATTTTTCTCGTGATGTCTCAGCTTCTGGAGACCACGAATCTCTCTGGGCTTCGAAGAATGGTGGTGAGCCAAGAATGAGAGCGACTTGACTGGTCTAAGAAACCGGAGGGCCTGGAGCTGCAATCTCGTGTTCTCAATGACTCGTTCTGGGAGCGGTGCGAGAATTTGTTAATTTTGCTCGGACCTTTACTTCGAGTTCTTCAGCTCGCTGATCGGGAGGGGGCGACTTCAAGCCTCATCTTTGAAGCTGTTGATCGGCTGATCGAGACGATGGATGAGGGAGCTCGAAACGGAATTTATGCACATGAGGAAGTGGGACAAATCAAGGATTTCCTACTTGAATCACATGGTCTGAAGGAGGCAAGGTGGTATCAAATGCACAACATCATTCATGGAGCTGCTTTTGCTCTTCATCCTCTGTTTCTGGGGGATAACCCGGAGAACAACAAGCTGGACAATGAGGCACGCGGGAACTGGCTGGAGTACATGCATGTTTATAGTGGAGGTGATCTGGACTTGCAGTTGAGATTGCAGGCACAGTTTGAGAGGTTTCGGCACAGCTTGGACAGCAAATAAGGTTACCTGTTGCCAAAGATCGGGAGACTAGAAAGTTTCTAGTAACCTGGTGGAGTTCTTTTGGTTTAGAGATGCCTAATCTATGTCGCATGGCTCTCCGGATTTTAAGCCAAGTTGTTTGCGCTTTTCCATGCAAGAGGAATTAGAGCTCATGGAGCTTGATACAAACAAAGCATAGGTCCCACTTGCTTCCCACAAATGCTGAGAAGCTGGTTTACATTCACACAAACTTGCGGGTTGCTCAAAAGCTGGAGAGTGAAGGTTTGAGGATGCTAGAGATTGATATAGACAAGCTAGAGTTGGAGCCTCATTGGAAGAGGATTTTGGATTTACAAGAAGCTTTTGAGGAACCAAATCAAGCTGTTGAGGAGTTTAGTATTGATATAGGATGGAAGATGATTCGGAATCGGAAGACGACTAAAATGGCTTCTTCTTTCATTTGTTTTAGTATTTTATTTGGTTAGGTTTTATAAACTTAATATCAGATTAAAGTGTCTTCAGTAAATATTAGTGTTTTCTTAATCATTTTAGGCTTTAACATGTAAATGTTGGATTGTCCTGAAAAAAACGTTTTAAACGGCATTTAAACGTCAACACATTTTAACGTTAGCTGCAACTATGCTAGTGATTGATCGATCGCCTGGAAATACTTCTTCCACTGATCCGGTCCCGCAAGAAGATCACGATTTCATAGCTCGGCATCCGACATGGCTGCCTCCGATTCACGGCTTGAGCAAAGCAGTGCCGGATTGTGACCGAGCAGCGTCATCGTCTTTGTCTGCCACATTGATTGCCGCACTGGATCAACTGGCCCGAGCGATTCCCGATTCCCGGGCAACCAAGAACTGGAAGAGGGCTTACACTGCAATCAAGAGGCTCATGGTAACTTTACTTCCTTCAACTTTGGAGAGTTCTTATGTTCTGTTTCTAGAATATAAGAAGAACGACGAGGCAGAGTGCTGTCGGGACTGGAGCTTGGAATTTGGAGCCTCTACAGCCCGTCACGCTTATACATTTCGGGCTTCTCTACAATCAGTACGTGGATAGAAGTTTACCATCCTTCCTGCTATGGTGGCAGGAGAGCCGAGTATATTCTTGTGTTTCTCATATGCTCCCATATGGCAGTGCTTGTCTTTGAAGCAATGGCGGGGTCTAGGCATGAACGATGGACACATGTGTGGAGTTTCAACATTGATTGCCTGGACGGGCTCATCACAGCGCTTTATACGTAATCGTTGTTTCCCTCTTCGAGGTTTCCCCTCACACTTGTGTTTGTAGGATTGAAATGGTGTTACGAATTTTGGCTCTTGGTTTTATCAGAGGTCGTCACTGCTACATGCGGAATCCATACAATAGGCTCGACTTTGTCATTGTTTTCGATTCCTGATAATGTTGAGGTTTTGTATTTGATGGTCGTAAGTGTTTCACCAGCTCTTTGGGAGGTGCATAACTGCACATGATTTTTTCGCGTGGATAGCCGTGTTCCGCGTGTTTCGGCTAGCGTTGAAGCACGTCACATTTTTTGCCGATGTCATAGTATGGTTTGTAAATTTCTGATTTGTGCATTGTTAACACTTTACAATAGACCATCATGGCGGCCGTGAAAAAGAGCATTGGTCCTCTCCAAAACGTTATCCTTTTGACGTTCTTTCTGTTGGTTTTCTATTCTCTACTCGGCACACAGATCTTGCAAAACTCGATGAATCAAAGGTAATCTCGATAGTTCTTATCACGTGATATCAAAATCCTCCTGGGCAGGTGCTTTCGAATAGCGGAGCAACTTGCTTATCCCATGCGCTTTTGTGACGAAAAAGCTGCTGGCTGCTACGTACGTCCACCATTTCAGAACTGTATGATGTGTTTTTTCTATAAGCTCATTCCTTATCCATCTCTTTGTTTGTAGACACACTAGAATCCCAACCATGGAGCGACAGCTTTTGATTATCTCTGGTATTCGCTGCTTACCATGTTTCAGGTTTGTGTCACTTCATAGCATCTTATCGCCTTAGCACACTTCAAAGTGGTCACTCTGCAGGTGATAACTTTGGAAGGATGGAGCCTCGTCATGCATGATGTGAAGGATGCTGAAGGGGAGCGAGCCAGTAAGGCGTTGACATTGTTTCTTTTATTGCTTACACAAGCCATTGCACCACAGATTCGTACTTTATGACGTTAATTGTTCTGGGTACATATTTCCTGGCGGACGTTTTCATCGCCGGTATCAGTGGTGTATTTCTTCGTGTTCGATCAGAGCATCAGGTGCACACTTGTTTACTGATTTCCCATCACCCCCTGTCCCTAGCATGGAGTTCACATATCAACGCTTGACATCACCAAATGATCAGGCTTAAGTTAAGCTGTTATTATCCAGGCTTTGCTGAGGAAAGCCCATAGAACCTCGGTAAGTGCTGAAAGACAATATCGTCAAAGCCGACTCGCACATGCCATGGTATAACCGCTTACTCAACAGGTCAAGAAAGGTGTAGCAGAATGTCGCGAGAGCCTTAAGTCGGACACGGACCTCCCTGCGGACTGCCCTTCAAGCCAGATCAATGAGAGTGCGGTCCAGTAGGTCTTTCAGTCGAAGTATGACGATAGGAGTTCAAGCAGCGTTGACAGTTTCCGGAAAAGGCCGCGACATCGTTGAACATCCCAAGTTTGAGTGGGGAGTACTTCTCAGTGTCACCATTAACGTCGTGCTCTTATCGTCCTTCTGGGATGTCAAAACGGTTGTTGCATACGCTCAGTATTCATTTCACGACTTCCTTTCTATTCGTTCAGCATGATAAATTTTGTATGCAGACGGGTTGCAAGCAGTAATGCTTTTTGCTTTCAGCGGGGAACTTCTGCTGCGCTTTCTAGCATATGGTCCTGGCGATTTTCTTGACGATGGTGAGTTCTTTGTTCATGTTGTCTTCTGGTCTGATCCCGAAATTTTCAGGAATGAATTTGCTGAACTTGATAGTTGTTTTCACATCTATTGTGGCACTCAGTTCTCATTCGTTTCCAAATTTAACATCAATAAAAATTATGCGGTGGTTTTACTCTTCGAAGAAGTATTTTGCAAAAATGGGGGTCTTACTGGATCCGCTTTAGAGGCCCCACCATCGGTCGTTCCAGCTGCAGAGTCTTCTGAAGCACCGCTGTCGCGTCACAGGCGTTCTTCCCAAGTTTTACAGGTTTCTGGTTTTCCGTCTAATATCGGTGAAAGGAGGGGTTCAAGAACCGCACTTCAAGATGCCGTGATAACTCTGGACGAGATTCTCAGCAGTCCAAAAATTGTCCCCGATTTCATCTGGAGTCTGCAGAAGATCAACTTTGTGGTGAGCACATGCTTATCTTATTTTGCTCGACATTGTACATTGTTTTGGAGCAGGTCTTTTTGCTAGACTGTTTGATGAAGATCGTTGCACAGGGACTTATTTTGCGCCAGACGCATACCTGAGTGACTGGTACAACATCTTGGACTTGTTTATTCTCGTCACCGATGCGCTTATTCTTCTGAAGTATAACGCTGAGGATGAAACTTCCATACCAACCGTCGGTGCGTTTACTTCTCTTCGGTCATTTCGTTTCGTGGTTCGGTTTACAGGACTGAGGTCATTATTATCGAATTACCTGTGAAATATAATAATGCAATGACCCGACAATATGAACCGAGCATATTGTACCGGCCTCTATGTTAATGACATCGGCATCCTTGCTCCCCGAGCCTGGGTTAATAACGTTTTCCACTTCGACGACATCCAGAATGCCCTCCTCAGTATGTTCGCCTGCTCCACTTTCGACAACTGGCTGATGCACTTCATGTATCCTGTCATGGACATCACTAGGGAAGACCACCAGCCTGTTCGGAACGCAAGTCCTGTCAACGCCTTGTTTTTCGTGGCATTCTGCTGTATCGGGGGATTTTATATCGTGTTTATCAACGAGTTTGGAAAAAATTCTGGAGCAGTTCTTCTCACAGAGAGGCAGAAGCTGTGGAGGGACATGAACCGTATCATCCAGAAAACTTATGCTATTCCGCTGGCTCGACGACCAAGCAATCCCATCCGGGGGATGTGCTTCTACTTGATTCGCAATCTGACATATCAAAAGTGCATGATCCTCGCACTCCTTGGCTACTCTGGGCTACTTGCGACTAACTATGCTGGGCAGTCGGCAGTTGTTTCGGACCGGCGTCAGATGGCTCACTGTGCGATTACAACATATTTCCTGCTCGAATCCGTGATGGAGTTCCTTGGCGACGAGGTACCTCATTCATCTTTTTCTCGATTGTTTTTTGTTTGACCACCTGGTTTTTCCTTTCTCCAGTGGAAGGTCTATAAGAACGAGGTTGCACGGCAGATGACGTTTGGACTCTCCATAATGGCCGCCATTGGTCTCTTGGGAAAGAAGGGAACGGTGAGGGGCTATGTCGGCCGCACTGCCTACATTGCTCAAGTTTTTTGCATCATTCCTCACGTAGTGAGAGTGCGGGTTATTATGCGAACAATGTTCATCTGTTTGCCAACTGTAGCTGAGATACTCGTTCTTCTCGCAATTTTCATGTATATGTTTGCGGGGATGGCTTTCCAACTCTTCAGTGCAATGAAGGAAGGGACCTGCATTGGCCCGTCTGTCAACTTTCACACTTTCGTCAACGCTTTCATTAACTGGTCTTGCGTTATGATGGATACCACAATTGATGCACCCGCCTGCACCAACGGTAAAACACTACTCGGTGATGATTGTGGCTATCCAGAGGGCGGGACTATCTTCTTCACCTTCTTGGTCTTGGTCGGGAGTCACATATTCATGAACTTGTTCGTGGCTGTCATACTGGATGCTGTAACCTTCAGCCTTTTGAACGAGAACTCTATGGTTATGCCGGAGCACCTGTTAGCGTATCGAAACTTGTGGAGCCAAGAACCATTCGATCCCAAGTAAGCCACTTACTTACGTTCAAGTCCTTGTGGAACTAACTTTACAATCGTCCAGTGCTATGGGATACATTGGCATGCACAAGCTGCGACGATTTGTAAACGCCCTCGGTGACCCGCTGAGCCGGCGCTACAAGTCCGCAACCCAATGGTTTGGCGTGTGTTTGTGGAGTCCTCCCAATCTCGTTTTCTTCTTTGTTCTGCTCAGGTACGTGAGAATAGAGTACGAGGTGATGAGTTTTCGAGTTCCAAACAAAGGAATCCCTTTCAAGGAGCTGCTGGAACGCTGACGCTGTATAAGATGGGACCAACTGTAAGTAGCTGTTATTCCAACCTTTTGATACTGACGCTTGGTTCCCGTGTTTAACGGGAGGCTAATCCGAGCCAAGCGTAAGTATCAAAAGGTTGGAATAGCAGCTACTTACAGTTGCCTCCCGTTAAACACCATCCTGATTCATTCTCTCTCCGCTTACCTGGCGATGATGTGGACAATGATTGGAGGGTGCGGCAGCATTTCCATGACAACATTGTGTGGATCACTGTGAAGAAAGATGCTTCGGAGGACGATCTCAAGGAGCTCCTCAACGCTCTTGAATGGGGTGAAATGAAAGAGAGGATTTTATAGCAGGGCCATCCTCTGGCCAGATCCTGGTGACAACCAGAAAGGAAGGCATTTTGCATCCGGATGCAAAGGCATTTGCTGTGCATGAGCTATCAATGGACGAAAGCAAAAAGATGTTTTGGAAGTTTGCCTTCAGTGTGCATGATCCACAACCCAGTGACCCTGATGTTGTGGGATTTGCCAAGAAAATAGCTCGAAAATGTGAGGGACTTCCTCTCGCTCTGGAAGTGATTGGCAGTGCCATGGCTGTCCACAGAAGAGAAGGGCCACATGTGTGGGAAGAACGATATAAGAGGTTGCACTTGTCCAATGACCCAGATGTTGAGAAGCAGATGTTCAAACGCTTGAAGTTCAGCTATGACGAGCTGGGAAACTATGAGGGTGAAAAGCTGCAAGAGAGCTTTCTCTATGTGGCTGCATTCCCACACAAATTAATTGAATTTAGTTCCTTGAGCAAATGTTGGATGGAGGTTGGGTCAGAACTCTCACCCACAGCGATTGTCAATGAACTGGAACGGAGATGCCTGGTCAAGATAGATAAGTCTTGGGGGTATGAAGAAGCTCCTGGTTATATAATCGTACACGATATGCTACCATCTGACTCACTTTTGTTCCTCGAATGTCAAGCACTTGAAGGTTTTTCAGCTTGGAAATGCTCTCTGGAATAAAATGGATCCTAGAGCATCGCCACAAGCTCAATACCTTGACACCTTGTATGTGATTGATAAGACTGTCATCCACATTAGAAAGTCCTATACATTCATCCATAAGTATAGCGCTTTTCAGCCTGACATCACTGAAATATCTAAAATCTACTTAGTGGACGCCCATAAAGTGTAACATTGCATTACTGCCCCAGCTCTCCAACTTGGAAGAGCTGGAGCTGAGCCTTGATTCAAAAGAGGAGTCATCAGTTGTGGATTTGACTGGAATTTCACGTAAACTAAGACTTCTAGATCTAAGAATGACACATGGTACAATGAAGGTGCCAGAAAGCATGGGGACATTGGAGCACATTGAAACATTGGTTTTACATGCAAACAACATTGACTTTGCCAGTTTCGTTGGGTTATGGCAACTTGTCAACCTAACAAAATGTCTAATTCGTGTGAGAACCGTCAGCAGAGCTACTTGGAAACAAATGTTTATGAAATCAATCAAGCTTCAACATTTTTCCATCGTTGGGGTAGAAGACAGTGAAAGTAGTGATGACAGCTTCGAATGGTTGCAACTACAATATTTAGACATCCGTGATATCATAAACCTATCTTGGTTGCCCCATAGAAACATTTTTTTATTAAATGCAATCGTATCCACTTCTTCAACCTGGATGGATCATTCCCAAGTCTTGAAAGGCTGTGGCTTACTAATCTACGCATTGCACAGTCAAAATTCAAGGATGATTTGGCTGCCAGTCTTCCAAATCTGAAAGAGTTGCACTTTTGGCTAGCTCCTGATATTGAATGGGAGCAATTGCCTCTCTTCACGAGAGCCTGCATTTTCGTCGCAGCGCCCTGGATGTACACGGCCTGGATCCGCTTCTCACGCTCGATGCGCAGAGTGAGAGGCAACCCCTGCGTTAATCCGAGGCACGCTCCCATTCGCCTCCCAACAGTCCAACCCATTTGCTACGGGCTTCAGGATCCAAGAGGGCATTCACCACCTCATCCAGCAGTTGCTCATGGCCCCCAAACATGGGATCAGGAAAAACACGCCGTACATATTTTTTTGCAGGGCCTCTGTCTTGCGGGGAACTCCGTACGGCGAAGCTAGTGCTCGGCTGTATCACTCTCAACTCTTCTCGCTCGTACCTTTCAATTTTCGGAAGGAGATCGTCCTCGTAGCTGTGTATCAGCTCCGAGATCTTGTCACAACGCTTCTCCCTGTGAAACATCCATAGATCATTTAGCTGTACTGTTAAAGCTCTCAAGTGTATATGCTTACTGTGATCCCAGCAGTGCTTGCGCCTTGTCGTTCCATTTTGTGACAAGATCAAGACACTCCTCGGCTCCATCAGAGTAGCGGAACTCTGGATTCCGGTGCTTGTGAGTATTAAACTTGTTAAGCATGGCCTGAATGCTGGTCGCCCCCTTGTCCAGCTTCGCAATGTCCACATTCAGCTCGTGCCCGTGACTTTCGATCTGCGACAGGAGATCGTGGTAGGAGCTTATGCACTCCATAATAGGAATGGAGTCCTTTTAAAACCGTTGTTTCGGCTCTCTGGTACATAGCATGTCAAGCTTGCGAGCCTTTGAATCATTTGAGAGCATAGCCTGCGTGGAACTTGTCTGCGTCAATTCTCGACAGCAGAAGCTGCGAGAAGAATTTAAAGTTCCAAGTGTAAGCAAACCAAGACTTGTATGTACCTTGAATGAAACTTAACACGAAACAATTAGTTCGATGCTTTACACCAATCAAAGCTTTGAACAAATAGCACACGCTCCTACGCTTTCCCAATACACAAAACACGGAGCACTGGAGAAAGGATACTGATAGCAAAGAAACAAACTCTACTTACAGTATAAACCCCGCTTATCGTCCTAATTTTCAAAACCGCTCTGGCCACCACAGGCAAAACATCACGCAAGGGTCCATTCTAACAAAAACCTGACCTTCATGCTGCAACAGGAGAATCCGGAGCTGATCCAATTGAAGAAGCTTCGGGATCCTTAGGCAAGGCAACGTAATTCATCATCGGAGAGTAGCGTTTCACCCGGCTACCCTTTTGAGGACCCTGATTGCTAGCCTTAGGTGCGGGTAAGGGCTCAGGGACTATCGAAAGTCGTCGGTTTGCATTGTTTCCACTCACGCGAAGTCCCACCTGTCCCTTTTTGGACGGCTTTGTGCCGTAGAGCAGCTCCTGCTCAGTTTGCAGTTGTTCCTGCATTCTCTTCTCCTCCTGCATTTAGCCAGTTAACGTCTTAACAGGCACTAAACTGCAGAGTTACCCTCAGTCGGCGCTTTTCTTCTTCTTTCTCTCGTCGTAGCAAGCTATATTCTTCTAGAATTGCCAGTAGAGAAATCTGCAAAGCACTTTCAGAAGCGTCTACGAAAATCACTTACGTACCCCGTTATATAAGAAGGGCCTGCCTCTTTCGTCCTCCCAAGACCGCGTTTTGGACTTCAATGATTCAAGAAGATCTGCAAACGGGTTGTGAAAACTGAGAAAAGGAAATAGCAAACGAAGAATTCAAACGCACTGGGGAGTTTGGCCACGATGACACGAGCTCTTTCTGCACGTTTTAGATTCAAATGTGCTCCTCTGGTTGCATTGAAGCGGCTTTCATCCTACAATCGAAAATGAATAAGTGAAATAGCGTAACGCTCATACCTTATTGTATTCTTCAAGCTTGCTTTCTTCTTCACACGCACTAATCCACCGTTCCATTCATTCCATTATATCTTGTCTGCCGAGTGATTCTTCCTTCTCCTCGGCGATACTACTTTCGATTGTAGCAAGTAGTTCTGACAAGTCCACTATCCCTGTGCACACGAAACATCAGCCAGGAAATGCACACAGAATAAATTTTTACCTGACTCCCGATCGTCTTGGCTAAGTTCTCTAGCGTCTCATCGCTAATACTTCTGCTCTGGCCTGGATCACAAAGGCTCGGATGCACTTCCTTGACAGCCTCGGTGTAGTCTGCCCCCAACAGGACGCAATATCCCTGCAGAACCTCGAGAAGCTCTGAGAATTTGTGGAGCCGGCTACTCTGGAAATGTCACTTGTAAGAAAAAAGAATGCCAACCGTGCCAATACAAACCAACCTTTACATCCTGAAGCTCTTGAACCTGGCAATGGTACTCATACAGCTTTCTCAGCAACAAACCTTTCCAAGAAAAAGCTCCATTCTCGGCCTCTTGCAATGCCCCTGGCGATATCTCCTGAGAGAGCCTTTGTGTCTGGCATTGCACGTCCTCAAATTGCTTCCGCCGCTCCTCTTTCCTCAGACGCAAGCATTCTAACTGAGGTGAGACGGACAAGAGCTGCTCTCGCAGAGTAGTGCCCGACCTCTTCTCTAACTGAAAGGAAGAACAACGGGCATTAGAAAAGCACTGTGAGATGGATCAAACAACGCGTACCATGCAAGGGCGATCACCCAGGAGCGACAGGAGCGACGCGAGCTCCGACTCGGAATCCGCCAGCAGCTGGTGCAGCCGAGCCCTCGCGCAATTCGCTTGATCCACCTTTCGCCGGTACACATCCAGGCATTCTTGCTCCAGCTGGAGCAGCATTCTGTCCCTCTCCTCGTCGCTCTCCCCCATCTCCTCCGCGCGGGCGATCCACCGCGATCGTGAGAAACTCCAGAGGTAATATTTCGCGAGGTTACCTGGAGCTCCCGCAGCAGCGATCGGCAAGTCGTGTCCTCGCCTTCCATGGCCTCCAGAATCAAAATGCGAGTCCCCAGATCACTCAAAACAATCAAGAATCCTCCGCGAGAACGCCGCCGCCCTCGCCATCGCCCCCTGCTCCAACCTAAACCTTTTACGCCTGCCACGTGTTACAGAGCCTAAACCAGCGACAAATATTCTCAGCGTTTAAATTGATGCTTCTTGCAGTATGAGTGACCTCGATCCTGGTGGTGGTGATGGTCGTGACTATGGTTGTGACCATGGTCGTGGCTGGGATGGCGATGGTGCTGGTGCTTCTCAGCGCCATGCTCGTGATCAGAGCACTGTGTTCTTCTGGCGTGATCGTCGTCCTTGGAGCACTGCTTACCACCGTCGTGATCGTGGTCGTGATCCTTGCAATTCTTTCCCTGGTGATGGTGGTGGCCTGATGATCTCTTCTTCCCTGTCCCTCGGAGTAAAAGCGTACTGTTTGAGATCACCAGCAAGCACGCCCCGACGTCGACCAGGACCGCCATCCACAGGTAGCCATAGCCAGCGAACGAGAATGCCAGTATCGCCACTTTGAGGCCCACCGAGATGACAACGTTCTGTATAACTTTGGTGCGGACTCTCCTTCCCAGACTCACCACCATGCTCAGCTTCCGGAGATCGTCAGTCACGAGGAAAACGTCCGATGTCTCCACAGCCACTGCTGATCCGGCTAGACCCATGGCAAATCCTACGTCCGCCGCTGCTAAAGCCAGGGCGTCGTTTATCCCGTCGCCTATCATTCCCGCCACACCGTGGTTTTCTTTCAGCTCTTGGATGATTTTGACTTGGGAGAAGACCGGAGTGTACAGTAACTCCTCCCAACTGTAATGGAGATTATTCAGTGACACCTCGAAGATGGAAATAGAAGCTTACATTGCTCTGGACGCTCTGGGCCGTCTCATGGTTATCCCCAGATAGCATATGGATATGGAGCTTCATACGCTGCCATACACAAAAGAAAGCTTGTAAGGAAACAAGGGGCAATATTTCGAGCATCGATCTGCAAGTCGTGTCCTCGCCTTCACTTTATCTCTCTCCCCTCAAGCCAATTGAAAAAGAGGCAATTGCTTGACGATTTGGAATGGTGGTCACTTGAGGCTCTTGTTTTACTCTCAGGGCTGCTGCCAGATCCTCAGCTCGAGACGTCCCTCATTCTTTGCAGCTGGAGAAAAAGTTGTAAGAAAAAAAAAGAAGAAACAATAGAAGAAAACTTACCGGCCTTCTTCGTCCCAAATCTACTCACGAGCGTGTTCTTCCGATCGATCCTCATTTATCAATCCACCCCCGTGTCATTCTGGTTGCGGTAATCCATCATGTACGAAACACCACGAACTCTAGCCTAGGTTCCATTCCTAACACCTGTGAAGAAAAAGCAGCATAAAAGGAATGAAATATTACCATTTGCAAGATCCTGGACGAGAATGCCGTACCTTGTTCAATACTACTGGCAAGATCTTCACCTCATCAAAAACCCCGAGAGCAAACATGGTCGGTCCAGGCACCGGCTTCACTGTTCGCATTCGCTCCACATCGATGCGGCGATCTTGGTCTTGCTCAAAGCGGTGGAAGCACAAGCTGCGAGTCTTCTTCCTGTAGAGGAGAATACATAACCTTCTTGATCTGCGCGTTGGCGATGTTCCAATAGGATGTTTTACTGGTAACGGTGGATCATAGCGCCTGCTGAGCATACCGGCGAGCGATCCATCTCCTCATCAATTCTGTCCAATCCTCCTGTACACATGAAAACGCGAGACCTGGAATAGCGATCAGCAGAGTTCTTGTCGACACCCGATGCCGCTACACCGTCGTCATGCATCGGCCGCGCGGAAGAAGCCAGGAAATTTGGGGGGCGCCACGAACGGGATCGAGACTAGGAGCTCCGAAATATCCACAATACCCTTCGATGTGATGCCAGCGCCGGGAACAAGACGCGCGCAGCGCCTCGATTCTCGGAATACGAGAATGCCGCCGATCAAGATTCCTACCGCCTGCCAGCTAGGACTAGGAGAACCTGCTACTAGAACGGTCGCGGGTTCGACTCCCATTGACGCCATGCTCCAGTGTATTTAAGAATACCCACATATCATCCAGAAACTTATGCGATTCTGCTGGCTCGACGACCAAGCAATCCCATCCGGGGGATGTGCTTCTACTTGATTCGCAATCCTACATATCAAAAGTGCATGATCCTCGCACTCCTACTTGTGACTAACTATGCTGGCTAGTCAGCTGTTTCACACATGGCTCATTGTGAGATTACAAGTACCTCATTCATCTTTTTCTCGATTGTTTTTTGTTTGACCACCTGGTTTTTCCTTTCTCCAGTGAAAGGTCTATAAGAACGAGGTTGCACGGCAGATGGAGTTTGAACTCTCCATAATGGCCGCCATTGGTCTCATGGGAAAGAAGGGAACGGTGAGGGGCTATGTCGGCTGCACTGCCTACATTGCTCGAGTTTTCTGCATCATTCCTCACGTAGCGAGAGCACGGGTTATTATGCAAACAATGATCATCTGTTTGCCAACTGTAACTGAGATACTTGCTCTTCTCGCAATTTTCATGTATATGTTCCGTGGGGATGGCGTTCCAACTCTTCAGTGCAATGAAGGGACCTGCATTGGCCCATCTGTCAACTTTCGCACTTTCATCAACGCTTTCATCATGGTGTTTCAGGTAAAGGCTTGCTTTTCCATTCGCTTGATAACTGGTCTTGCCTTATGATGGATACCACAATTAATGCACCCGCCTGCACCAACGGTAAAACACTACTCAGCGATGATTGTGGCTATCCAGAGGGCAGGAGCCAGTTCATGGCTGTCATACTGGATGCTGTAACCTTTGGCCTTGTGAACGAGAATTCTATAGTCATGCCAGAGCACTGGTTAGCATATCAAACCTTGTGGAGCCAAGAACCATTTGATCCCACCTAAGCCACTTACAGTCAAGTCCTTGTAGAACTAACTTCACAATCGTCCAGTGCTACAGGATACATTGGCATGCACAAGCTGCCACGATTTGTAAACGCCCTCAGTGACCTGCTGGCCCGGCACTACATGTCCGCGACCCAATGGTTTGGCGTGTGTTTGCGGACTCCTCCCAATCTCGTTTTCTTCTTTGTTCTGGTCAGGTACATGAGAATAGAGTACGAGGTGATGAGTTTTCGAGTTCCAAACAAAGGAATCGAGCTGCTGGAAACGCTGACGCTGTGTAAGATCGGACCAAGCTCCTATTCCAAGCTTTTGATACTTGCGTTTGGGTCGGATTACCGCAGGGGTTGCCTCTCACTCTGCACATCGAGCGTGAGAAGCGGATCCAGGCCGTGTACATCCAGGGTGCTGCGACAAAAATGCAGGCTCTAGTGAGAGGTTTCCTGGGGAGGATAAGAGCTGGCAAAGGTGATGTGAGCAAAACCGAGGTAGCATTGGAATCGACAAGAGCAAACCCGAGGTGCTAGAGATTGCCAGGGACGTGAGAGGCGAAGGTCTCCTGGTGGAAGAGTGCTGCAGTCGCATTATTGTATATTAATTTAGAGGAAAATATGTCAAACTATGTAGAGGTGGGACGTTCGAATACCAAAACGCTTTGGAAATTAAAACTTACGTATCTTGAGATTGGGGCGGTCCTCAAGCCAAGGTGGAATTTTCATGCCTTCCGGGCAGTCTAGCCTTTTCAGCCTGGGAAATGCGCCCTGGCTGTGATTGTGGGACCACAGTGCATCGTTAAGTATCATGCTTGGCCTAAAAATTCCAAGACGTTTCAAACCTGGCAGCGATGCAATGGACGATGGAACTATACTCTCATCACAGCTCAAGTGCACGGTTTCTATATCAGTCATTTGATCTGATGGCTCAAAAAAATCATTTTGCATCTTCTTGCTCGATACTGAAAGAAATTGAACCTTGAGTGATGACCTCTCGGTTGGCAACAACAGTCTCTTTATGCAACCCGTTATTCTCAGAACCCCGAGGCGATTGGGGAGCTGTGCCACAAAGAGAGGCAAGTGCTCCCATTTAATATCAGGAGCTAGCTCAAACTCCAACTTCTTCAGATTTGGAAAACTGGCAGCAAAATCATCCTTGAATTCTGACTGTGCAATGTGTAGATTAGTAAGTATCAGAAATTCAACACCTGGGAATGGTCCATGGACCAGGTTGAAGAAGTGGATACGACTGCAGTCAATTTCAAGTTTTTCTAGGCGGTGGGGCAACCAAGAGAGGTTTATAATTTCACGGATGCGTAAATATCGTAGTTGCAGCCATTCAAAGCTGTCATCATTATTTTCACTGTCTTCTACCCCAGAAATGGAAAAATCTTTAAGCCTGATTGATTTCTTAAACATTCGCTTCAACGGAAGTCTACTGACGGATTCCATATGAATTTCACATGTTCTTAGGTTGACAAGTTGCCATAGCCCAACGAAACTGGCAAAGTCGATATTGTTTGCATGTAAAACCAATGTTTCAATGTGCTCCAGTGTCCCCATGCTTTCTGGCACCTTCATTGTACCATGTGTCATTCTTAGATCTAGAAGTCTTAGTTTACCTGAAATTCCAGTCAAATCCACAACTGATGACTCCTCTTTTGAATCAAGGGTCAGCTCCAGCTCTTCCAAGTTGGAGAGCTGGGGAAGTAATGCAATGTTACACTTTATCGGCGTCCACTGAGTAGATTTTAGATATTTCAGTGATGTCAGGCTGAAAAGTGCATCTGGTAGTTGACTCACTTTTGTTCCTCGAATGTCAAGCACTTGAAGGTTTTTCAGCTTGGAAATGCTCTCTGGAATAAAACGGATCCTATAGCATCGCCACAAGCTCAATACCTTGACACCTTGTATGTGATTGATAAGACTGTCATCCACATTAGAAAATCCTTTACATTCATCCATAAGTAAGACATCTCGCACATGATTATCAGATAAAAAGCTGCCAACATTCTTTGAGATGAATGAGACTTTAGCAAATGTTGCATCCTGAATGCCAATTGGCCAATCATATCCAAACAGGGATCCCTTCTCGTGCTCTTGCTGTGGACCGTACTTCCCTTTTAAGATTTTTATGCACAGTTTGCGTAGCATATCGTGTACGATTATATAACCAGGAGCTTCTTCATCCCTCAAAGACTTATATATCTTGACCAGGCATTTCCGTTCCAGTTCATTAACAATCGCTGTGGGTGAGAGTTCTGACCCAACCTCCATCCAACATTTACCCAACTCAGTAAACTCAATCGACCTATCTTCTGGGAATGCAGCCACATAGAGAAAGCACTCTTGCAGCTTTTCACCCTCATAGTTTCCCAGCTCGTCATAGCTGAACTTCAAGCGCTTGAACATCTGCTTCTCAACGTCTGGGTCATTGGACAAGTGCAACCTCTTATACCGTTCTTCCCACACATGTGGCCCTTCACTTCTGTGGGCAGCCATGGCACTGCCAATCACTTCCAGAGCGAGAGGAAGTCCCTTACATTTTCGAGCTATTTTCTTGGCAAATCCCACAACATCAGGGTCACTGGGTTGTGGATCATGCACACCAAAGGCAAACTTCCAAAACATCTTTTTGCTTTCGTCCATTGATAGCTGATGCACAGGAAATGCCTTTGCATCCAGACTGCGCAAAATGCCTTCCTTTCTGGTTGTTACCAGGATCCGGCCAGAGCATGGCCCTGCTATAAAATCCAGTTCCTTTGCCCAGCTCCAGTCCCAGACATCATCCAGTACCAGCAAGACACGGTTACCACCAGCAACATCGCGTGCCAAGTGCTGCATGTCGTCAAGGCTTCCTTTGGCCCTCTCTTTCATTTCACCCCATTCAAGAGCGTTGAGGAGCTGGGCCTTGAGATCGTCCTCCGAAGCATCTTTCTTCACAGTGATCCACACAATGTTGTCATGGAAATGCTCCCGCACCCTCTCGTCATTGTGCGCGCAGCTTGCGAGGGTGGTTTTTCCACACCCTCCCATTCCCAACAGTCCAACCCATTTGCTACGGGCTTCAGGATCCAAGAGGGCATTCACCACCTCATCCAGCAGTTGCTCATGGGCCCCAAACATGGCCTCAGGAACAACACGCCGTACATATTTTTTTGCAGGGCCTCTGTCTTGCGGGGAACTCCGTACGGCGAAGCTAGTGCTCGGCTTTATCACTCTCAACTCTTCTCGCTCGTACCTTTCCATTTTCGGAAGGAGATCGCCCTCGTAGCTGTGTATCAGCTTCGAGATCTCGCCATAACGCTTCTCCCTGTGAAAGATCCACAGATATTTTAGCTTTACTGTTAGAGCTCTTGTGTAAGCTTACTGTGATCCCAGCAGTGCTTGCGCCTCGTCGTTCCATTTTGTGACAAGATCAAGACACTCCTCGGCTCCATCAGAATAGCGGAACTCTGGATTCCGGTGCTTGTGAGTATGAAACTTGTTAAGCAAGGCCTGGATGCTGGCCCCCCCCTTTTCCAGCATCGCAATGTTCACATTCAGCTCGTGCCCGTGACTTTCGATCTGCGACAGGAGATCCTGGTAGGAGCTTATGCACTCCATGATCTTGCCACTCCGCTTGTACCTATAGGAAGAAATAAATTCAGCCTTCTTGCACAAAAATGCTGCAAAACATACCGTCTAACGGGGTTCCAGATCCTGTTGTTGCGTGATCCCAAGAGTTCTTGCGCCTTGCTATCCCATTTCCTGACACGCTCCAAGCATTCCTCGGCCGCTTCAGAAAACATAAAGCCTGGATTCCGCTGCTTGTGCTCACTGAAAGCGTTGACCTTGGCCTGGATGTTGGGCGCCATATTCTCCAGCCTTTCAATGTTGGCATTGGAGTTCCAAACCTTCTTGGCAGCACCCAGACCCAAGCCACACAGCGGGCTCACCAAGCCGCTCACAACCTCCATGATCGAAAAATCGTGTCCGCTTCAGCTAAAATGGCACCGATATAAGGCCAAAACTTCTTACGTGGTCTCCAGGTAAGTACCAGAGTCGTCTCTTGGACGCGCTGGAGCTAATGTCCTTCTCCTGGACACTTCCAGAGGCTCTAAACAAGGCCGCATAGTCTCTCTAGCCCCGGTCCGTCCTGGAAGCTCACCGTGCACTGGAGATCATCCAAGGTGACATGCCCAGACAGGTGTGCGATGGTGCCGTTGTCCACGAAGAACTCCACTCCCGGGTACTTTCCAACGCGCTGCGAGTGTGGATCCGGAGTGTCGGTCACGTTCACGGAGAATGCGAGGCCGCAGCCGTCTTTGAAAGGTGGCCCGGTGTCTTTCTTGCAGCCTGCAACAGGGAAGATGTTGTAGCCGCTTTTGGTGAAGCATCCCTGCAGAGAAGCTGTTAGTGAAGAGAGCTGCGAGTTCGAAAGATGTGCTTACCTGAGAATTCTCGAGAAGGACAGGAAGTAAGCTAGCCCCGGCCCCGGCCATGCTTTGGTCCTTGCCCGCTGCCAAGGAATGGAGTCCGTTTAAAAGCGTTGTTTCGGCTCTCTTGTACATAGCATGTCAAGCCTGCGAGCCTTTCAATCATTTGAAAGCATAACCTGTGTGAACCTTGTCTGCGTCAATTCTCGACAGCCGAAGCTGCGCGAAGAATTTAAAGTTCCAAGTGTAAGCAAACCAAGACTTGTATGTACCTTGAATGAAACTTAATACGAAACAATTAGTTCGAATCGATGCTTTACACCAATCAAAGCTTTGAACAAATAGCACACGCTCCTACGCTTTCCGAATACACAAAACACGGAGCACTGGAGAAAGGATACGCGATTACCCTTGATAGCAAAGAAACAAACTCTACTTACAGTATAAACCCCGCTTATCGTCCTAATTTTCAAAACCGCTCTGGCCACCACAGGCAAAACATCACGCAAGGGTCCATTCTAACAAAAACCTGACCTTCATGCTGCAACAGGAGAATCCGGAGCTGATCCAATTGAAGAAGCTTCGGGATCCTTAGGCAAGGCAACGTAATTCATCATCGGAGAGTAGCGTTTCACCCGGCTACCCTTTTGAGGACCCTGATTGCTAGCCTTAGGTGCGGGTAAGGGCTCAGGGACTATCGAAAGTCGTCGGTTTGCATTGTTTCCACTCACGCGAAGTCCCACCTGTCCCTTTTTGGACGGCTTTGTGCCGTAGAGCAGCTCCTGCTCAGTTTGCAGTTGTTCCTGCATTCTCTTCTCCTCCTGCATTTAGCCAGTTAACGTCTTAACAGGCACTAAACTGCAGAGTTACCCTCAGTCGGCGCTTTTCTTCTTCTTTCTCTCGTCGTAGCAAGCTATATTCTTCTAGAATTGCCAGTAGAGAAATCTGCAAAGCACTTTCAGAAGCGTCTACGAAAATCACTTACGTACCCCGTTATATAAGAAGGGCCTGCCTCTTTCGTCCTCCCAAGACCGCGTTTTGGACTTCAATGATTCAAGAAGATCTGCAAACGGGTTGTGAAAACTGAGAAAAGGAAATAGCAAACGAAGAATTCAAACGCACTGGGGAGTTTGGCCACGATGACACGAGCTCTTTCTGCACGTTTTAGATTCAAATGTGCTCCTCTGGTTGCATTGAAGCGGCTTTCATCCTACAATCGAAAATGAATAAGTGAAATAGCGTAACGCTCATACCTTATTGTATTCTTCAAGCCAACTTTCTTCTTCACATGCACTAATCCATCGTTCCATTCTTTCCATTATATCTTGTCTACCGAGTGATTCTTCCTTCGCCTCCGCGATACTACTTTCGATTGTAGCAAGTAGCTCTGACAAGTCCACTATCCCTGTGCACACGACACATCAGCCAAGAAATGTAAACAGAATAAATTTATACCTGACTCCAGTAACCTTGCCACTTTTTCTTGAGTTAGATTTGGATCACAGTCCAGGTGAGCCATGTTGCAAGTTTCTTCTAACTCTCCCTGCTTCTTCAGCACAAGTTCCTTCATTCTGCTTACTTTCAACTGATTTAGCCTAACCACCTCCTTTTCGGCCTGTACAATCGAAGTATCAGAAAGAACAAAACGCATGAGAAAGAACCTGTGCGATGGTTTTCAAAGTAAGAGAAGAAGGCTCCGCTAGATCGTGCTCTGGTGCCGCAAGATTGCGGATGATATTTCGAAATGGTTGCCTTTCTTCGAAAGGTGTATCCATTAGATTCCACAGCTCGCGTAAGAGAGCAACAAGATTGTGAATCTGCAATAAAACTAACACGTCATTGTCGAAAGGTAAACCGTTATCACCTTTTGCAGTCTTTCACTTTTCTCGTTCTCCATGTCCTCGATCGCCTTGCCTAATTTCTCTAGCGTCTCATCGCTAATACTTCTGCTCTGGCCTGGATCACAAAGGCTCGGATGCACTTCCTTGACAGCCTCGGTGTAGTCTATCCCCAAAAGGACGCAATATCCCTGCAGAACCTCGAGAAGCTCTGAGACTTTGTGAAACCGGCTACTCTGGAAAAGTCGCTTGTAAGAAAAAAGAATGCCAACCGTGCCAATACAAACCAACCTTTTCATCCTGAAGCTCTTGAAGCTGGCAATGGTACTCATGCAGCTTTCTCAGCGATAAATCTTTCCAACAAAGAGGTCCATTCTCGGCCTCTTGCAATGTCCCCGGCGATATCTCCCGAGAGAGCCTTTGTATCTGGCATTGGACGTCCTCAAATTGCTTCAGCCGCTCCTCTTTCCTCAGACGCAAGCATTCTAACTGAGGTGAGACGGACAAGAGCTGCTCCCGCAGAGTAGTGCCCGACCTCTTCTCTAACTGAAAGGAAGAACAACGGACATTGGAAAAGCACTGTGAGATGGATCAAACAAAGCATACCGTGCAAGGGCGATCACCCAGGAGCGACAGGAGCGACGCGAGCTCCGACTCGGAATCCGCCAGCAGCTGGTGCAGCCGAGCCCTCGCGCAATTCGCTTGATCCACCTTCCGCCGGTACACATCCAGGCATTCTTGCTCCAGCTGGAGCAGCATTCTGTCCCTCTCCTCGTCGCTCTCCCCCATCTCCTCCCAGATGGTCTGCGCGCGGCCGATCCACCGCGATCGTGAGAAACTCCAGAGGCAATATTTCGCGAGGTTACCTGGAGCTCCCGCAGCAGCGATCGGCAAGTCGTGTCCTCGCCTTCCATGGCCTCCAGAATCAAAATGCGAGTCCCCAGATCACTCAAAACAATCAAGAATCCTCCGCGAGAACGCCGCCGCCCTCGCCATCGCCGCGATCGAGCATATCCACCCACAACCCTCCTCCAACCTAAAACCACAATGGCGGGGATTTTATTTTTACCGCCTGCCACGTGTTACAGAGACAATCACCAAGCATATTCTCAGCGTTTAAATTAGATTCTTTCAAGCGTTAGCAGTGAGCGTGTGAGTGGCCTTTGCCACATGCGTGCTTCTTCTTGCAGTGTGAGTGGCCTTGATCCTGGTGGTGGTGATGGTCGTGACTGTGGTGGCTATGATCGTGACTATGGTTGTGACCATGGTCGTGGCTGGGATGGCGGTGGTGCTGGTGCTTCTCAGCGCCATGCTCGTGATCAGAGCACTGTGTTCTTCCGGCGTGATCGTCGTCCTTGGAGCACTGTTTACCACCGTCTTGATCGTGGTCGTGATCCTTGCAATTCTTTCCGTGGTGATGGTGGTGGCCTGATGATCTCTTCTTCCCTGTTCCTCGGAGTAAAAGCGTGCTGTTTGAGATCACCAGCAAGCACGCCCCGACGTCTACCAGGACCGCCATCCACAGGTAGCCATAGCCAGCGAACGAGAGTGCCAGCATCGCGACTTTGAGGCCCACCGAGATGACAACGTTCTGTATAACTTTGGTGCGGACTCTCCTTCCCAGACTCGCCACCATGCTCAGCTTCCGGAGATCGTCGGTCATGAGGAAAACGTCCGATGTCTCCATTGCCACTGCTGATCCGGCTAGACCCATGGCGAATCCTACGTCCGCCGCTGCTAAAGCCGGGGCGTCGTTTATCCCGTCGCCTATCATTCCCGTCATACCGTGGTTTTCTTTCAGCTCTTGGATGATTCTGACTTTGTCCTGGGGGAGAAGACCGGCGTGTACAGTAACTCCTCCCAACTGCAATGGAGATAATTCAGTGACACTTCGAAGATGGAAATAGAAGCTTACTTTTCTCTGGACACTCTGGGCCGTCTCATGGTTATCCCCAGTTAGCATATGGATCTGGACCTTCATACGCTGCCATAAACAAAATAAAGCTTGTAAGGAAACACGGGAAGAAAGCTCCAAGCCCAACCTTTAGACTCGACACTGCTTCTGCCGCTTCCTCCCGTACATGATCCTCGAGGCTAAAAACTGCCAGGAGCTGGTGATCCTTTCCAAGCCAGCCGACGGTTCCTGTTTGATTCTTTAGCTTCGTAATGGCTGCAGAAATACAAACAGTTAGATTACAAGTCCACTGAAGGAGCAGCCGATGGAAACCTGTATTGTTCCAGCCAAGGCGAGATGCTAATCGCGCGTTACCAATCTCTACCAAGTGCCCATCCACAACGGCGGAAACACCTTCGCCTTCAATAATCTGAAAGTCTGTAACGGATTTCGATGGAACAACATCTTGTAAGCTAGCGTATGTGACGAGTGCAGCGGCCATTGGATGGCTCGATCTACTTTCAACACTCGTTAACCTGCGCAACGAAAAATATTTATCAGCGACACACAGCAGAAAAGTCAAACTTACCAATACAAAATTTGTTGCAGGCCTTCGGTTTCACCAACAGGTACAACTTCGGAAACGCGGAAGTGTCCCTCTGTCAAGGTTCCTGTCTTATCCATTGCCAAGCACTTGATCTTGGCAAGGATTTCAAGGTAGCTTCCACCCTTGATCACGACTCCAAGTCTTGCTGCGTGTTGTATTCCGCAGGCTACTGCAACGGGAGTCGAAAGGACTAAAGCACACGGGCAAGCCACAACCAGCAAAATGAGAGCTAAGTACAGCCAGTGTTTCTCATGGTGAGTGTGCGCTATCAACGGAATGAGTGCTAGACCAAGAGCTGTCGCTACCAAAGCTGCGTAGCAATGCTACATTAGCAATCGCACAGAAAATTTGTGGACTTACCAGGAGTGTAGAATTTTGCAAACTTTTCCACTAGCTGCTCGAAGTGAGATCGTTTTGCTTGGGCTTCCTCCACGAGTTTGATCATTCTTGAGACGGCCGAGTCTTCAGCAAGTGCAGTGGTTTGAACGGTGATGTAGCCTGTAGACAGAGATGAAGTTAGTTTTGAACGAGAACTTGAAGAATAAGCGCGCGTACCAGCCAAATTCACTGTTCCAGCCCAAACTTCGCTTCCGCAAGCCTTCTCGACAGGCTTTGATTCACCAGTCAAGCTGCTTTCATCCAAAGAGCACTCTCCTGACATGATAATCCCGTCTACCGGAATCATCTCCCCAGCTTTGACCGCAATTGATGATCCAAGTTTAACTTCGTCAACGGGGACCATCGCCCCGGTTTCGGCAAGGATGGCGTTTCGAGGGACATCCAGACCGGACGCCAATGCGGAACGCGCCTGAGACACCACGACGAGTGTCATAAAGGGCAAGGACAAACGAAAAGAAAAACAATAACATTTACCTGCTCGCTCGATCGTCCTTCTAGCCATTCAGCTAGAGTAAACAAAAATACGATCGATCCAGCTTCAATGTAGTCAGTTAGAGCAATAGCACCGCCGACTGATATAGTTTTATCATCAGACACTGAAAAGCCATTTTAACTCATCATACCTGCTATGAGCATAAGAATGTTGATGTCTAGAATCCATCGTCTTAGAGACGCTATGCTCCGCATAAAAATCGGCGGTATACCAACAGCCACCGCTCCGATAGCGAACCATTTCAAAGGGTTCCAAAAATGTTTGAAGAAGGATACGAGCAGTAGAATACCGCAACAAATGGTCCAGGGACTGGGCCAGTTACTAGACCTCTTTAGCTCTCCACGATGATGTAAACTTGCGTCTAGTCTAGCTTCGTTGAGTGCTTTGACTGAAGAAAAGGCAATAAAGGAAAGGAAAAAACGGGTGTGAGAAGAAAACAGAGCAAGCACGAAAGCTAAAGCTCTACCTAGACGTCCTTCAGGAGTCAAGAGCCTGTCGTGAAGAACTGTCACAATCCGCGACGTGTAGTTCACAGACACCTCCTTGACACCTGGTAAAGGTTCCAAGATCTTCCTGACGAGAGGAACCTCCGAGGGGCAGCAAATACCCATGACGTTTAAAACCGTCCGTGCAACTTGCTGGAAATTCTCTGGAATGTTTAGGATGTCCTCGGCAAGCCTGGGAGCTACCACAGCATCGTCTTCCTCGGCAAGAATCTCGTAACCTTTCCCTTCGGGGCCCTGGTAGCTGAAGATATCCATCAGCTGCTTCGGCCGCCTCTTGAGCTTTCCCAGCGATTCCCCCACCTTAACCAGGCGGCCATGCTCGTACTGAGAGTCCCCGGCATCTCGGATGAGCATGTATGATCCATCCTGCTTGGGGACTAGAAAGTCATAGTGATCACCGTGAGCGATTTGGTTGTGGCCACAGTCGTCGTTATGCTTGTGCTCGTCCTTGAGCGATGAACTCAGCCCGTCCCAGGACATCGGGAGAGCCCAACAAGTCTCCTCCAAGCACTAACAAACAAAGGAAAAAAAAAAAAGGCAGCTTGTCAATCGTCCACGAACGGCAATTCCAAACCTGTTCGAGCAAGACATCCTCGGTGATCTCTCCGTGATGGACATGCGCGTGGACGTGCTGGCTCTCCCGGAGGCAGCATCGCTCGGACTCGGGGAGAGGCGCCCAAGTCCCCGTGTGGTGATCCACAAAACAGATCCTACCTTTGTCCGGGACGGCCACATACGTGATGCCGTCGCCCTCGAGGATGAGAAGATGATCGCCCTCCTTGTGCTGCTTCTGCGCATACACCGAGAATCAAATCGCAAGAACTTCCAGAGAAGAGAAAAAGGATGCGTACCTGATCCATGATCATCGATCGCCAAAAATACCCTTCCCCGAGTCCTAAAGTAGTTCCATTTCGGTCCCTTTCCGGGCGAGCACTAAAGGAGGGACAATGCAGGACAAAGCCGCAACAGGGAAAGAGATTCCGCGAGAAGAATCTCTTGCGCGGCGGCCCCGCCGCGGCCACTGTCGATCGATCCACTGCTGCGCTCGCATTGTGCGCGCCCGATCGATCGATCCCCTGATGGAAACCCTAACACGCCAATCTTGGAAGAATCGCCCTCACATCCCCTTCTCTCTCTCTCCCCCCAAAATCAAAAACCACACACCACATTGTGTGAGAGAGAAGGCTGTTATATATTTGAGGCCACAAGAAAGGAATCAGATCGGCATATCTGGCGGGGCCGTACGTTGGCCGTTTTAAAATATTTGGACCGGCCCAAGCTTGTGGGCGATTAGCGATTAAAAAAAGCTATAGTTTTTTCTTGAATGTTCCGTGCCGGTGGTGCTTTGGTTTTTTGTTTTTTATTTTTTATTTTCTCGCTCAAGAAAGGCGGCGTGCGCTATCGCATCCTCTTATCGGTAAGGGCCATCTTTCCATTAAGAACCGAAAGGTGGTGGAGCAGGAGTAAAAAAGACATCTACATTACGTGTCGCCTTTTATTGAAATCGATTGCTAAGATTCGGATATGTCAACAAATCACACCGCTTTTCCACGTAGAGACGATCTCGACGAAACGGGGTACCTTGTAGAAATCCCGGATTTTCACGTTGAAAGTAAACAAGTTCCTGGACTTTCACGTTGGAATCCTGGAAGTAGAAAGTTCCTGTACTTTCACGTTGGAATCCTGGAATTTCAAGTTGGAAGTAACAAAGTTCCTGGACTTTCGCGTTGGAAGTAACAAAGATCTTCGAACCAAAAGAGGTTCGCCCAGGAGATTACGAGTCCACTTCCAGGATTTCACCGTCCTCTACCTCGGCCCCGACCTCCTCCTCCTCCGCCACTCCTGGCGTTCGCCGGGTCCTCTTGATCCAGATTCAATGGCAGCGGCATCGTCACCTTTGGTTTCACTGCCTTTGCCGCGCCTCGAAAATGCGGTGCCTCCACCTTACACCCCAGCTGCGCGTAGTGTGGCTGCAAGTCCGTCACGGTCATCTTGAGCTCCGTAGCCATGTCTTGCGCGTCGGACGTGAAGCCGTCCAGTTTCATGGCCAGCACCAGGATGTAGCTCAGGAGGTAGTCCCTGTGGAGGAGCTTGCCACTGCCGCCGGAGCCTCGCTTCTCGGTCTGCGGCGGCGCGTCTTGCAGGAACATCGAGCTGAGCTTGTCGTAGATCACTTGCGGCATGTCGAGGTTCACCTTCTCGTCGAAGAATGGATTGCGGCCGCTCACCACGCGGCCCCTCGTCGCGTGGAACATCAAGAGGAGGTAATTCAGGTAGACCATGATGAAACTCCGCTTGGCATTTCCTTCTCGATCTCCCTGTGCACAAAAGTGTCAGCCGAGCCAAAGAAAACGAAAGAAAAACTTGCTTACGTCGACGCGAAGGCGGTGTATCCGATCGAGGATAAAGTTCCAGTATTTTTCTTGCGAGCGTAGAGCCTCGAGCTCTGCCGCCTTCTTGGCCGCCTTCATGAGATCGCTCGAGTCCATGGATTGCCATTCCTCTTTTGTTATGATCTTGTTGAGAGGATAGGCATCGTCGGGAGCCTTGGCGTCGAGATTGTAAGGCGGTATTCTTCTCACCATCGCGGCATTTGCTGCTTTTTCCACCTCCTTTCTCGTCATCACAAGCCCCTCCTGTTGCACAGCGTCCTGTAAGTAGCCTTTGAATTGCTCGTCGGATCCTCCCAGCGCAGTTTCTTTCACCACAGCTCTCGACATTCTTTGCAGCTGGAGAAGAAGTTGTAAGAAAGAAAAACAAAGAAACAATAGAAACAACAGAAGACTTACCGCGTTCTTGGCCTTCTTCGTTCCAAATCTATTCACGAGCGTGTTCTTCCGATCGATCCTCATTTCTCTATCCACCTCCGTGTCATCCTGGTTGCCGTAATCCATCATGTACGAGACACCACGAACTCTAGGTTCCATTCTTAAAACCTGTGAAGGAAAAGTAGCAAAAAAAGAATGAAGATGGTCAACCATTCGCGAGATCCTGGACGAGAATGCGGTACCTTATTCGAGACAACTGGCACGATCTTGAGAGTTCCCTCCTCCTTATCGAAAACCCCGAGAGCAAACATGGTCGGATTCCAGGCACCGGCTTCACTGTTCACATTCGCTCCAACGAAATCCACATTTCCCCCCGGCGGCCGGACCACCAGCTGCATTTGCGAGTTCTTGGTGCTCGCGTAGAGCTCGGGCGGATCCGATTGATCGTCCTTGGTCGGCTGCTGCGCGCAGGGATCGAATGGCGTGGGAAAATACGCCAGAATCGGGAGCTGCGCGCCTTCCTCCCTCGCCAGCACATCCAGCGTTACCTTTTGGCGAGAGCGCTTCTTCCTCTTGGCGCTGCTGGTGCTGGGAGCAGCGCCATCGTCCTCCTCCATAGCTGCCAAACCCTAAACCCAGGCAGCTAAGCTAAACGCACGCTTTTGGCTTAATCAGAACCCTAGATGGTTGTCTAAGAAAAGGGTAGTTTTCGATAAAGAAAAGAGAAGTTTGTTCTTTAAAATCATAGATGTATCTTGCACAAAGATGGCAGAAATACATAGCTGTGAGAGAACTTGATTTCCATTTTCCAAAAAGAATTAAGCGCCACTGCAGCCTAACTCTAAGCAATGTTGCAGAAGAGTGACAAGATTTTACGGCTTGATACAGAAGAGTTCTTGAAAGATCTCATAAACCTTCCTAGATCTCTTCATTATTTTCGCCCTCTCAAGCTCCAGTGTCAAATCCTTCGCTCCAGCGACCTTCTCAAGGAAGAACCCAATATGCTTGAGTTGCAAATACTTCTTCCCTTTGACATTCTTGAAAGCCGGGATCTGGATTCCATTCCTGGGTTGCAGGGAAAAGTAGTGGGGCTTGTCGTCCACAATCACCACCCGCCTCAAGTCGCGACCCAAGCGCGACAAGTCCTTGATCATCGTTTCCCCATCGCAGGACACACACGACTCCCGGTACAGGCGGTGAGTGATCAATCCCTCCGGGTCGAGCTTGTCCAGAATCGTGTCCGCATAATACTGCTTCGACGCGGTAAACACCACTATCTCGTAGAGCTTTGCCATGTCCCGCAGGAACTTGTCCACGCCGGGCCGCTTAGCCACCATGTAGCGCTGCACTGCCACAACTTTCCCGCTGACGAGCTTGAGCGTTGCCTTCCCCCGTCGGCTGTGGACGAGGGTGTCGTCCATGTCCAAAACCAGCGTTGGCTTGCTTGGATCCAGAGGTGGCGGTAAAAGAGACGCAGCAAAGTCCTCCTTGAACTTGGTCTTCTCGGCCTTGAGCACAACTTCTAATGTGAAATCCCACTGTCCGCTCATCTTCGAAAGAACGAAAGGTAATGTTCCCCTAACCTTAAGCACACATATAAAGGCCCAACCCTTGGTATATTCCAATGCACCACCTTTTGCATTACAAAAGGCTTTTTCTTTTATGTATGTTTTACAAACTAGGATTGTTTGCGCTACATTTCTTCTCATTCTCTTTTTGTAAGTTTAAGAGCTCTCAACCTCGGCTGCTGAATTGGCTACCACCAGCAACAGCGTGCTAAATCTACACACACACCCACCAAAAAAAGATTTCGGATCGTTAGAATATGAAAAGAAGCCACACAAAAAGGCAACCAACAAGGAGAAATCAAAGCGATGGAAAACGAAAACGTGAACGTTCTGAGCCTAAACCTTTGAAAAAATAGCTCCTGAGAATCTACAAGTATGATACAAGCAGAAAAATTCTAATGCACCGTGCAGAGAACAAAGGAAACAGGAGAAAGAACACAGATATGAAGTAGAAATCCTACCTTGAATTGGTGCGCTTGACGCTCACCGACACAACCCGCTGTTGGTCCTTGCTCCGGACCTGTTGGAGTTGCTGCTTCTTCCTCTTGTGCTCCTCGAGCCTCTCGATCGCTTTCTGGAATTCTACGCTCCAGGTTCCAAAATCTTCCAGCTCCGGCAAGCTCGAGTCCACCACCAGCGGCTGCTGCTGCTGCTGCTGCTGCTGGTTCACCATCTTCATCTGCTGCTTGAGCTTGCTCATCTGTTTCTTCAACGCCAGTTTCTCTAGTTGCGCCCTCTGCCTGATCATCTCATCCACTCTCTCCTGAATCGTTGAAGCCTCAACGGTTTTTTCAACCAGAGTTTCTTTAGCCGGAGTCTCGATCTCGGACTCCATCTCGGTGTCTTCTCCGCCGGTGCTGCTAGCAGGCCTCTCTTTTCTATACGGAGAAAGAGTTGCCGCTTCTGCCAGTGCCAGTAAGTCCGACGTCCCTTCCTGCGAAGAACTAGCCTCGTTCGTAAGGCTCCCATTGCATGGCGACTTGGGCGATTTGGAGGACTTCGATCTCGAGATTTGCGGCACTTTTTTTCGTCTGGTGAAGTGCTTGATGCCCGACTGTCGCATCTGATGTATCACCTTGAGCTTCTTCATCTCCTCCGGATTGGCCCGTCCAGTGTATTTCTTCCAGACGAGATCTCCTGGTTGAGGACGAACCTCTTTCGTCCCCACAAACTTCTTAAAGCCGAGGTCGGTTTGCGCCGGCTCTCTACTTTCAGCTTCTTTTTCATCGGATGGAACCGATGCTTCATCACAGACCTCCGGAAGTGAAGGAGACTCGATATTCTCCACGCCTAGAAAAGAAAGGTGGTTAAAACTACACAGAGCAAAAGCTATATCTTACCAACTGGATTTAAAACATCTTGATCAGTAGCATCCAAAACGGGCGAGCTCAAAGAGACAGTCTCTGGTAGAGACTCAATTTCAAGTCCTCGAGGAGGCAGGCAAAACGCAAACAAATGCCTCTTCTGTTTTTTAGAGGAGTCCCGGTACTGCTTCCAGCGCTCTGGCTGCGAAAATAAACAGAGAGAAAGTTTAGTGCAAAAAAGCAGTAGAAAACAAAAGAGAGAAGGAGCATACCTGGAAATATCTCACCAAAGATATTCCGTTCCTCCGTCTCTTCTCAATCCAATAGCCATGGATGAGCTTAATGATCTTCAGCGACGCAACGTGTAGACAAACCTCACTTGCCGCGTCGATTGACAAGAGCTCGTTCCGATCATGAGAATACTTCTCCAGCGTGTACATCATCTTCTCGAACTTCTGCTCCGAGATCTTCGTGTAACCGCCAGCCTTCCCGTTCAAGTTCGACAGCCATTCCTCGTCCTCGCAATCCATGTCGTAGAGAACCCGGGTTTCCAGATTCACCTCAGGCGTCGGAATGTATCCATTCGCAGGACGGATAAAAGCCGGCCCCCTCCACCGAGTATCCAAGTCTTTCACGACCTGGAACTTTGGAGTTGGAAGTTTTCGAGAAGCCGCAAGCATGTAGTTCTTCTGATAGCACTTCTCGAAAACTCTCTTGAAAGCGTTGAGCTGCATGGTGTTTTTAAACTCGAGCATCCATCCCTGGTCGGCCTTCCACATGAAAGAACCCGAGAACCCGTTGGTGCTGTAGTGGAAAAACCTTCGTCTAATCTCCTGGACGAACAACGTCTCCCCTTGCAGAAGCACGCAAAGATACCAGCCCCTGTGACCACTGTGGAGCTCCACAGTAGCTCCATACTCTCTCCATCCCCGATCGAACTCTACCACAAGAACGTTGCAATTACATCCCCGGTTCTTATCCAGCAATCCCTTGTAGATAGCCTTTCCACAGCCTCTAGTGTTTGAAAAGCTCGGGCTCCTTTCGAGTTCTATCTCCTCCTGGTGACTGCTAGACCTGTCATCGCTCTCGTGTTCTTCCTCTCGTTCCTCGCTCTCACTTTCCTCGCGATACCTGTTAGTCTCTTCTTCGCCATCGACGAGACGATATCCAGGTGTTGGAATTGGCCTTTTCGGATACGTTGGCTCGCAGTGGTCGGGGAAACGATGAAGAACGTTGCTCGCTAGAACTGTTCCTCCAGCTCCAAAGAAATCCTTGCATGGCAGGAGCTGCGAAGGAATAGTTACTGGGTTGTTTCGAGAGATGGAACTAAAACTCACCGCATTGTTATCGCGAGGAGGAGGCACCAGTAATCCCTTCCCTCTCCGTGGCTCGGTTTTCCGGCGCTTGGCATCGAATACACTTCGGTGCCTCTCGTCCTGCGTGAAAAAACGAGGATAAATTTTTGCTTCTTTTTCACCACAGCGAGGAAGAACAAAAAAAAGAGCTCAATGCAGACCATACCTTTCTTTTCCTCGCCTTCATCGTCCTCCTCAGCAGCGCAACAACCCAGAGCTCATTCCCCTGGCGAAGTAATCCAAATCACAAGAAAAAAAATATTCTATCGCTCGCGCCGCTGGAGATTCGTCACGCGCTGGACTGGAAATTCCGAGGGATTTCCACAGCGGGACGATGGAATGGAGCAGCATTCATCGCGCGGAGCTAAAGCCCTAGTCTAGGGTTCGCAGATTTTCCTCGCCAAAACCTCTCATCCAGAAATGTATACGCTCGAATTTTTTTCTTTTTTCTTTTTTCCACTATCTCTTTTTACCTCCCGGTAAAACCCGCGAGGATAAACACCCATCTACCTCTTGTTCGCAGTGCCATGCTTGCATTCACCCGCGGTAAAACGGCGGGCCCCGCCCCGAAGATATTTGCTGCAAAGAGTATTTTATGTTCCAGTTACCAGGGGTTTAGGGTTTAGGGTTTAGCGTGGCCGCCAGATATTTTTTCGCGATGGCTGCCTTTGGATTCGAACCCTGACCGCGCGAGTCCCGTACAGGGAAAGGTTTACCGTACGGGTTTGGTCGTTTTAACCCTAGGGGCGGAGTGAGGGCGTAAGCCGCGATGTCGGGCGGCTTCTTCCGGGTGAGTGATTTCTTCGCGGCGCCTCTCTCTCTCGCCGAGCTCTCGCTCTCGCTGAGCTCTCGCTCTCGCTGTCTTCTTCACGGGGATTTTGTCAATGCAGGGCACGTCCACGGAGCAGGACACTCGATTCTCCAACAAAATGGCCAAGCTGCTTAAGACGCAGAAGTTTGCGTCGGAGCTGGACCAGCCGGTAAGCAATTGGATTCCTTGTAGCGATTAGCTGAGGCGAATTTTTTTTTTCCTTCTCGGACAGATCGACATGTCGAAGGTGAATATGGATGTGATGCGACCGTGGATTGCGACGCGGGTCACTGAGCTTCTGGGATTCGAGGATGAAGTGCTGATTAATTTTATTTATGGTCTTCTGGACGTCAAGGTATGGAGTTTTGGAGAACTTGTGGCTTGATTTTCATATCGTTCTTTCTTTTCAAGGTGGGTGATGGCAAGCACATTCAAATCCAGCTTACGGGGTTCATGGAGAAGAACACTGGTCGATTCATGAAAGAGCTTTGGGGACTTCTTGCCAGCGCACAGAGCAACGCGAGCGGTATTCCTCAAGCGCTGCTGGACAAGAAGGCGCTCGAGACTCAACTCAAAAAGGTAAGTAGGCGTTCAATCTGGTCTTTCTGTCTAGCAGTTCTCTTATCTTCCGGTTTGCGTTTGTCTACAGGAAAGTAGAGCAACATATCTAATCCCTTGCCGATGCAGGCTGAAGAGCAAAGGATTTTGGCGGCGGTTCGTCAAACGACGGAGCGGGAGAAGGAAAAAAACGACTCTTTGCAACAAAACAAACTTGTGAGTTCATTTCGTTCTCTGTTTGTATCCCTCGGGCGTTTTGAATGTGGTGGTAATGTATAGGCTGTAATTGATGGTGTTGCTGGCGGAGCTCTTGTGGTTGCGTCAAAGCCAGCAGAGCCCAACCGAGATCGAAACGCGCCTGAAGCATTACCGCGAAGGCGAAGGTCCAGGTCAAGAGATCGCTCTCCTTCTCGAAGCCGTTCACGGTATGCTAGTTTTAGTTTTTTGGACTTGTGGAGTTCTCTCTCACTTCCGTAACTTGGCAGTTCTCCTGGTCACCGACGTCCTCCGAGACCTCGCAGGTCACCACCTCCAAGGCATAGGCGCTCTCCATCACCACCGCGGCGGCGGTCGCCACCTAGAAGACGCAGGCCATCTCCAGGGAGACACCGACCGTCCCGTTCTCCATCAAGGCTCAGACACTCGCCCCTAAAAAGACGTCCTTCTCGGTCACGGTCCCCAAGGCGGCGTTCACCTCGGCGTGGACGTTCTTCTCGGTCCCGTTCGCCACTGTCGCCAAGGCACCACAGAAAGTCACGCTCTCCTCCTCCCAGACGAAGGCATTCACCTCGCAGGCGACCGAGGTCCCCTCCTCGGCGTGGACATTCACCTCGTCGCAGGCCACCGTCGAGATCACCCGGCCGCATGCGGTCGCGTTCGCATCCACGCTCTCCCAAGCGCAGCAAGTCGCCATCATCTTCGCCCTCAAAGTCTTCACCGTCTCCGGCGCCAGAAAAATCTCCGGCTCGCGAGAAGTCTCCCGCAGGAGAAGAGAGGTTGGCATTTTAAATTTTGTTTGAAAGGTGACGAAACTTTTCTGTGAAAACACAGGAACTCCGGAAAGAGTCGGAGCAAGGGAGAGTCCGCTGAAAGGTAGAGAGAGCTTGGATGTTTAGCCTAGATCACGACTGATGGTTGTGTCGTTGCAGTATGCACGATCAGAGCAACGGCAAGAATCAGGAAGCAGCACAAGACAAGGGCCAAGCTCTGAAGCGGAATCGTTCGCCATCACCCGAGAGAGTCCACGTCGTGGATTCGAGCACGACGGGAGAAGTGAAAAAGCCTTCTCGCCCGAGCAATGACACAGACTCCATGGAGGCGGCGAGCCCGAATCGCTCCAAGGTGGACGACGACGACACGAGCCCGCTGAGCGAGGAGAAGCGAGAGGCGAAGCGGCGGCGGAGGGAGGAGAAGCGATTGAGGAAGGAGGAGAAGCAGCGGCGGCGGGAGGAGAAGAGGAAGAGGAAGGAGGAGAAGCGATCGCTCAAGGCCGCCGCTGCTACCGCCGCCGTGAGCTCCGCGTCCGCCAGAGGCCCTGCCGAGAGTGATGTCGAGCAGAAGAAGCTCGAGGACGATCTGCGAAAGAAGGCGCTCGAGTCGCTCAAGGCGAAGATGCAAAGCTCGTGAGGGGTGGTCTTGTGTGAATAAGTGAGGGGTGGTTCTACCATGATATTGTGATAGGCGAAAAATCGATACTTTCATTCTAATTTAAAATTTAGGGCTCTTGCGCGCGAAGTGTGATGACGTGGCGGCATCTTTCTTAAGAGTTTCTAGGGTTTAATCCGTCGTGTGGCAAATAATGGGGTCCCTGGTCCGGTCCGCCGGATTCGACCGGCTCGCGCGCAAGAAGCAGCTGGGGATTTCACGGCCGGATCATCAGGATAGCCCAGCGCCGGCGCAGCTGTCCAGGGAATTGCGCGTGCCGCAGCTGCTGGCAATCGGTAAGATTTGGATCCGGTGGATTTCGATCTGGATTGGAGATTGCAGGGATTGGGACGACGATCGGCGCTGGCATTTTCATTCTGATTGGTACGGTGGCCAAGGAGAGGACGGGGCCGGCGCTGCCACTGTCATTCGCTATTGCCGGTGTCGCCGCGGCGCTATCGGCTTTCAGCTATGCGGAGCTCGCGAGCCGATTGCCCTCTGCTGGTAGTGCTTACCATTACGCATACACATGCCTAGGAGAAGGGTAAGCAAAGAAGCAATGCTTCTTTGCATCTGTATCTCACTTTCTTTCTATGGACGATGAGTTTAAATTTGGAACCTTGTTTTGTAGATTGGCATGGTTCGTCGGATGGTCTCTCATACTGGAGTATACTGTGAGCGGTGCCACGGTTGCTCGTGGAGTTAGTCCGAATCTGGTAAGACTGTGAGAGTTTTCTTTTTTGCTGACTGACAGTCCTGCTAGGCATTGTTCTTCGGAGAGGATTTGCCTTTCTGGCTAGTACGAAGGAACATTCCTGGTACCGGGATCTTGGCTGATCCGTTTGCGGGGTTCTTGATCGTCATGGTAACGATCTTGCTGTGCACGGGGATAAAGCAGGTAATTCTTCCAGTGGCGCGCTACTGACGTTGTGGTTTCGCTTTTCTAAAGAGTGCAGCGGTACAAGTCGTCATGACGGTCATTCTCGTTCTTGTGCTCTTGTTCGTGGATGTCGTGGGGTTGTGGATCGGGATCAAAGAAGGATGGAGAGGATACGAGTTGAAAACCGGGTATGCATGTCTACGCTGAGCTTTTTTACAATCTTGTTTCATGGACCAGGTACACACCTTTTGGTGTTAGCGGCGTGCTTGGAGGTGCAGCTATGCTGTTTTTTTCGTATGTTGGATTTGATGCTGTTGCCACTACGGCCGAGGAGGTATAACTTGATTTCTGCAGTTATGAGTTTCTTTGATATTGTGAACTTTGCCAGGTTAAAAACCCACATGTTGATCTTCCAATTGGAATCGGGCTTGCTTTGCTAGTATGCGCGAGCTTGTACATGTCCGTTTCAGCTGTAGTCGTTGGCATTGTCCCTTACTTCTTACTCAACACAGATACTCCCATATCGACTGCGTTTTCGCAAAACGGACTGCCTTGGGCTACGTAAGTACATGCTCACATGTTTTTCTGGCACAAACTATTTGTACAGGTATATCGTAGCGCTTGGAGCCTTGACTGCCATGCTCACGACGCTACTGGGCTGTTCCTTGCCACAGGTTTGTGGTTAGCTTTGTTTTTCGTGATAGACTGTTGTTCCTTATATATCCAGCCCCGCATACTCATGGCAATGTCAAGAGATGGTTTGCTGCCCCAGTTCTTCAGTATTATTCACAAATCTACCTTGGTACCTGTTAATGGCGCTGTAACAACGGGGACGATAGCGGTGTTTGTTTCTGTGTTTATGGACATCAGTCAACTATCCGAAATGGTAAAGTTCTAATATCTTCGTCGCTTATAATTGTGTTGCTATAGGTGAGTGTTGGAACACTAATGGCTTTTACTTCTGTAGCACTTTGCGTGCTCATCATAAGGTACTCACCGCCTCACTCAGCGGTCCACCTTCCAGTATCCATTTCTGTAGAAACAACGAACACTCCGCCGACCACCTCAAATGACGTGGACATCTCCAATGAGAACGAAGAACGAGAAGAGCCGGAAGAAAATGACGCACCTGAGGGTTGTTCTATCGATCTGAAAAATCCATTGCTTGACACTGAAGAAATCTATGGTAAGCTCAAATCAATCAATTCCATTTACAAAAATCTTTCTTTTGTATGTAGCGACCAAAGGTAAACAAGGAGTGGCCGGATGGAGCATTTGTATATTTGTGCTCGGAAGTCTCATCCTCAGCCTATTCTTATCTATGGCCATTTTTCCTCGGTAAGCTTTCTTTTTTGCTTACATATGAACAAATTCGAGTGCTCGCTTCAGCTGGCTGCAAATTATTGGTGGGACGATTGGAGGTTTACTTTTCGCTGGCGGAGTAATCGTCCTCTCCATGACTAAACAAGACGAATCTCACCGAACTTTTGGAAATCCTGGAGGTACGCTACGAATTTCTAGATAGAACTAACAGCATGTGGTGTCCTTCAGGATTTCACTGCCCGCTTGTTCCTTGGCTGCCAGCCGCGTCTGTTTTTGTCAACGTCTACCTCCTCGTCAATGTGGGGTATGGGATTGAAGTTGCTATACAATTGGAATTCTTTCTTTGTCGAGTGATCAGTGCAGCGACATGGATTCGAGTTTCAGTATGGCTTGTCTTGGGCGGCCTCGTCTACATTTTCTACGGCATTCATCACAGCATACACTAGAAGGAAAAGATATAATAAACGTGTGGTAAAGTTCTCTTTCTTTTTTTCAGATGGCTTAAAAATGATTGTTACAGGAACTATTGAGAGTCGAGGCTTTTTCAACTCTATTGAGGTACCATACCATTGGTTTTCGGCATCTCTTTGAGTATCTATTCACCGAGAACTGGACACAACACCAACACGGTGCAGTTTGTCCAGAGCTTTACAAAACAACACTGAAGGTGCCATTTCTGACAGTGAAAGTTGCCAACCGAGAGAGATCTAGTTTTCATCAAGGAAGATCACGAGCAGCTGCAACATGACTTCTTTGAGTTCGATTAATAGTAATAGCGTATATTGCGGTTTTAACCGTACTGGCACCTTTGATCTGGTTTAAATGTATAATAAAAGCGCATATCTACTTTGCCCTAAATCAAAACAAGCAGCATGCATCTTTTTGGCGGGTAGATCCGTCCATTTCTACGTACAGTGGCAGACCTTGCTGACTTGGTGACCGAGATCACCAGCTATAAGTACTTCCTCACCACTGGGCCATGGCAGTCGGGTAAAAGTCGTCGCTTGTGTACGCTCTAGCTAGCGCGGCCTTGGACAAGGGATTCTTGCCCGTCGTCACCTCTATCACCCAGCCCATAGTCGCTGCTGCTGCCGCCTGCGACACCACCAAATCGGACAGGGACGCTGCCAATGAGTTCTTCGACATCTTGACGGAGGATCTGGTCGATAACAGCCGTGGAGGATTGCGTCGCTTGCCCCATGGAGGCTTGAGGGGCCTCTTGCAGACGCTCAGCTCGACTACAGATGGAAGGGAACTTATCTGGTTTATCGACGAGGCTTAAGATAAGGAGCTCTGTGTTAAACACATTACTGGCCGAGTTGAGGATATGCAAGGAAGGGTCCGTGGCAAGGTACCTTAGCAGCTTTGTGCTGGTGGGTCGACCGCAGCTCCGCGACCTCCTGGTGTGAGCCGGGCAGCTGGCAAGAAGCAGATCTCCCCTTGCCTTGGAGATGGTCAGGTCGGCCGATTGTCTTGGGATCGAGGACGTCCAGTACATGCTACTCGAGTACTCTCAGGAGTATCACGTATCCTTCAGCTCCAAACTCACCTCTCCAGACGGGGCAGTCGGGAGGGTCAGCAAGTCGATCCTGGGACTAACGGGTGGTCACAAGGGGATGACAGTTAGCTGCTGCGAGTATCTCACATGCAACGGTATCTTGACGGCTGAAGAGTGGGATCGCCATGTCAGACTTGGGGCATGTCTCCAGATACATTTTCTACTCGAAGCTGTATCGCCACACACTTTCAAACATCTCCAGCTACAGCGAGGGTACCAAGCAAGTCATTCTAGAGTGCGTGCAATCTGGATCAGGCTCTACCTTTGTAAGAGGCTTGTGGCCTCTTCGACCTGCTATTGATGACGGGGTGCTGCAAGTCTCTGGAGACTGCATGGAGCTCAGCCCCAGCTTGTTATTGAGTGCTATCCTTGAGGATTGCTCGCTTGCTTTGGAAACACTGCCCTGTGAAGCTGATTCCTTCAACGAGGCTGTTCAGTTGGCTTTTACCTACATTGAAGCCAGATTGTTTGATGGGACCAGAAGTCATGAACAGTAATGGTCATCTATTGAAGTGCATCTTGCGAAGCGAATTCCTATTGGCGCTGAAGTTTGTATTGGACAACGCCTTCACAAAATGTAAGTATACCATTTCGGTGGAAGCGAAGCAGCAGAATAATGGCCAAAGAAGGGCACATGTGGATTTTCTCGTCAAAAATGGGGGTTGGCCTTCCAAAGGCTTCAAGATTCAGTGCCTGGGAAGTAAGAAGTCTATTGCAGATCACATTAGCAAGTCGGATAGGTATAGACTTCTTTATGGCAGTGAGATGCACTACGTTTACTTTGTTGTGGGGCCATATGATCTTGAAGAAGTCAAATCTACTATCAAGTTGGAGAATGCAAAGTATCTGCTTATCAAGAGCTGGTTAGTGCAGTTCTTGCTGCAGGAAAAGAAGTGGAGTACTGAGCAATTGGAAAAGATTGATGACGATAAGAGTGGTTGGTTGTCTGTGAAGCTAGATGTTACAACAAACTTTCCCAGGTTTTTGTTTTGTGCAAGGCCTTCTCTTTGATCGAAATGTACCAAGATCACTTCCAAGCCAAGGAAGAGAGCTCCAACTCTCTCTTTTCATCCTTGCTAACAAAGCGACTCCCAAGAAAACTCATTGCCACCCTCCTCATCCCCTCGATCACTACTGCGGCCGGTGCCACTGCCATTGCCGTGGTTACCAGCGGGAGGAGTATCGCCATCAATCACTGCGAAGTCGATGATGTTCTTTCAACCTCCTCACCATGGAGCGGTATAATGGCAATTCTTGATGCCCGCCGGGTTTTCAACCCAATGGAGAAGCACAGCAGTGTGTCGTGGATGACACTTAAACTGGGCTATTCGATGAGCTTTCGAAGCTCTTCGTAGGGGGTCTTGAATGGGTAAGACAATTAAGTTGTAGAGAAACAATTGGCCTTGCTTGAGAGGACACTGCTGTGTGGCCATCGAACCAGGGAGTTCTTAATTGCTGGATCCAATGCCTGTGATGCAAAGTTTTAGAATGTGCTCCTCGCAGTGGGCTGGGTGTGGTAAAGGAATTGCTATCGAAATTCTGGATAGATTTGCTGTGCAAACACCCCAAGAGCATTCTATACGATGTCATATCAGAACCCTTTTTTATTAGCTTTCATAGAAAAAACAGGCAAAATTCTAAAACTTCGGCATATTTGCAAATAGGGGCTTTATGCAATTTTCAAATTTTAGGTATTTCGTCAGGAAAATAGCAAACTTAAATCGTGGACGAGAGCTGATAATGAACGTGGAGCGCGCGGACAACATGAAGAAGCACTGAGTAGGATGAATCGCACTTGCTCTTGCAAAGTAGGATGAAGCGAACTGGAGAATGGAAGCCATAGCATTTTATTATCAGTGAATTAAAAACCTTTACATCTAAATTCTATTTCTCCAGCAATTGCATATTCCGTCTAAGTGGTAGGCGGGGGAGCGATGGGAAGCTAGGGCGGAGCTGTGTGATGGCGCGCCACAGATCTACCAGATCCTCCATGTAAGCGATGGCTAGGGTTTAGATCGCAGGGGATTTCTATCAGCCATGGGGGAAGCTGCGGATTCTGAGGCGACGGATGCAGTGGCGGAGCCGCGGCTAGGGCTCCCCAAGCTCATCGGCGCGGCGCTGGACCGGATCGTCAAGAACACGTCGTGGCGTGGGCACGGCAAGCTCGTCCAGGAATGCAAGGCCGCGCAGGAGCGCCTCAATGCTCCCAGCGCCAAGGAGAATGGCAATTCCACTGCAGCTGCCGCCGCAGCTGCCGCCGCCGCCGCGGGATTGGAATCCTCCAAGTTCCACGCCAGGGCTTTCGAGAGCTTCCTCTTCGACGGGCCAGTGTGCTACAATGCCAGCTCCGCCGAGCTCATTCTACAGCCTCTCGTCACTGCCTGCGACAGCCAGTCGGCCAAGTTGGCAGATCCAGCGCTGGATTGCATCCAGAAGCTCATCGCTCACGGCCACTTGCGGGGAGAGGTGGATGCCGAGAGTGGATCTGAGTTTTTGGTGCTCGTCCAGATGATGGACAACGTCTGCAAGTGTCACGAGCTGGGTGACGAGCAGATCGAGCTCCTGGTTCTCAAGACGCTGCTCACGGCTGTGACCTCGACCACTTTGCGAGTCCATGGAGACTGCTTGCTCAAGGCCGTCCGGACGTGCTACAACGTTTTCCTCGGGAGCAAGGCACCAGTAAACCAGACCACGGCCAAGGCGTCGCTCACACAGATGCTGGTGATCGTGTTTAGGAGGATGGAGGCGGATTCGTCCACGGTGCCCGTCCAGCCCATTGTTGTGACGGATCTCATGGAGCCAGCCGAGAGGTCTTCTTCCGACACCAACACAACGCAGTTTGTCCAGAGCTTTATCACCAAGGTGGTGCAAGACATCGAGGTGGCCTTGAGTCCCGCTACGTCGTTCAAGTCTCTGAAGCACGACGGTGCTTTCGAGTCCACGGCGGCCACGGAGAATAGCGGGAGCTCTGATTTTCTGGAGTCGACCGACAGGGACATGCTCGACGCGAAGTACTGGGAAGTCAGCATGTACAAGAACGCTCTCGAGGGGAAAAGGGGGGAGTTTGCGGACGCAGATTTGGACAAGGACGGGGACTTGGACGTGCAAATAACGAACAAGCTGAGGCGAGATGCGTTCCTCGTGTTCCGGGCCCTTTGCAAACTTTCCATGAAGGTTGCTCCTCAGGAAGCCATGGATAATGTCTCGTTGCGTGGCAAGATTTTAGCACTGGAGCTTCTGAAGCTGCTGCTGGAGAACGCTGGTGCGGTTTTCCGTACAAGCGACAGGTATGGCGTTTTCTCTCTTTCTCTTTGAGTTCCTCACGATTGACGCTTTGGTTGCTGGAAATGCAGGTTTGTCGGCGCCATACGGCAATACCTCTGTTTGTCACTTCTGAGAAACAGTGGTATACAGCTGATGAATATTTTCCAACTATCCTGCTCGATCTTTATGAGTCTGCTTTTGAGATTCAGAGCAGGACTCAAGGCTGAAGTGGGTGTTTTTTTTCCGCCGATCGTTCTTAGAGTGCTCGAGAACGTGGCTCAACCAAACTACCAGCAGAAGATGATAGTCATTCGGTTCCTAGATAAGCTTTGCGTGGACCCGCAAGTTCTCGTCGACCTGTTCGTTAACTATGACTGCGACGTCGATTCCCACAACATTTTTGAAAGGTATGCCTCGATTGAATTCATGTTCTTCGCTGATAATTTGCTATTTTCTAGGCTGGTAAATGGACTACTTAAAACTGCTCAAGGTGTACCTCCGGGCGTGGAGAGCAGTTTGACTCCTATCCAAGATGCCGCTATGAAGCTTGCTGCAATGAAATCTCTTGTTGGCGTGCTACGATCGATGGGGGACTGGGCCAACAGGCAGCTTAGGTTGTCAGATGCAGCCTACCTGAGAAGTTTGGATCAAACTGACAGCACCAGTGAATCTAATTCCGTTGGTCACAATGGTTTTGAGGAAAATGGCGATGGTGCTGAGTCTCGCGTCTCCGAAATCTCTTCAGAAACGTCTGAAGTGGCAACTTTTGAGCAACGGCGTGCTTACAAGTTGGAGTTTCAGGTACTGAAGTTCTATGCTTCTTATCATATTCTCACGCTAGAAAACTGCAGGAAGGCATTTCCCTTTTCAATCGGAAGCCTAGCAAAGGCATTCAGTTCCTGATTAATGCCAAGAAGATCGGCGATTCGCCGAAGGAGATAGCAGGATTTTTATTAAGTTCAACCGGCCTGGACAAGACTGTTATCGGAGACTATCTGGGAGAAAATGACGAGCTGCCTCTAAAGGTTATGCATGCCTACGTTGACTCCTTCAATTTCCAAGGAATGGAGTTTGACGAGGCCATCAGAATCTTTTTGCAAGGATTCAGACTTCCAGGAGAAGCACAAAAAATTGATCGTATCATGGAGAAGTTTGCAGAGCGATACTGCAAATGTAATCCCAAGGCCTTTACCAGTGCGGATACCGCCTACGTGCTTGCATACTCTGTTATTCTACTGAACACTGACGCACACAATCCGATGGTTAAATCCAAAGTAAGTATACTGTTTTCCTTTTACTTCTGCCAACGGTTAACTGCAGATGACAAAAGCGGAGTTTATGAAGAACAACCGGGGGATTGACGATGGAAATGATCTACCCGAGGAGTTTATGAGTGCTTTATACGATCGTATTGTTAAGTGCGAGATAAAGATGAAGGCCGACAGTCTTGTCCCAACAAACAAGCCTACAAACAGGATACTCGGCATCGAGAGTATTTTGAACATCGTTATTCGTAGGCCCAAGGAAGACAGACTGCAGGAAACGAGCGATGATATTATAAAGAACATGCAACAGCAGCTGAAAGAGAAGGCTGGCAAATCGGGGTAAGAGCTTTTCTTTTTCTTATATTTCTGAGAACTTATTTGAACTTTCTTGCAGCTCTGTCTATTACTCACCGTCTGATGTGGAGATCTTAAGGCCCATGGTCGAAGTTACATGGGCTCCAATGCTTGCAGCCTTCAGTGTTCCACTGGAGAAGAGTGAAGACGAAGTTATCACTTTTCAGTGTCTCGAGGGATTTCGATACGCAATCCGCGTTACTTCTATTATGTCTATGCGGACAGAGCGCGACGCATTCGTGACTTCGCTAGCGAAATTCACATATCTTCATTCGCCCGCTGATATAAAACAGAAGAACATAGACTCTATTAAGGTATTTTTTCTTTCTCCTCTTTTCATACTCATAATGTAATTCCATGCTGCAGGCGGTGATATCCATTGCTGATGAAGATGGAAACTATCTACAGGAAGCCTGGGAACACGTCCTGACGTGTGTTTCTCGCTTTGAGCATCTCCATCTTATTGGTGAAGGCGCTCCTCCTGATGCCACCTTTTTCGCCGCCCCGCAGTCCGACTCCGACAAAACAATGCAGCTGAAATCGCCTGTCCTTCCTGTGCTTAAGCGGAAATGGCCTGGACGAATGCAATATGCTGCTGCTGCCGCAAGAAGAGGATCGTATGAAAGTGCTGGAGTTGGAGGAAATTCGGCTGGGTCTGTTACTGCTGAGCAGATGAACAACTTGGTTTCGAATCTCAACATGCTGGAGCAGATTGGCAGCTTCGAGATGAACAAGATATTTACCCGCAGCGACCGATTGAACGGCGAGGCAATTGTGGATTTTGTAAAAGCGCTTTGTAAAGTTTCGATGGAGGAGCTACGATCTCCAACTGATCCTCGGGTATTCAGCCTCACCAAAATTGTTGAAATATCGTAAGTAATCTGTGGCTTCTTTCTGGTCTCAATTTTCTAAATTACGCTTTTTGCAGGCATTTCAACATGAACCGCATCAGACTCGTTTGGTCGCGAATCTGGAACGTTCTCTCCGACTACTTCGTCACGGTTGGGTGTTCTGACAACTTGTCCATTGCAATGTATGCAATGGATTCATTGCGTCAACTGGCAATGAAGTTTCTGGAACGTGAAGAGCTGGCAAATTACAACTTCCAGAACCAGTTCCTGAAACCTTTTGTTGTGGTTATGCGGAAGAGTAATTCTGTTGAAATTCGGGAGCTGGTGATTCGCTGCGTGTCGCAAATGGTTTTTGCGCGCGTTAAAAACGTGAAGTCTGGCTGGAAGATTATGTTCATGGTAAGTTTTTCTCATACCTCGCATGCACAAGCTGACTGTCATTTTCTAGGTGTTTACCACGGCAGCTACAGACGAGCACAAGAGTATGGTGCTTCTGGCTTTTGAGACTATCGAAAAAATTGTCCGGGAGTATTTCTCGTTCATCACGGAGACAGAGACGACAACGTTCACAGACTGTGTTAACTGTCTCATCGCTTTCACAAATAGCAGATTCAACAACGACATCAGCCTGAATGCTATTGCATTTTTGAGGTTCTGTGCGCACAAGTTGGCGGAGGGCGAGCTTGGTGCATACGTAAAGAAGGAAGATCGCGTGGCAAATGGTGATATGTCTGAACCGACTTTTACTGATCGGGATGATGATTTGCATTTTTGGTTTCCCTTGCTAGCAGGTAAGTTTGTTTTTTCCGTTGATTGTGGAAGGTGTCTCATACTTTCTGTGTTTCGATCTTCTCTAGGCTTGTCGGAATTGACATTCGATCCTCGGCCTGAAATTCGCAAAAGTGCTTTGGAAGTGCTTTTCGATATATTGCGGTCGCACGGACATATGTTCTCTCCAGCGCTCTGGGAGCGAGTCTTTGACTCGGTTCTACTTCCTCTCTTTGATTATGTCAGGCGAGCAATCGAGCCCTTACAAGCAGCGGAAGATGATCACCCAGAGTTTGAAATGGATGCGTGGCTGTACGAGACTTGTACCCTGGCCCTGCAGCTTGTGGTGGACTTGTTCGTAAAGTTCTATCCGGTGGTCGCCCATCTGTTAGGGAGAATACTGCTGCTACTTACGGGCTTTCTAAAGAGACCGCACCAGAGTTTGGCTGCAATTGGAGTAGCCGCGTTCGTGAGGCTGATGAGTCACACAGGGCATTTATTCACGGATGAGAAGTGGGACGAAGTTCTTGCCGCACTGCAAGAGGCCGCCGAAGGCACTCTCCCAGATATGAGCAAAGTTATGGAGTGCCTGGAAGATATCGAGCTTCAGAAAGCTATTCAAGGATATAAAACAGAGAACGATGCCATGGCCGAGGAAATGACTAGACTCCAAGCAGCACTCTCGGACTACAAGTGCAGAACTGCTGTCCAGCTTCTCTTAGTTCAGGTACTAAATCAGACTTCCATCATTCTCTTTGCTCATGCCTTTCTTCGCTTTACAGGCTGTTAACGAATTGTTTACGAACCACGGCAGTCGCCTGGCAGCGTCTCACAGCATGCTTCTCCTGGACACCCTTCACGTTGTGGCCGCGCATGCACACAACGTTAACAGTGACATCGCACTCCGAACGAAGCTGCAGCAAGTGAAGGTGGCAACGCAGCTGTCTGATCCCCCACTACTGCGTCTGGAAAGCGAGTCATACCACGCCTACCTCAACCTCTTGCAGACTCTATCGGTCTTGAAGCCCGAGCTTGCAAAGGACGCGGAAGTGGAAGGTCGCCTGGTGGAACTGTGCGAGGAGGTGTTGCAAGTGTACCTCTGTACCGCAACCGGTGTTGCCGCTGCTTGGGACTCCGGCGACAAGAGTAGTGCTCAGCCTCTCTGGTCGATTCCGCTCAGCTCGTCTAGGAGGCGTGAGCTGAGTGCCCGTGCTCCTCTCGTGGTTTCCACGCTTCAAGCTGTCGGCGGACTGAAGGAGTCATCGTTTGAGAAGCACCTGCTCAGATTTTTTCCGCTGCTGGCAACGCTGATAGCTTGTGAGCACGGCTCGGAGGAAGTTCAAGTGGCATTGAGCGACATGTTTAGCTCCTGGATCGGCCCGATTCTTTTGCAAGCCTGATGATATCTTTGGAGGTATATTTTTGTTTATTCTCTCGTAGCTAACCAATTCGTCTTTGCTTTCCCAAGGCTAGAGCATGATAAAAGCTGGTAACTAGAAGTTTTAAACAGTGGAAGACGCATGTTCTACTGAGCATAAGCCAGGTCTGGGACAGCCCCGTGCCATTGGCATGGACAAGTTTTTGGCAGACCTGAAAGTTCTTGGGATGAACTTGTCCACGTACAAGGTCCCTGCGAGATGGTCGCATTCGTGCTGGAGGATTCGAGCCTGCCAGCCGGAAGCGTCCACTTTCAATGGCCTGCCTTCGCGGTCCAGTCCGGTGACTTCCACGTCGAGGTGCCTCTCCACCATCGCCCGGAAGCCATGAACGCTGGCAGCAAAAGAGCTCGCAGGGAAGAAAGATCAGCGGCAGAAAGTAAAGTTTGGACGAGATCACCTGAGACATCCTTCAAAGAACCTGGCAGTGGCACTGGTGGTGGGTCTGAGGATGGGATTGATGATCACCTGGGCAGATATATGAGCTCCCGAAGAAAAGGAAAGGATTGGACTGGAACTTACCAGGAGCTCGAATGGCTTTCGCTGCTGGGAAAGAGCCTCGTCGCGGGAAACGTAGCTGATATACTCGGCGGTGTCCTCGAGCACAATTATCTGGAAGAGAAGAAGGGAAGGCATGGCAACCTGGAGCTATCGGCCTACCTGGAGAGGAACTCCGATCTGGGGAGCGGCCAGACCCACGGCCGGTGCCTCCCGCATTGCATCAATCAAGCCTTGGATGGTGTTCTGGACGGTGTCGCTGCTCACCTCGGAGTGTAGCACCTCTCGCGCGGCCTCATGCAAGACAGGGTCCCCGGCCTGGACGATTTCGAGCTTGGGCGCCTTGCTCTTGAATCCAAACAGGCTCCGACACTGGAATCTCCTTCTCACCTCGGCTCTCCTCACGCAGTGGTGGACGCGCAGTGGTGGTCTGAGAGTTGGCAGTGGTGTGGCTGGACTCCAGGCAAGCGCCATTTCTTTTATCTTCTTTGCTTTGCTACATTGTTGACTAGTGGAATTTAACTCTTGTTGTTAATCTATACAATCTATCATAATATCTATTAAAGAGTATTTACACTTTATAGAAGACGAAATGAAAGGTGGTAAGCCGTTCGAGGCTTGTTTGATTGAGGCTTTGCTTTTTCTTCTTTCTTTCTCTCTATCTTTCAAGCGCTCGTTTGAAGCTATGTACAGGAATCAAAGCGCAGGCACCAGCCTGTACCCGACGTATGTACATAAGAGAAAAGGAAGAACTCTCTCAGCAGAGGAGAGACGAGAAGAAGCTCAGGGAGGAAAATTTTGGCTGGTGGTAGCAGCAGCAGCAGCAGCAGCTAGCGGGAATTCTTCGCAGATCTTCGAAAGTTTGTTTGTTCCTTCTTCCGGAAGCCCAGGCGATGGAAGTCGTCGACGAGTTGGCGGGGGAATAATATATACACAGCGCCCCTCAGGTGTAGGACTTGAGCAGGCCCAGCGTGTAGAGAAGTCTCTCCGAGTGTGAGCGGAAGAAGCTCCCGAGCGAGAAGCGAGCAGCCGACTTGTCGGCCGATTCGGTCGGGGATGAATGGAGCATCTTCGGGGGGAATCTCTCCTGCGTCACCTTAAGGATGGCCAGCCCGACCTCCTCCCGGATCGCCTCCACCACTCTCATGTCCACGCTCCCGCCGTTGGCGTCCGTGACGTAGAACACATTCACGGCCATGTCGTCTCGGGTCGTCACCTCGGCCCTCGCCACGGACAGGCCGTTTTCTCGGAAGATCCGGGTTACGTCCGACAGCAAACCGATCCTGTCCTGTGTGGACAGCTCCAGCCTCACGCCCTGATGCCGAAAGGAATTAGTTAGATACAGATCCAAGAGAAGAAAAGAACAAAAGAGGAGCTCTTGGTACCTGTGAAGCTCTACGTAGAATAGCAGCCTCCAGACAGCGAACGACTCTTTGTCGTTCAGTTTCGGTATTGAGCGTGTATCCGTCAAGATGCCGAATGTAATACTCCTGCGGATCAAACAAACAGGGCCAGCGTGAGTCCAAAAGCACAAGAGAAACCGATCATACACATCGAAAAAACACACAAGCTTGGCAACCAGGCCTCGCAACACGCATAACAGACATAGATCCGAAAACGGACACCGCAAGCGTCCAGAACAAGCTCCAGATTCCACTCGCAAACACCCGCGGAACACACAAGACAACTTCCAAGAGATCCATTTTGCGAGTAGCACCAAGTCAAGCCGGCGTCAAAGCGACAATAAACAAAACACAGTCCAAGTCACACAACACACTTCCGCGAAAGAAAAACACGCAAAGACCAACACGAAGAAAAACATGAAAGAAAACATAAAAGGAAAAAGGAAAACAATCAGAGCGAAAAATAGTACCTGGAACGCATTCGGGCCCTCTGAGTCGATGGTGGCGTGGAAAACCACATACTCCATGTCGGTGAGCGTACACACGGTATCGAACAACAGTTTGGGACGGTCCGCGCACTGCACCGTGACAACCGAGTAGCCTTTCTCCACGCAATTCTTGACTGTTACGGTCGGCCTCCCCTTGTAGTCGACCGAGTCCGAGATGGAAGTCGGGGCCGGGCTCAACGCGGCCTCCTCTTCTGCTACCTCCATCTCCTCCTCCTTGTCCGCGGACATCATCTGATGGAGCCTCCTCTCCGTGTGAGTAAGTCCCATGGCAAAGTCCGTCCTGGCAGTCTTGCCGTCGAGCGAATCGCCCTTCATCACCTGCCCGAGCATCTGTTTGATATGGCAGAGCTTGGTGGGATCTTTCACTGGACCTCCATGGCCTTCGTGGTCGGTCACATAAACCATGCACGCCACTCTTGTGTTGTGAGTCCACACCTCCGCGGCCACAACGTTGCAGCCAAGGCTGGCGAGGACGGCCGAGATCTCGGAAAGCAGACCCGGGCGGTCGTTGCCGGTTAGCTCGATGGCCGTGTGCTCAGCCAGCGACTGGACTCCAATTGTTCGAGCTCCAGAGCAAGTTCTATACGCTTGGCATACGCCTTTCTCGCCAAGAGCCTGGAATGGGAAAGTTACAAGCGTTGTTAGCGAGGCAAAGAAGATTGATGTGGGAGAAGGAAGAGTTCTACATACATGCTCGATGTGGGCGATGACCTTCTCGTCGGAGAGCTTGTTCCCATCACGATCTGTGACATGGAAGACTGAAAGAGGGGAGAAAACAAACATGTAAGAGCTTCGCTTGAGATGCTTGATCGTAAGAGAATGGAGACTTACCGTCCATAAACCATCCACCATCGGAGGAGATGAAGGCCTTGAGTATCGACAGGTCGAGATCTGTGAGGACCTGGACGACATCGAGAAGAATCCCATGCCGGTTTGAGCTATCAAGCTGGAAAGAAAAAGAGGCAAATCTTAAGAACAAAAGGAGAAAAAAAAAGGAAATGGTTCGCGAGAGCTCACCTTGATGATGGTGGCGTGCTCCGAAACCTTGTTATCGATCACAACTCTGAGAAGACCATCACGAAATCAGTCAGCAAGAATTTTTTTTCTTTTTTTTTGGTGAGAGCGAACCTTGGAGGATTGATCCTGGCGGCCAGCGTCTCATACTCGGGATCGAAATACGGCCAGCCCCTTCCAGTAGCCACCGCCGCAACCATTTTCTACGAAGAACCAAATCTCTAAGAAGACCAGAGATCTCGAGATTCTTCCACGAAATCAGGGCCTCCACTCTCTCCACCTGCGATGAGCCAGTTCCAGCGCTTCCAAAACCCCTCTCTTCTCCCGACCTGTGGCTGGCTGCCCGGCTGCTGTGCGCCCGCGCCGCCTACCACCGGGAATCACACCAAAATCACCTCCCAGCGCGCAGCAAATCTGAAATCCGACGAAATCCAGAAATTCCCTGGATTCCAGCGAAAACGCGCGCGATCTCTCGCGGCGGCTCCTCTCTTTTCTCTCTCTCCTCGCTGTGGAAGAACTCTGTTGTAATGTTAAGGCGGGCCACTTTTATCTTTAGGGTTCTTCCTTGTTAAGTAGTCTGCCAGCCACATTTAGAGCCATTTGTTTGGAGCTGTTAACCATATACTGGCGTGACACGTGGCACACGCAGATTTAGCGGGGAAATAGCGAAAGGGCGGGAAAATCAACCGGCCGGAAAATTAAATGGTTGATTTTAATGCGGCGCCGACCGGCGGGGACGTTACAGGGCGGCGGCCGTTTTCCTGAGAGTTAGGTAAATGCGCAAACCGGTGCCGCCGGTGGCCAGCAACCGGTACGGGCTGCAGCCGGTTACGCCCACCAGGTGGGGCTACCGTAGCCCGTCCGGGCCGTCACCCTTTAAGTTAACGGCCGTCGCCCCCGTCGCTTCAAATTCCGCCAGCTGGCAGCCAGCTAAGCACGTGCACGGGCAATGGCGCGAAATGGGCTGTCGGCACGCGCTGACAGGGTGGCAATGAGTACGGACGGTACGGGCCTTCCTTCGCGGCGCCGGTCGGGGCGCGCCAAAGGCCGTGGTAAAAAAAAACGAAAACGAGGGAATTGACCGGGGCCGGGACTGGCCGGGCCGGGCAGCAGCTAAAGCGCATGTCATTTAATTGGCCCGTCCCAAGGGTGGCGGAATGACATGACGTGGAGGGAGGGGAAGTGCGCATTAAAGCCGGCGTCCCCGAAATATCCAACAACACACGCGCCACGTCACTCTCGCGCAACTTGGACTGGGTGGTGCCTATGACATGGTGCCGGCGGGGGGCACTTTCGACAGCGCCTTTAAAAGTCCTTTCCCACTTGTTGGTTAAAATGCCGGGGACGGGAAAATCCCCTCCCGCCAGCCAGGCAAAGTCATGCCTAGAGCAAAGCGTCGTGTCAGAGAGATGGGCGTTTTGGCCCCCCCATCTTTGCCCAAAATGGGCCACCAGCCCTAAAAGTGGATGTGAATATTCCCGCCTTGTGATCTCGCGCCACATGGCGTGACGTGGCGCGCCCCTAGTGGTGAGGTGTTGAGAGGGAGGGAGCATCATATCTGTGGCATTGAGGAATTGGGGGGCCAAATCTTCCTTTATGTGCCCTATTTTCCCATGTGCAACACATTTGCTTTTTGAAAGTTTGGCGCGACCACCGGATATTCGCTGCACAGAGAGGAGAATCCAATTCGGTGTTAAACTCCTGCAAGTTTCTCTAGCGGGGCTTTTGGAGATTTTCTATTGGTGATGGATGGGTCGAATGACAAATTGCCAAGAACTGGGATGGACGCATTCAAATGCCCAATGGTGGCTTTTCGAATTGTTTAAGGATCACGCCAGCTCTTAAAGCTTTTGTGTGGCATAGCTCGCCGTTGGTCGTGTGAAAGCGCTGGAATCTCCAAGCACGCCACAGGCCACCACACAACTGCTTAAGCTAGCGCAAAAAATTGGTTTTCTAAGGGGAAAACTTTTCGAGGACTCGAGAGCTCGAATGGGATGAGAGAATGTGTGGTGCGGGTGGACTGGTTGATTCCCCTGTTGCATTTCCGGGAATAGTCTAAACGCAAAATGATATGGAATCTCCGCGAGAATCGTGGAGCCGTGTCAAGCAAGGTCGTGAGATTGTTTTACCTCCCGATCTTCCTAAACGCTGGTCATGTCAAATATAATAGAAAAGAAAAAGAAAATATCAAATATATTTTTGCTTTTCTGGCTTCTGGAGAAGCCGAGAGGTCAGGAGAGAGAGATTCTGTTGGTCAACAAACCCTATGTAAATTCACATGGTATACACAAAGAAAAATTTATATAAATTCGATCATGTGATCAATCTCATGAACTGGGAGCCAGCAAAATCATGGGCCTTTGCGTGACACCTTAGATCCTGTCGTGCCATTAAGAAAATCAGAAATCTCCAGACCCGAGAGCTTGAGGAATCGAAATCACCCACATGGGGAAGTGAAGTAGCGATCAGTGACAAAAACAAAGACAGTCCATGGTACCAGATGGAGCATCAAGAAAAAAAAAAATTAAAATCTCGTTGTAAGATCTGGCACGAATCATCTGGATCCCGTTGTCAAGTTTTTTTATAATTTATTTACGGATATTATAGTAAATACAAGCCAAGAACCACAGCTTTCCAGTTCAACTCGGAGATTTACAGTTCATCACGTCGTCGTTTTTGAGGCGCAAAGGTGGAATTCCAGCAGTAACAACAAAGAACACGATGAGGGCCTCTTCGTGTTCGTGTTCTTGTCGGCCACAAGAGCGATTGTTTCTATGGCTTGTTGCCTGATCCAATTTTAATATGCCTCCGTGAGCCTGCTGCCACGTTAGAAGCTCTTTGATGCTCTTTACCAGACATGGATTAGCTCGTCCACCATTTTTTAATCTCAGCTTTTCTTTCTAGTTGTTTGTGACACATTTAGGTGTAAACAAGCTTTCCAAGTTGGTACTGATATGATCCTACGATTAAATACCATTCCCAGCACTGCAGGCTTGACAACAAAGTCGTGCTCATCTCGAAAAAACATTGATCTCTCGCCCATTTTTAAAAAACCAAAGCAATTGGATCCAAACAGGCATGCTAGTTAGAATAAATCAATCACAAACGGTTGAGATTCCGCATTAAATTACAATGTTCAATCACTCAAAAACACGATCCCCCAGCTGCCCTCCGTTGGATTGGAATCTATCCAACCGCCTGGATGGATCTATACGAAAGAAATGCTTGCTCGAATCTCTTCCCCTTGGATGGGAGTACTATACGGTCTACGTACCGTCTTGGGTCCCATGCTCTTGGAGATTGAATATGAAGTGTTTACAGTCCACTCAGAGGATTTGGATCTAAAATCTCATCTGGAAGATCAAATGCCGTACGTAAGATTTTTTTTTTTCTTCGGTGCAGTACGACAACATGCTTGCTTGCTTTTTTCTTTTCCAAGTTGGATCCAGCAACACGAGCTAGCCCAAGCATTTCTACTCCCAATTGAAGACTACAACAACAAAGGCTACGAACAAGTGGTCATGTTCCCTTTTTTTTTTTCTTCTTGCTCTCTTTCTTGTTTCAGTGGATTTCACGGGCAAGGTCAACAAAATCGGTTTCTATTCGGTTGAATGAATCCATCGCGCCGTATATTTCTACGTTTTTTATGCCACGCTGCCCGCATGTGAGGATTGAAGTCCGGCAGAGGCAGCTTTGACTGGAATCACATGAATCTTGACACAGCCCAGACAAACAAAAAAAAAAAGTTAGAAAAGAAAGTCGTAAAGAAGGAAGAATAAAAGAGAGACTATACTAACCTTGCTGGCTTGCTTTGCTGGAAGCCCTGTGGAATCTAGGGGGTTGACATTCCACTCCATTTGTCAACCTGTCATGAGCGGAGAACTTGGAGCTGCGAGAGGAGCGGAGCGGGCGGCTCGGGTCTATGTCAGCTGCCCGAGGGAGCTGTGACACCAACAGGCCGACCAAAGACGACCATTCAAGCTTTGGCTGCGTCACAGAGCTCTCCTAAAACGAAAAGAACCTCGTTTCGCTGACCGGATCTAAGTGAAGCCCTCCCGCTGGGTAGATAATACTGGTGGTATCGTAGGCCGGCAAGAAGCACCCGGTCAGAAACGAAAGAGATGCGGTTTCTAGATGAATGACGAGAACCTGGATAATGCGACAGCGTTGTGACGGAATCACAAGATCACAGACCATTCCTTTGAAAGTCCTGGAAACTTCGGCAAGGCGCATAGGGTGTCAAGCACGAAAAAAGAAGAAGGGAGGTTTACCTCAAGTCACGAATGTAAAGAGTTGCCGGACTAAGTCACAGTTGTTCGCTGCGTCCTGAAGTCGAACTCATAGCAAAGCTATACCACGTCAACTTCAACTTCGACAAAACCTTGGGAAGGTACCGTGCAGACAAAATTCCAGTTTTTCGCTCTCGAGCCTGAAAATGAACGTCTACATTAGCCGCGTAGTTGCGTTCCCAACAAGTCCTGCCTTTGCGCATGGATTGTCGAGAGAAGGTGTCATTTGCTCCAATAAGTCGCATCTGCGCCGTCACCGTCTGTCTGGAATAAACTGATTCGTTGTGAAAGCCTGTAGAGTTTGTCAGCCCAAGCCTCCAACTAAACAATTTCGTACCGGAAGCGTGCCGTCGAACTCTTGTTACACATATCTTCCCGGCTAGACGAACTTTGTTTAGCAGTCTGCATCCAATTTGCTGAGAGTGTTAACTAAGGACCGAGCTTCTAACTCCGGAAGAGCCAGATGTCGGCACAAACTGTTAATCGCCATAATGTGGTGCCTCTTAGACAGATTTATGTCCTATAAGGCGATAACAGCAAACAGGTAAGAGGCCCATCAGAGATATTTTCATACCATGGAAGCTTGCGAACCAATGCTGCAGGATCCTTGTCCCACTCGGCCACTCCAAGGCTTTTCCCTGTAAGTTCGTCAGCGTAGCGGAGAGCCTGCCTTTGTAGAAGCATGATAACGAACTTCTGAGACAGAATAAAGCTGTGGCGATACATGTCTGGTGCCACGCCAATGATTTGACGAGCAAGATCGACCAATGCTGCAGAGGCAACAATTAGTTGACACATTTGTTTGGGCAGGCCAAGTAATGTCACTTACCTGCACCAGATTTGTCCGAGAACAAGTAAGGTTGCAGCCAAGGCCACAGTCGCTGAAGTGTCTCTATAGACTTTTTATCTTCTTGAGACAAGTGTATGGCACCAATAATGAAACCTGGAATAGGAAGTCCTAAAACAGAAGAGAAAAACTGCCAAACTTGGAGATGAGCAGTTCGAGACAAGGCATCAACCAAACGCACGAACTGAAAGAAAATGTTTTAGAGGATCTTTACCAAAACAAAAACATACCTCAGCCAGCGCAAGCTCTTGAATAAAGCTTCCTTTAGGATCAAGTAGCAGAGACACTGATTGCTTGGCAAAATCGTCTGGAAAATCATTGCTGTGTTGCTCAAGAGACATGAGCTTCTGAAAGTCCTGAAAGCTGGTAAATATATACTCCAGTCTTGTCACATTGAGCTGATTGTTCTCGGAGTACAAAAAGTACTTGAGAACTTTTCGCATTCGAGAGCTGTAACCATGAGTACGTGTTATTCAACCTACAGCCAAAGTGGTTGCCAAACCTGTCATCGGTGACTAGACGCTTCGCGACATATGGATAACACTCCTTTGTGATAGTGTAGTCTGGATCAAATTCAAGGCCAATCCCTTCCAACAGCGAGAATGCGCGAATGATCAGTGAAAAGTACGATGGAACAACTAAAGGATAATCTTTGGAGATTTTTGCGATGCCATTGGATATCTGTGACACGAGAAATTAGCAGAAAGAATCAAGTAAAAATAAACTTACCTCTTGCATGTTAACCTTTCGTGCGCCGCCACCACGGAGTAGCTCCGTAAAAATTTGAGTAACTTCTGGTACTATTGTAGTAGTCATTCTAGGATCAGTTTGATCTGGCAAGAAACCCAGCTTCACAAGATCTTCGGCTACACCAACGTAATCGGAGTTTCCTACATGTGCCAGGTATTCAATCATTGCTAACTGCCGTTCTTCTGTAACCTGTGCTGTGGATAACAATGTTTATTCGAATGGCAATGAAAAAAAACAAGAAATTGAAACGGTAAGCCCACCTCTGTCATTAATCCATAGTCTAAGATACAAAGGCGTCCATCCTCGGTCCGCAGAAGGTTTCCGGGATGAGGATCCGCATGAAGGAAACCACTCTCGAGAAGTTGAAACAAATAGCAAGTCAGAGCAGTATTTACCAGAGACAATGCATTCGCTTCTCTGATTTCCGATAACTTCTCTCCATCAATCCATTTTGTCGTGAGAACCTAAAGGAGAACGTAAAACAAATGGGAAGTACAAGCACGAGAAAAACTTTGTTACCTGACCAGATGTATACTCCATATAAACTTTGGGGATCACAACCATCGGAACTGGAGACATACTCTTTATAAATCTTTGCGCATTATTGGCCTGCTAAATAACGTAAGATGCAAACACTGAAATGACCGTGGAACAAACCTCTTTGAAATAGTCAAGCTCGTCAAAAAACCGCAAAGCCCATGTGTCCAGAAGATCGACAAAGTCCGTGTGAGACTTTAACATGCGCTGTAAAGTGCCTGCGACTAGTCGCAAAATAAAAAGATCGCAAGCTATGACTTGGAGCACTCCGGGCCTCTGTACTTTGACAGCAACGACGTCGCCATTACTTTTCAGTCGAGCTTTATACACCTGAAAGATGGATTTCACATTCCCTAGAGAATACCAAGTTTTGTACGCAGCGTACCTGGCCCAAAGAGCCCGCAGCAATTGGCTCCGATGAGATGTCGTAGAAAACATCGTTTCCAATATTCTTTTCGATCATTCGCGTAGCCAACTCGTTCGAGAATGGAGACACTTTGTCTTGAAGCTTTTGGAGCTGCTCCAAGTAAGCAGTGGATACCATGTCGGGTCGAATGCTCAAAGCTTGGCCAATCTATCGAAAAACACCGAAACAATTGATGAGCTTCCGAACAAAAGGGGAGAAAACATGAATTTGCGTACCTTGATAGCAGTCGGCCCGAGCTTAGTGATGAGCAGCAAGAATTCGGCAGCGCGACGCCTCTCGTTCTCTCTCGACTTATCTAAAGTCTTGTCAAGCACAATGCTTAAGATAAACAAGGAGCACTCGGACGCTACAGCTAAAACTCTCGCAATCACTCTAAATGGCCGTGCTTGGAAATACGAAGAAATGGCATCTGGATCGTACCTCACGGAAAGCTCATCCACACGGCGCGATCCCTCGATCCGACGCAGGATTTTCGACAATGCGGGCTCAAATCGCCTCGCCACAGAGCTAAACCTATCATTCAGTGCCGTGCGACGCTGCGCCAAGGAAAAAGAGGATCGCAAATGCGATCCTCTTCTCCCATTCCGCTGCAGAGAGCTCCATTCCACTCGAAATCTTCGTGGAATCCCTTCCTTGCCCGCTGAGAATCTTGGATCGACGAAGACCGCCCTGGATCCCCGAGCCTCGCAAGCCATGCCAAAATAAAATAAAAAAGATATGCTAAAGAACCCTAAACCATGAAGACTTGAAAAACTTGAATCGCAGCCGTTTGTTCGCAGATCTAGGGTATCATTAGGGTTCTTTCGTTGTGCTGCGGCTGAGGAGGAGAAAGAGCGCCATCATGCAGAACGAGGAGGGCGAGAACGTCGATCTCTACATCCCCAGGAAGTGGTAAGCGCGAATCTCCCGCTTCCTTTGTGGCCGCTCTCATCAGCGCGATTGATTTTCTTGCGCAGCTCGTCGACCAACAGGCTCATCACTTCCAAGGATCACGCGTCCGTGCAGATCAATGTCGGGCATCTGGATTCCCAGGGAGTTTACATCGGCAAGTACACCACATTCGCCTTCTGCGGCGCTGTCCGATCTCAGGTAAATCTCCGCGACTTTCTCTTCTCTTCGAGAGCTCTGAGTTCTTTTTCGTGCTCTTTCCAGGGAGATGTGGACAGTGCGCTGGATCGGCTATGGCAGAAGAAGAAAGCCGAGCTCAAGCAGTAGCGGCGGTGAACCACCAAGAACTCGCTTCTCATGTTTTTTCTCGTTTCTCCTTGGATGAAATAGTAAAAGATCTTCCTTTCTGGAACACATTGTCTTCGTTCGCCAAAAAGCAATGCCAGAGTTTTTCCTTCGCTTGTAAACTCCCTGGGAATCCAGATGCCCTTTATTTCTTCGGAAAGTATAAATACTCGAACCCTAAAAACTCTCGTAACTTGGCTATGGCGACTACAAGCAACGACGCACTTGCGGCATGGAAGGCTCAGTTGGCGTTTAAAGGAAAGGTGAGAACGTCCCTGATAGGCGATCTTCTGGGGTTAGTGGCGCCGAGCGTCCCAAAACGCGAACAAGAGGAGCTGCAATCGCTGCTCGCCGCGAGTGGCATCCACAGAGGAGAACAGCTGCGGAAATTCCATGCCGGCAAGCTTCTCGATATGGGCGTCTCGGAATGGGTGTGCAAGGTGCTGCTGGAGAAAGAGATCATACGCTCAGGTTGGTGAATCTTTTTGGCCTTCAAAGAATTATCTTGTCGATGGCAGGAATATCGACTCCCGTGGCGATGAGTGCGCTAGCGGCGTCGCGTGTGGACATCAAGTCGTCCGACCTGGCGATTTTCGACGGGGGATATGCGAGCCAGGAGCTGCTGGATCGGCTCCACAAGGAATTCCGCAACAAGACGTGGTTGGATCTGGCAAAGGCAGACATGCGAGAGGATGATGCCGAAGCCTTAGATTTCCGAAAGAAGGAGGTGGAGGCTCTCTATGGCTACCGCGCGGTCCTCAGGACAATTGTCAGGGAGGCGACGGTTCCATACGCTCTTCGCGACGACGAATGCTACGTCGGGAGCTTCTACTTCATGAAACTCGCCAAAACATCTCATGATTCGAAAGAGAGGGAATGGTCGCGGGTGGTGTGGATGCTGCAAGTGCAGAGCGATGAGATGGAGTTCGCGGAGGCGCTGGGGAGATTGATCCAGGGCATGCAGAAGATCCAGCAGCACCAGGCCTCGAGAGATCTGGCGTACGGAGTCGTTTGTGGCACGAAGTTCGTGAATGTTTACGAGTTCCATCTCCAGCTTGGCAGCGATGCTGGAGTTCTTCCCCAGGCAGTAGAGAAGTACGAATTTACTTTGTATCAGCCCTTGGCGGGGTTTGAAGCGATCGTCACCCTCATGTGTGCTAGCGAAAAGGCTCACGGTTTTGTAGGTGATGAATTGGAAGAACCCTAGATGATTTGAAAGAACCCTAATCCTTACAAGAACCCAATTTCGAATTTGCCGCCCGACACGTGGTGGGGCACGCATGCTGTCACGTTTGCGTGTTGCGTATGCGTGTCCCCATGCCGTGTAACGAAGGTAGATCGTGTGGTGGGGTAACCGGCATATTCACGAGATATCCTCTCCACTTAAGCTTATCCTAACAACCGACGGCGCCACGTGGGCGGAATTAGGAAAGAGCCCGGAAAAATCGGCGGTGGAGATGCCGGCGGCGCAGCAGCGGCGCCGCTTCGTTGCTTCAAGAACCAGCTAGGGTTTATATTTCTGGGCAGGGCGCCGCGACGCGGGGAGCTTCCAATCGTGTAAGATCTGCGTAGCTAGGGTCGTGTTTGTCTGGGGATTCGGCCATGGGAGGCGATTTTAGGATACAGAGATTAAGGATCCTATAGCGGTGGCGCAGGGCGATCTAGGATTCCAGCACAGGCTTGATCGATTCGAGGCGGCAGATGGTCGTCTGCTCCATGGCGCTCTACTCCAGCTCCCCTCCGGCCCCTGTTTCTTGCGGCAGCCATTGCTCCACTCACCACAGCAGCGGCGTCTCTAGCGACTCGGAGGCCCATCTTTGCTGGCTCCAGGGCGGGCAGAGCTCGGGGCCACGGCAGTCAAGGGCCGGCGGGCTCTCCTACCTCTTCGCCAGTCCCAATGCGCGGCAGCACTCGTCTTGCGCGATCAGTGACGCGCTGGAGTCGGGCAGCTTGTCATCGTCGGTGAGGAGCGTCTCTCAAGTGGATCATCCCAAATGGGAGGATGGTCGCAGCGGTAGCATTAACATTCCCGGATCTTCGTTTGGCAAGCGCAGCTCGGTCTCGATCATCCAGAGCCCATACACTTACAGTAGCTGCATCTTCTCGGTGGCCGGGCGCGAAGCTCCGGTTTGCGCTGATCTTCCTCCGCTGGATCCACACGTTGGTTCGTGGGGTAGAGGTATTGCCACTGTTGACACGCGGACACCGGTTTATAGGAGAGAAGGATTCGAAGTTAGTCAAGAGGAGAGCAAGAGCTTGACAGCAGCGCTCACGGATTTCCTTGTACATAATGGCGGTAATTCTTTCGTGGGCTTTGACTTTAGTGACGTGCCGGATTCCAGAACGGCGAAACAGGCGTCACCAAACGAGATCTTGGTGGACGCCCAGCGGCGGCACAAGGTTTTCAAGGATCCGTTCATAATCAAAGCGTTTAGATTGGCCGAAGAAGCTCATCGCGGTCATGTAAGTTTTTCTCTTTTCTTGTTTCCTTCTTCTTATCTTCTTACGTGTTCTTGCTTGCTTTCTTGCAGTTTAGGCGGAGCGGAGAACTTTACCTGACTCACTGCGTAGAGACTGCTATACTTTTGGCGTCGGCTGGTGCGGAAGCCACCGTAGTTGCCGCTGGTTTACTACATGACACGCTAGATGATTCAAGCATTGACGAGGCGCAAATTCGTGCCATTTTTGGAGACGATGTCGCTGACCTTGTTGTAGGGGTAAGATGTAGTTTTGATACTGTTTTTGAACGATGGTACTAACTTTGGTTCTAAACAGGTATCGAAGATAAGTCAGCTAAGCCAGCTTGCTAGGGACAACAACATCGCTAGCAAGACGCTAGAAGCAGATCGTCTCAGGACAATGTTTCTAGCGATGGTCGACGTGCGTGTGGTGTTGATCAAGCTTGCTGATAGGCTGCACAACATGCGAACTTTGGAAGCTTTGGCAGCGGAGAAGCAGAACCGGATCGCCAGTGAAACTCTTGAAATCCTCGTACCCATAGCAAACAGGCTGGGAATATGGAGCTGGAAAGCAGAGATGGAGGACCTGTGTTTCAAGTACTTAAATCCTACCGAGTATCAGGAACTTGCTGCCAAACTGATAGAATGCTGCCGCGGAGGCGTGGTACTGTCGGCGATTGAGCAGCTTGACAAGGCGCTACGTAAAAGTAAGATCAAAATCGAAGATCTTTGTGGCCGGTCTAAAACTCTTTTCAGCATTTACACTAAGATGAAGAAGTAAGTTGACAAAAAGTTCGCTCTTTATGATTTCGTCTCATCATTGGTCATTTGCAGGAAAGGGCGCAGTATCGATGAAATATACGATGTCCGAGGTCTTCGTTTGATTGTCAAAGATGAAGCTGATTGCTACAAAGCCTTGGAGTTTGTGCACAAGCTCTGGGATCACATTCCAGGAAAACTAAAGGATTACATCAAACAGCCAAAGGCTAACGGGTAAGTGGCTGGCTTTCATGTTTTGGAGCTTTGAACTGAGTCCGCCTTTCGCAGGTATCAGTCATTGCACACAGTTGTAAGCGGCAAGGATGGTCTTCCTTTGGAAGTTCAGATAAGAACGAAAGAAATGCACAGTCATGCCGAATTCGGGATGGCTGCGCACTGGCGATACAAGGAAGGAAACGATACAAAGCACTCCGCTTTCCTTTTGCAACGAGTGGAATGGGCAAGATGGATCCTCACCTGGCACAGCGAAATCATGGACAACAAGCTACGAGTTTCACCATCACACATGGACTTGAAGTCATCCTGCCCGTTTCCTTTCCACAAGGACGATTGTCGGCACGCTCACCCCTTTTCTGGACCGCCGGAAAGCGAGGACGATCCACTGTTCGTGATCATGCTCAAAGACGAAACGGTAACTAGCTTTTTGTTTGTTGAAGTTTCCAAGTTGGGCTGACTTTGCTTGTGTTTCTCCATAGATGATTGTTCAAGAGCTTCCTCCGGGTTGCACTGCTGCCGACCTCGTCACGGAAAGAGGCGCGGATCACTTTCTTCTCGATCCAGGCGTGCTCTCGGAGATGACACCCCGAGTAAACCATCAGGAGGTGGAGAACTTTCACCAGAAGCTCCGGATGGGAGACGTGGTGGAGATCGTGGACAAGGAGGAGAGGTCCAAGGTGTTGGTCACCATGGCTCGAGTTCCAGCCAAAGCTTCCAACGAGATAAGCGTTTACAGAGAGCAGATCCGCCGCATGTACGCTGCTGACAGGAGCTGCAAAGTCGATGCACGGAAGATCTTCGAGCTCGCCAAAGAGAACACACAAGTTGCGGGGCTGACTTAGATAAACCAAAGAGAGAAAAAAGAAAGGAAAAGAAGGAAGACTTCCTCACAGGTACATTGTTTCATTCGATTTGTACATTTCACTGTGTATATAACAGGAATCTTGACTTTGTACCACCGAAAAGAAGTTTCTGGTGTTCACTCTAAAAACTTTAAGGTGGCTTTCAATTCAATCGTTGGTGGGGATTCCTCCAGGATGTGATCTTCACCCTCGTCATCGCTGGATTTGGCTCAAATAGTATGGTTTCAGTGCGAAGATTTTCATTTGCGAGGAGCTCGAATCGGAGGATGATCAAGGTTTTAAGTTTGCTTCTTGTGATACTCGCGTGTTGTGAAGGAGCAAGGCTCCAAGGTACTTTACTGTGTGTGTGTGTTTTCATCCAAGTGGTTGTAGCTAACAAGGCTATGGTTTTGCCCAAAAAAAAGCAAGTAGTTTGGCACTGGCACACTGGAGGAAGGTGAGTGATGAGATTATAATTATCATCACTGATAATTTGATTGCTGGAACCTTTGGTTGTGAGATTTTTGATAGACCGACTATGAGGATGTGGATCCTATTCCACAGCGGAGGTATCGTCCCAGGCCAGGCCCTACTCCAAGATCCATCCCCAAAGTTTCTAAAGGGAACTAGAGAAGAAAACATATCATACATATCATATCTTTGTTAATATATAATAACAAAGAGTAAGATAAATAAGAAATAACAAAGATAACAATAATAGTTTGTATAAACCCTAAACCCGTATCCTCTGTTTTTATCTAGGGTTTTTCTTTGACGAGTTTCACACGCGCTCGAAGGTAATAGAATTCTTTACTCGCTAATTAATCCGATTCTAGGCACGATGCTTTCGATTCTCAAGAGAGGCCTCGTGCATTCTTCGTTTTACCTCAAACGGGAAGTTTTGGACCAGGGCTGCGATTCCAGGGTTGGGCGCTGGAGCTCCAGATTCATGGCGTCGGCGACGGCGGGCAAGGTCATTACGTGCAAGGGTGAGTGATTTGCCGCAGCAATCGATCCATCGCTGGATCGCGCGCCGGCGATCTTCGGCATTGCTGAGATATCTGGATTTGTGGCAGCTGCTGTGGCGTACGAGGCTGGCAAGGCGCTGAGCATTGAGGAAGTGGAAGTAGCTCCTCCAAAGGTATGGATCAATCGTTTTCATCCAGGGTCCGGATCATCAACCTTATCCCTTTCGCAAAATTTTGGTTTTTTTCCTTCGTTTCTTTGTGTAGGCTAATGAAGTACGCATCAAAATCACGCACACTGCTCTCTGCCACACCGATCACTACACACTCAGCGGACAGGTTTGTGAGCTACGATTTTTTCCTCTTCTATGTATGATAAACTGTTCTTGACAGGATCCAGAGGGGCTCTTTCCATGCATTCTCGGACATGAAGCGGCCGGGTAAGCGAAAGAACTTGGAGGATCTTTGTTCTAGCTCAATGTAAACTCTTTTTCTTTCTAAGGATTGTGGAGAGTGTTGGGGAGGGTGTCACCGATGTGAAGCCAGGAGACCACGTTATTCCTTGCTACCAGGCCGAGTGCAAGGAATGCAAGTATTGCAAGTCCGGGAAGACAAACCTGTGCATCAAGGTTCGTCCAGCAACCGGCAAAGGCGTGATGCTTGCTGATGGCCAGCCGAGATTCAGTGTCAAAGGAAAGCCTATCTACCATTTCATGGGAACCTCGACTTTCAGCGAGTACACGGTTGTCCATGACGTTTCAGTGGCCAAGATAAATCCGGAAGCGCCGCTAGACAAGGTTTGCTTGCTTGGATGCGGTATTCCTACAGGTAAAGTTCTGAGCAATTTTATCAGATTAATCTGTTTCTTATTTTTTCGTGCAGGTCTTGGTGCCGTGTTCAACACTGCTAAAGTTGAGGCAGGATCAACAGTAGCAGTTTTTGGGCTTGGAACAGTCGGCTTGGCGGTAAACGAGCTTTTGATTCGTTAAAAAGCTGGGAGTAATGTTCACGTAATGCAGGTCTGTGAGGGAGCCAAGAAAGCTGGAGCATCAAGAATAATTGGAGTGGACATGAATCCAGCCAAGTACGAGCTGGGTAAGGGATTCGCATCAAGCCTTTTAGCACACGCGCGTATATTTATTTTGCAGCAAAGAAGTTCGGAGCAACCGAGTTTGTTAATCCGAAGGACCACGACAAGCCAATCCAGCAGGTTTGCTGTCTGCATTCCTCTACAACAGAGAACTGAACGGTGTTCGAGATTGTAGGTGCTGGTCGATCTCACAGATGGTGGAGTGGATTACAGCTTCGAGTGCATCGGAAACGTCAAAGTCATGCGCGCTGCTCTAGAAGCTTGCCACAGGGTAAGAGAGACATTCCAAATGAAAAAGTTTTGATTCCTTTTCTCGCAGGGCTGGGGAACGTCAGTGATAATAGGAGTTGCCGGAGCCGGCCAGGAAATCTCTACGCGACCATTCCAACTTGTGACTGGTCGAGTGTGGAAAGGCACGGCATTTGGTGGCTACAAGAGCCGCAGCGATGTTCCAAAGCTTGTCGAGCAGTACTTGCAAAAGGTACGAGCTTCCATTCTTCCCAGGAACTTGAGCTGATTGTCTGCTGCGCAGGAAATCAAGGTGGACGAGTACATCACTCACAACTTCAAGCTGGACAGTATCAACGAAGCGTTTGAGCTCCTGGAGGCAGGCAAGTGTTTGAGAGCGGTGATTCACATGGAATAGAGTAGTTTTTCGGAATGAAATGGTTGCTCTCTTTTCTAGCTCTCATCTTCACGCTTTTAAAGGTAGTACTTTCTTTTGTACTTCGCATTTTTTGCTAGGTCTGCGCTTGCTCTAGTAGCGATGGGTCCTTCCAGGTTGCAGCTATGGATGCGCTCGGTCATCAAGCGGCGAAGGGCGTATGGTCTCACAGCCAAGAACAAAGTGGAGCTCTCGGGCAAGGCTGGAAAAAGATGGGTGGCGCTGTGGGGAAATGGCGATCAAGGCAGGCTAGGCCTCAGCGAGTCGGGCTCTCAATTCGAGCCAGTTTTGTGCCGAGCGCTGGAATCTCACGAGCCTTGCTCTGTCTCTTGCGGTGGTGCTCACACACTCATCCTCACTGGTATGTTGGTCTTTTCCTCTCGTTTCCATGGATTTTTCTCTTCGCTACTTTGGATGGTATTTGCAGACAAGGGACGTGTGTTTGCAACTGGATTGAACAGTAGCGGTCAGCTTGGAGTTCCATTGAAGAGGGAATCTAGCTTTGTAAGTTTCTTCCTTTTTTCTACGTGGGAGTGTTCATTCTACGTGATTTTTGGTGTAGGATCCTGTGGAGGTGCATGGGTTTCCTGATCCTTGTGTACATATTGCAGCTGGACGGTACCATTCTGCTGCCATCACTTGTATAAAATCTCTAGCTGGATTGTCTTGCATGTTCTTTGTGATCTCTCTCTCTTCTTTCTCTTTTCGCTTTGCTGAATCGTTTGTGACTTGTGTGTATGCAGCAAGTGGCGAGACTTATGTCTGGGGAAGAAACAGCGAGGGTCAGCTGGGACTCGGCAAACGTAAGTGTAGTGTTTTCTTTTCTCCCAATCGTTGCAAGCTCTTGCTTGTTACAGGTGCTAAGTCGGTTTACATCACTCCGCAGAAGATGGAATCCTTGGCCGGAATGCGCTTGAAGGCTCTGGCTCTGGGAACGGACCATTCGCTTGGACTTGCTGGTATGAAGGGAAGAAACATATGACAAATGGTGATGTTTGTTGTCTTGTTGTTTATTTTTCCAGAAACTGGCCAAGTTCTGAGCTGGGGAACCAATAGATTTGGTTGCCTTGGACACGGCGAGATGACGGGATTCTTTGACTTCTTTAAAGATACAAAGTAAGTGGTGTGTTTGTTGCTTACGTCTGTAATCTCGTACTTCACAGTGAGTACACTCCAAGGATAATCCACTGTCTAGAAAAGCTCCAGGTGAAATTCGTATTCACTAAGTAGACATTTATTTTTCTCTTCGTGCAGATTCGTAGCGTTTCGGCCGGACTAGTGCACTCTGCGTGTGCGGATGGTAAGGAGGTGATGTGTGCAAATCTTTCTTTATTTCAATGTTTTTATTTTCTCCACAGACAGTGGAACGATTTACTCGTTTGGCCAAGGCTCGATGTGTCAGCTGGTATGCTCGTCTCGTCATTTTCTTCTTAGCTTAGAGGAGAGGTCTTGAGATCTCAATCTCTGATGAATTTCTTAGGTGAAGATGACGAACCTGCTTGAATCTTAGATCAACAACCAAGAAGGCGGCGCAAGTCACGTAGTTGCTTGGGATAGTGTGTGTGTGCTAAAGTCTTTTTTCTTCTTTTCTCTTTGTCTTTCTCCCTTTTCCTTTCACTCAAGGTGTGATATTTATGCAGGGCCTTGGCAACAACAACGATGCGTCACAGCCATGTCCAATTCCAGATCTTCCTCGCGTCTCTTCCATTTCGTGCGGAGGCTATCACACCGGTGCTATAACTCGTAAGAAGAAAACGCTCGTTTCATCCTCACTATCTTTTCTCTTGTGTTTTAGAGGACGGCGACATTTATACGTGGGGATCTAACGAGCATGGCTGCCTGGGCTCTGGGTAGGCACACAGAAAAGCTTTCATTGCCAGGTCTCAAGCTTTTATCAGATTTCGTGCGAGTAGCAAGCCACTGCGTTTGGAAAGCTTGGCCGAGGCATTCATGTCAGAGGTATCTATCGCATTTCACTCTAACAAATCTTTCTGTTGCGTGATTTCGTGTTTTAGATATCGTGTGGATGGAAGCACACAGCAGCTATAAGCGGTAAGCAAAACCCAAGCTAGAAACTTGAAGAAAGCTCTAAGAAACAATTTCCCTCGCGATTGTAGATGGCTACATTTTTAGCTGGGGATGGGGAGGATCATATGGAACGTACGCAACGCAAGCAGAATCAAGCGGCGGCCAGCTCGTAAGTTTCTCCAAAGTTCCAAAGTTCTTCGTGAAAATATCGAAAGGTCTTCGTGCTTTTTCCAGGGAGTTGGGACCGATTTTGATTTTTTCGAGCCTGTTCCAATCGAGATGGATGATCGGCTTTCGGCCCTTCACGTCTCCTGTGGTTTCAATCACACGGCAGCCATTCTCGAGGAGATAGAGATATAAAAATTCTTTGCTTGTATTCTTTTGAAGTCACAACACGAGGTGGTCCGGCTATTCTTTTTTCAGACTATCATTTCTTTGGATCAGGTCGGCGGTTTCATTCCTACTACTACGCGCGCTGCTTCCCCCCTGAAGTAGACCAGTGGAACAATTGACGAGCCATCAGAAGCGAAGCTTGGAATTCTTTATCTAAAATTTGGTTTATATATTGGAATTATTGATTGGAATAAGTATTGGTTTTTGGAACGAGAAATGCCAGGATCACCATTGGTTTGTAGGAGCAGGAACTCTTGCCTATGACTTTCTGTGCGATAAATGCAAGGTGGTGGCCGAGCTTCCTCTTCTGAACTCATAACTTTTGCTACGGGAGCCGGCAGTAGCAGCAGCGAGATTGAGAAACTTATCAAAGGCTTTCAAGAGCTTTCGAGTTCTTCCAGATCGACGATAGGTTCTTATTCCTGAAATGCTTTGGAGACAGAACCATTGTATTTCATATTTATTCTGGTATAGTTAAATTTAATTAGATAAACGATCTGCTAAGTCCAGAGTGAGAGCAACCATGGTTAAAGTCGGGTTCCAGGATCCACTTCTTGGCCACAGTGCAGCACCTGTGATATAAATGTTTTGCGAGCCCGCCAAGCGATAGTCAAGATCCACTAATTGATTACCATCCTCTCCAATAGGAAGAGATGATCCCTCGTGAACGCATCCTGGTCGGCGAGTCAGCTCTTTGGCCGGGCGCTGGCTAGTCCATTTGCCCTTGTTCCAATACTGGAGAGAGCTTGACTTGTTGGGGGAGAGGATGTTCTCCAGCACTTGGAAAGCTCCTGCTTCCATTGCATCCCACACTTCCATATCACCTCTAGACTGCTGGATCTGCAGCTTGATGTTGGTTGTCAAGTCTGGATCTTTGTCGTTCTTTCGAACCCAAGAGGAATTCTTAATCTCTTGCTCACCCAAGATGGCAAACACAAATAAAACGTACTCCTTTGACTGTTTGAGCTGCTCCGGAGTTGCACTAGTGAGAACATCCGGCATTCGATGACCCATGGTAATGATATCTTCGGATTCCAGACGTGGGCTTGATATCACAGTTGCCTGGATGTGGAATTGCAATTTTCCATGTACACCTGAAAAACCAGAAAAAAAAAACAGTTAAAAGTTGATGAACCAAACGAAGAAAACAACCTGCCAAGTAGAACGCTCCAATCTGTGGTGTCTGCTGGATATCAAGTCTGCTGGCAAATGGATACTCCTTTCGAGGCACTCTTGCTGTGATGGCACTAATAAGATGGGAGCTAAATTGCAGTGGAGCTTTTGCCAGCGCTGGGATGGAATTTACGAGTAGAGTGGCGGGTGGGATTGCGCCCATGGCAAGCACGATTCTCGTTCTAGCGCTCAACGTGACTTCTCCTTTGGATGTCTCAAGCACTCCTTCACTTTCTGAAATTCTCTTCACCACGCAGTTGATAACGATTCTCAAAGGAGCTCCATGACCTTGCTTCGCAAGCGTTCTCTGCCGCAGCACTAGCTGGAGCAAAGAACCGACCACTGAAAATTTGGATCCGTCTTCAATTGAAAGTGGAGCTGGCATCACCCGCGTTGCAGAGCTGACGGTGTGGAGTCGGCTGTGCATTAGCTGCATGATCTCTTCCTGCAAAGCGGAGCGGTAGAATGAATTAGTAACATTCAAAAGCCTCTCAGCTCTTTCGAAGTATCGTCCAGCGGCGTCGATCACGGACGGGTGCCATCCCTCCATTTCTTGGGCAGTCGGTCTCGGGCACCAGCCGCTCCATTTCGTCGATCGCCCGCCAAAAAAAGGTGCCACCCCGTGTACCCACTTTGCATAGGGAGACTCTGCTGTGGCTTGCGTGAGTGTCCACGGATAGCTTTCGAGTTTTGCTGCGACCGTGCCTTGGAGAGCAAGGGGAAGACTTTGGAAGTGAGCGGGCAAAAAGAAAGGTCCTCGCTCCAGCATGAGGATTTTTGCATGAGGATTTTTCTCTAGAATTTGAGCTGCAAAGGCGTAGCCACAGAATCCTGTGCCAACGATGATGTAGTCAAACGGGCCTGACTGCTGGACACTGTCCCAGCTTGGAACGAAAAAGAGGTCGTTCATGATCGAAGTGGAAGTGGGATACTGTTCCCCAGGATGTGGGAATCCAAATTCCCCACTGCAAGCATAGAAAAAGGAGGCGAGCAAAAAGCAAAGATGCAACATAGTGTAGAGCAGAGGAATGAAGTGTGAGGCGAAGAGAACTCATATATATATAAGAAGTTGCAATCTTCAGAAGTATCAGTGAAAAAGAAAACAAAAACTTTTAGAGCCAAGCAATCAGCACAACACTTGTACATTTTCACAAGGCAGCAGCAGCATTGGAAATGGAACCATCTCTGGAGAGCCATCAACTTCGCTTCTAGCTCGAATTAACTACTTCGATACTCTGTGGTGGCTTTTCTCGAACTCAAAACGACAACAACATTCACTAGCTTGTTTGGGAGTAACCGTGAACAGTATCAAGGCAGTACTAAGATGTAAGAAGATAAGTGGCAAAACAAAAAGGCCGTCATATGATGCCATATTCATGCGACCTTTGCCAAATCCTTGTGCAAGCATATTGACAGCAGGTACACGCACCACTTCCATGAGCACCTATACAAAGCGCAATCAAAAAGTACCTTTAACAAGCTCTCGGTTGAGATCCAGCTTGTCCTCCCGCCGTCCAAAAGAAAGTCTAGGCATCCCCTTTCACATATCACATTGCGAACAGTTGAGCTTAAGAAATCGAGAAAATCAAAACAATACTTCTCCAAAGGAAGCAACAGAAATATGACAGGATAAGGGACAACTCTTGGTCTCGAAGCCGTACCAAATATTAAGAATGGAATCAGTGCTACTGCGTGCTTGTCATGCTGTAGTCTGGAGTCAAAAGTGTCAATACTTGACGATGATATCAGGATTCCCGTTCCAGTACGATGATATCAGTGTCCCTTGAAGGTTTCAGTACGATGAAAGCAATTCCTGCGTACAGCATGTAAGAAAGCAAGCCAAAGAATCACCAAAACGTACCATTTGAAGGAAGAAAGGAGTTTCTCTGTTGATCATTCCCATACCTGCAAACCAGAAAACGAAAGAACGAATCGAACGAAGCATTGCGAGGATAACCCTTTCCACCAAAGAGCAGCGCATGAACTGTTGCTTCAAAAAATCACTGCTCCGTTCACTCGACTGAGCCTGCATGAAAAAAAACTTTGCATGTACTTATAACTTCTTAATTCTTATCCCACCTCCACCGGAAATATTTGTCGCGATCGCGCGCCATTGGAAAGGAGCTGAAATCTGGCGCTGGGAAGAGATTCCAACAACCGCACCTAGTACAGCTGATCAGCCGTATCGTCACAAAATCGAGGTCGCAGCTGCCAGTGGTTAGCATCCGGAAGATCCGTGACCGTGGCGCCAGCGCGAGAACGAAGAACCCTAATGCGGAAGAATACCACCTAGTGTTATGACTTCAAAAGAATGGACATGTTTTTTACTTGGAAAACTGTGACAGATAGCGAGAAAAATGTTCTGGGTTCCACGAGCATGGCTTCTTTCCCGCACTTGTCGGCGCCTCTCAACCCGTTTTGGTGAGCATGGGTTAGAAAGAATGGGAGGCAATCAAGCGGCGGCCAGCTCGTAAGTTTCTCCAAAGATCTCTTGCTTTTTCCAGGGAGTTGGGACCGATTCTGATTTTTTCGGGCCTGTATGGATGATCGGCTTTCAATCACACGGCAGCACCATGGTCCATCGACGGGCACGATTAGCCAGATCCGGCGGCCTTTACTCTACCTTTAAAAAAAGCTCCTTTGTTCTTTCTTTAAATTGAGGTTGAATGGTAAGGGTTTGGTTAATGGAGGCTATGGCACCTGGTTTTGCATTGATAGGAGCTGGAGGTTTTGCCAAAAAGCAATATTTGCCACTACTCTCTACGAAGCTGATGGATAGAGTTTCGTTTAAAGCAATATGGAGTCGTTCGCAGGTAGGTTTTTGAAGGATTCTTTTCAGGCGAGATAACCTTTTCTCCAGGAATCGGCAGAGTCAGCGGTGTCCTTGATCAAAGATCGTGTGCCAGAAGTACAGCCTAAGTGGGGTGAAGAAGGTTTTAATGACATTCTAATGGATAATAGCATCATTGGGGTGGCTATAGTTCTTGAACCAGAGATCCAGGTATGAATATCATTTTTTTAGTTTTCTATTTCTCACACATTATTTAATAGGGGACTTATGCAATTCAAGCTCTTACTGCTGGGAAACATGTATTGCAAGGTATGATAGTTTCAAACTTAAAATTGCTACTAAAATCTCACATTACAGAAAAGCCATTAGCCCCAAGTACACAGAAGGCTCAAAGTTTAGTAAACCTATACAAGGGATTAGACAATGATAAGCTGGTCTGGGCAATAGGGGAAAACTATAGATTTGAGCAAGCACTTGCAGAGGTATGAATCTTTTAAAACATAAAATATAGTTAATAAATACTTCATTTGAAACAGGCTAGTAAGTTGGTGAAGGATATAGGACACATGGTGGCGGTGGAAGTAATTCTTGAAAGTCCTATGAATATTTCACGACCTTCTTTTTCAAGCGTTTGGAGAAGGCAACTCCAGGTAATCAAATTATAATTTTTATTGTTTTGTTTTGTTTAAGCACTATTTTGCAGGGGGGATATATAATGGATAGTGCTGTTCATCAAATAGCGGGACTAAGATTGGTAAGAAAGAAGAGTTAAACCTTGATTTATTTATCTGTTTATTGGTTTTGATTTTCTGTAAATAGATAACTGGCTTTGAGATTAGAAGTGTGTCAGCAATCTCCCGTCATGTGGATAATGCTCTACCTTCTCCAGACAATGTCTCAGCATTGATGTAAGTCTTTCTTTAATTAGCTTTTTAAAATGTTGTTAAAACTTGGACTTACAGAGAGTTGGAAAATGGGTGTGTGGGTACCTTAATGATATCATTTTCATGCATTACTAAAAAGGTACTAAGAAATTTGCTTTCAAATCTGTTCTCATATAAATTATCTGAACTTTAGATGAGCTGGAAGGTTGTTGGAACTGAAGGTACAATCTATGTAGATCAAGATGTTAAAGATGATCAGCCAGGATTTTTGGTGAGTTATATTATAGACTAAGCTTACATTGACTAATAATTTGTGATGTGCGGTGAAGGTAACTTGTTCTACTTCAACTGGTAAAAATTCAGTGTTCTATCCCTGCTGTGGGGTGGAAGAAGAATTAGGAGCATTTATCAATGACATCACTATGGTAAGCATGAAGATCCTATATAATATTGACTCACTAGTTGACGTTTATTCAGGGAGGAGTACCTGACAAGCGCAGCAGTCCCAGCGAGGCATATGCTGATGTTGCCGTCATTGAAGCCATTCTTAAATCTAATGGCAATGTCATTCATGTTTAATGATATACCAAAATAAGAAGGATTAAGTTAAAATACTACTGCAACGACTTCTAATAATCTCTTGTTTCCAGGGACCTCGATCAATGTGTCAGCTGGTATGCTAATCGTGTCATTTTCTTTTAGAGAGGTCTTTAGATTTCAATCTCTGATGAATTTCTTTTAAAGTCTCGTTTTTTCTTTCTTTATCCCTTTTCTTTTTACCCAATATGCAGGGCCTTGGTATTTCGTCTCCAATTCCCGATCTCCCTTCCTTCTCTTGTGATTAGAGGAAGGAACGTGATGGGCGGGCACACACAAAAACTTTCATTGCCAGAAAGTCTTAGGTGCTCATTAGGTTTTGTGCTAGTAGCAACTGCGTTTGGAAAGCTTGGCCGAGGCATTGTATCTATAGCGTTTTACTTGAGCAAATCTTATTGTCGCATGATTTCTTGTGCTAGATATTGTGTGGATGGAAACACACAGCAGCTGTAAGCTGTGAGCAAAATCCAAGTTCACAATGCAATGTGTTATTATTGTTATGACGGTTGATTTTATCGTGACAAGAGCCTTCGTGAAGACTTCATGTTTAACACGAGGAAGTCGTTTCGTCAGCATGTCCGCTAGCTTGGAGTTTGTCAGGCAGAACTCCAGCTCGATCATTCCTCTCTGGATCTACTCTCGTATAAAGTGGAAGTGCAGCTCAATGTGTTTAGTATGAGAGGTGAACCTGGAGTTCTTGGTCAAGGCTATTGCAAACTGGTTGTCACACAACACCTGTGTTGATTTGTAGATCCTGGAGAAGTCCCTTCAGCCACGCTGCTTCCTTGGTTGCAGCTGCTGCAGCTATGTACTCAGCCTCGGTACTTGACATTGCCGTAATAGCCTGTTATTTGCTGCACCAGCTTGCGACATTTCCATTTAGCAGGAAAACGTAGGCTGAAAAGATGCTTTCTCCTCCTCTTGAGATTGATCAAGGTACTCTCGACTCTCAGCAGATAATTTCGTGCCTGTGTCCATGGGAGTAGCAACAGGGTTAACGTGAGCAAGGCCATACCTCTGGAGCACGTCGTAAGCATATTTTACCTGAGAGTGCCTCGCTCCCTGTTGATACTGAGGAGGTCTTTCATGGCAAATTCAGCTTCAAGATACGTTTTAAATTTATGGATCAAACCTACCACGAGGATCGCAAGTAACACATAGCCCTCAGCGTCAAAATATGTTACAAGCGCACGAAAATTAGAAAAAGGATCTATTCTCATCTACCATTGGTGTGGCGACTAGAGAGCTTTGTGGAGCTTGCAAACGAGGTGTTCTTCTCCAGGCTTGATAAAACCAGCTGAGCATACACCTCTTCATTGATGTCCATGTTGAGGAATGCCTGCCAGATCGCCTCCTTCGGGCGCTCCTTCAGCAACTCCACCTGGCTCTGCACCGGCTGGATTATCTGGTGCTGGGTAGAGAATTGGAACGTCGTCCAAAATCTCAGAAAGATCCACCAGAGGTGGTGGAGAAAGGGGGGTTTATAGATAAAAGATGAGCTTCATCTCATCACTAATTTCCTGCGTTGGCAGTTATAGTCAATAAGCTTTACCTGCATTTCTCACTCTTGGGATCCAGCTTCCAGTGCTGAGCATCTGGAAGGTGAGCGTAGGCGACCCCATTCTGCTGCAAGGGTGTGCTTGCGGTGGATTCTTCGTGGAGGTAAAAGCCTATCGACTCTGTAACTGCCAGCCCAAGAAACTAGTGGGGAGCCGAGATGTGGTGTTTGATGAAGTTAAAAGATCGTTCACTGCTCGGAAACCATGTGGTAATATAAAACGGTGTTGTTATTATTGTTATGACGGTTGATACATGGTTAAATGTATGAGTTCATGGATGGATCGCTCATGTGGCTGCGCGCTGACGTGGTCCCACAGATAGAAACTCGAAGAAAGCTCTAAGAAACAATGTGTCCCTCGCGATTGTAGATGGTTACAGTTTTGGGGAGGATCAGTTTCTCCCAAGTTCCAAAGTTCTTCGTGAAAATATCGAAAGCTCTTCGTGCTTTTTCCAGGATGATCGGCTCTCGGTCACACGGCAGCCATTCTCTAGGAGATAGAGACATTGCTTGTCCATTCATGGGTTCCATTCTTATCCTCTGGCGCGCATTCATGATCAGCACGGCGTATCTGGTACGGCCTAACTCCAGATTTCATCGCTGGAGATGGCGCGCAGTGAGATCGCGACAGATGTTTTCCAGCGGTCTCGGATTTGGAGGAATATGTACTGAAGACGTTATCGGGTGCGTGATGCAGGGATTATTTTCATGCACTTGTTCAGGTTTAATCGAGTGAAGGAAGCACTGATTTTCGAGGCAACAGTGTTGCTCTTTGGTTGAAAGGTTATTGTCGCAATGCTTCGTTCTACTTGTTCTTTGTTTTCTCTAATTCTTTGGTTTGTAGGTGTGCGAATGATCAACAGAGAAACCACTATCTTCCAAAGCTTATTTCAAATGGCACGTTTTGGTGATTGTTTGTCTTGCGTTCTTATATGCTGTTGTTACACAGGATCGTACTGGAACCTTGGAAAGGCAAAGAAGAACTAAGTATTAACACTTTTTTTTAACTCCAGGCTACAGACACAGTAGCACTGACACATTCTTAATGGTCTAGTACGACCCCGAGACTCAGATTGTCCAATTTATCTGTCATAGTTCAAGCTTTCATTAGGCTGAGGAAGTGTTAGGGAGTACTTGAACGCTGTGCTGAAAGAGGATCTCTTGCTTTCCTTAGAGAAAGTATTGTTTTGTCTTTCTTTGTTTTCTTTCTTTCGACTAGCTTAAGCAAGCTGTACTGTTTGCAATGTGATGTATGAAATTCTTTTGGACGGCGGGAGGATAAGCTTCGGATGGCGATCTCAACCTACCACCTCCGAATGTCCTTTAAGAGGTTGTTGAAGGCAATTTTTTATTGCGTTTTGTTTAGATGCTTGTGGACGAGTGGTGGCAATATGCCTGGACAAATACCCTTGATGGAGGTCGCATGAACATCACATCATGCAGGTTTGACGGCTATTTTGTTTTGCTGCTTTTGATACTGTTCACGAGTATGCGTCTACTCGCAAGCAAGGAATCTTTTCGTTTTCAGTTTCGGAAAAGCCACCACGGAGTTTCGACAATTCGAGCTAGTAGAGATGTTGATGGCTCTCCAAGCGGCACGGTTGATGGTTCCAATGCTGGTGCTGCAATGGCGAAAGGGTACAAGTGTTGTGCTGATTGCTCGGCTCTAAAAGTTTTTGTTTTCTTTTCCAAGCGCTACTCAAAGGATGGATTGGACTGATAGGAGAAGCTAGGAGTGTGGTCCATGTGTCCTTTTGACGAGGGAACGATAAGATTCCCCGTGGGATTCTTAATAACGTGATCAGCACTTCTAAAGGTCAGGTTTGTCTTTGTTCGAGATACCCTGTCTTAATTCGTGTGTAGTTTTGTGACAGTGGCATGGCTACAAAAAACTCGAGAGCATCTTCATTTTTTCATTTTTTTTCATTTTTTAGCAGCGATCCATGCTTGGACGTGTTCCAAAAACGTGATACCCGGCGGCCGGTTCCTCCGCGGAACATAATTCTCCGCCTCGACGGTGCTGTAGCTTGGCAAGTGTGGAGCTCCCAGCATCTCCATTGCGTAACTAGATCCTGCAAAGTAAGCCTCGGCATTCACAGCTTGGGACTGAGCTAAACTTCGTTCCAGGCCCTCGACGAGAATGGATCGGCGCTCGTAGTGGCCCTTGCCGAGGCCCTCGAGCTCGTCGAGCCTGCGAAGACCAGCTTGGTCTACGAGATAGACTTCGCCGCGGACGCGGTGGCCTTGGCAGGGGAAATTGAGAAGGAAAGGCACCTGGAATGGGCCGCAGACGAGCGGGAATTCGAGCTTGGTGGTGGCGGCGGACACGAAGCAGGCGTGCTGCTGGCTCACGAGCTCCTGCATGAGCCACTCGTTCCCAAATCCTTTCTTGAGCGTCCCATAGACGAAGACGAGGCTGGAGCTACCGAGCGAGGAATCGCTATTGCCCCTGGCAGAGATCTGGAAAGAAGTAGCGCAAATTCCCAGCGCTAGAGGAACTGACGAAGTCGCTGCTAACGCCATTGAGGTTTTTCCTCCCTTGGCGTCCATTTATTAAAAGTCTGTCACGTGGCACCTACGTGGATTAAAGTCCAGTCAAAGCCACGTGGCAGTTATGTGGACAACCATGGAGTTAAGAATAACCATTATTTGACTGAAAAGTGTATGGATAAGAGGAAGAAACTTGAATATTATGTGTTTAGACATAACTAGTAAAATGTGTTACGCTTGATATTTCCACAATTGCTATAGAAGAAGAGAGGAAAAGTGCAAAAGATACCAATACTTAGAAGAGCCTATGCCACTTGAGATTAGCAAGTGGAACACAACAAGGGGAAATTGCTGGCAAGTATGGAGTTGGGTTTACTATTGGTCAATGAGCATTGAGTTTTGTGGAGCTTTGGACATGGAATTTGGTACCTTATACATCAAGTAGCCTTCAAGTGATCGTTTACAAACTCTTCCAAGAGAGTTTAAGAGGAATACCACATGTTGTAGGAGCAATAGATGGGAGCTATGTTCCAGTGATTGCTCCCAAAGGATCCTCAATAGAACAGGAAGGGATTATACTTCAAATCATTATCTCCATGAAAAGTTTAATTTGGGATTTTTATTTTGAATGGGTTTGACTGGACAGTATTTCAAAATTCATTTGGACGCCAACTTGGAAAATACATTCTCGTAAAAAATGCTACATATCCACCACAAGGGATTTAAAGATGGATTAAATCGTTGTTAATAACATTGAAATTAAGCGTTTTAACTAGCTATATTATGTGTGCCGACGTGGACATAGTTAAGTAGTTTACGTTGTAACTGATGCGCTTTGAATGCTACCCTGGAAACGAAAGAAACAAATCGAGAATATAGCTAAACTAGAAAAGAATCGATGAAATGAAACTTACTCGTCTTGTTCTTGAGCGGCAGCGATGGCTGTCCAGGGCATCGCCGCATCAGGAACTTGAAAACCTGGCATCCATTCGCTCCCTCGGTCTTGTGGCAGCGCACAGCGTCGTAGAGGCCATCGTAGCGGTACTCCTTCCTGGACGGGGTGAAAGCCGAGGGTCTCCCGCGGATCACACGAACCGGGATGTTGAGATCCACGGAGTTCGCGAGAGCTAAGTTGCCGCGAGTGAGCTCCTGGTCCCGTGCCTTCTCGTCACGCACGCTCACAGCATTGTTGCCGCCGCTGCCGCAGTACTCAAACTCGTCGCCGTTGTCGCGGTTGTCCTTGTAGCCACCCGAGAGGATGATGCTGGTGGCGATGGCGCGGCCGAGCGGGCTCTGGGACTCGGGGAGGAAGCCGATCCCGGCCTGGACGTGGTTGTGGAGGCCGACGATGAGCAGCTCGGCGCGGAAGGAGAAGACGTCGAACACCTCCACGCCGGGGACGTGGCCGTGGGATCGGTGCTCCTGGTTCACCCATTGCTTCTGCGAAGGAAAACAACGGTGGATGAGAAACTTTGGAAGAACTACACAAAAGCTGGCCAAGAAGAAAATCCTGAGAAAGTCCGAGAAACTGAAGTGGAAGAAGATCATGGCGATGGGAAGAAAAAAAGGCTAAGAATGTTCGATCGACGAAGAGACGAGCATGCGAAACAAAGCAGCAAAAAGAATGCCGGCAAGAAGAACACGAGGAGAAGAGAGAAAAGGCGGAGGAAGATAGTGTGGGATAGAATGGAAATCTATCACGAATGGTGGATGAGAGAAACTTGGAAGAACTATGTACAAGAGCGAGAAAGAAGAAATCCATCCGTGAGAAAGTCCGAGAAACCGAAGTAAGATGACGATGGGAAGGAAATAACACTGTTTGATTGGCGAAGAGAGCATACGAAACAAAGCAGCAGTGAGATCCAAAAGAATGCCGGCAAGAAGAACACGGGGAGATAGAATGGAAATCGAGGAGAAAAGTGAAAGGAACTTACATCGATGCGCATTTGCTTCATCGCGGCTGTGTCCGGTCGCACGGTGCCCTTCGCCTCGAGTTTCTGGCGCAGCGCCTCGAATCTCTCCTGCGCTTGCTTCACTCGCCGCCGCGCCTCCTGCCATGACTGCCGCGGGATGATCGAAAGCTCCATTCTTGGCTGTGGCACTGGCTCGGATTTCCTCTTCTTGGTCCTGGCCCTATCCATCTCGAACATCATCAGGCTCGTCGGCTTGGGGCGCTCATTCCCTCCTCCTCCTCGCTCTGGCGCTAGGCGTTTGTTCTCCTCCTCCGGATCCTTGCGCCGCGGCGATTCCTCCTTGATCTTCCGCTGCTGCGGCCACCGCCGGACGGCGATCGGCAGCGCCGGCTCCACCGATTTCGCCGCTTCTTGCCCGCGGGATTTCTCCTCGCCGCCGCCGCCGCTCGAATTGAGCTGCAATGATCGATCGCCGGATGAAGCAAACCCGCGCGCAAATATCAACGACAACGATCAAGAACTCTACCTCGCCGGATTTTGGATCGCCTCCTTCGCGAAGCCTCTTGCTCGGCCAGGAGCGATGCGCGATCGGCCGCATGCCTACATTGCTCTCCATCGCTTTGCCCAAAACCTAGCTCGCCTCACCTGGCCGTACAAGTCACCAACGATCATGTGTACGAACGTCATTTTTTCATGTTGGAACTATGGAGGGAAATCATTCACTTCCCATAAAACAAATTTGACACGTGTTTGAGGTTAAAATCGCGTGACACAGACAGAGAGCTGACCTAGGTTTCTCCAGCGCTATGGCGAGCTCGAGGTCGGTTCTTCTGATCTGCGGCGATTTCGTGGAAGACTATGAGGTGAGTTTGATTGATCGGGATGGATAGAGGAGTGATCTAGGGCCGAGAGAATGTAGGCAATCATCTAGATTTGGCAAGTTTTTCGGCAAGAGCATTGATCTTCGATTTCTTTGTTCTTTTAAGGTTATGGTTCCATTTCAAGCCTTGCAAGCTTATGGTGTCAAAGTCGATGCTGTTTGTCCGGGAAAAAAGGCTGGCGAGAGCTGCGCGACCGCAATCCACGACTTTGTTGGTTTCCAGGTGAATGAATTCCTTCTTTTGGACTGAGAGCGTGGAGTGGATTATTTTTGGCTTGTGTTTGGCAGACTTATGCCGAGCTTCGTGGTCACAACTTTAGTCTCAACAAGGACTTTCATGGCGTGAAAGCTGAGAGCTATGACGCTCTCGTTATTCCAGGTGGTCGTGCTCCGGAATACTTGTCTCTTGACGATGAAGTTCTCGAGATTGTCAAGTCGTTCCACAAGTCTGGGAAGCCGATAGCATCGATTTGCCACGGACAGCTGATCCTCGCCGCGGCAGGAATTCTGCGAGGCAAGAAGTCGACGGCGTATCCGGCAGTCAAGCCTGTTGTTGTCAGTGCTGGTGGAGTTTGGCAAGAGCCGAATCCAATCTCCAAGTGCTTCCGAGATGGTAGCCTCATCACCGGTGCTGCATATCCTGGCCACCCGGAGTTTATTGGTCTTTTGCTCGACTCTCTTGGTGCAACCATCGAAAACGGCAAGAAGAAAGTATTAATGCTATGCGGGGTAAGAAGTCTTTCTCTCTTTCTTTTCTACTTCTTTTGGTTTTTTCTACTAGTTTTCCTTGACAACTTGATCGAGAAGTAGTTTTCCTTGCAGTTGTGCTTTGATCATGTTCTAAGCCAAGTTTGTTTTTGCTTTGAAGGATTTCATGGAGGACTACGAAGCAATGGTGCCATGCCAGACGCTGCAAGCTGTTGGCTACACCGTCGACTCGGTGTGCCCGGGTAAAAAGGCCGGCGAGACCGTGGCCACCGCAGTTCATGACTTTGAGGGAGCGCAAACTTACAGCGAGAAGCCTGGTCACAACTTCCCGCTGACCGCCACCTTCGACGCTGTCAAGGTTGAGGAGTACGACGCGCTTGTGATCCCGGGAGGCCGCGCTCCAGAGTACTTGTCTCTCAACGACAAAGTCCTGAGGCTTGTCCGGGAGTTTGACACGAGCAGCAAGCCCATCGCGTCGATTTGTCACGGGCAGCAAATCCTCGCTGCAGCAGGAGTTTTACAGGTGAATGATATATCTTTCTTGAGTTTGCTTCGATTAAACACAGCGCTCGTTTGGTTTCTACTGCAGGGAAAGAAATGCACGGCTTATCCAGCAGTGAAGCCTCAAGTTGTGCTAAGTGGTGCTCAGTGGATCGAGCCGGATCCAATAACGATGGCTCACACACATGGCAAACTTGTCACCGCTGCTGCCTGGCCCGCGCATCCAGAGTTCGTAGCTCAGTTGCTCTCTCTTCTCGGGACCACTATCCACTTCAAGTAAAAGCAAGTAAGCCGAGCTTTTCCTGTTTTCCTTGAGACAGAGTTGGAGATTTCGTCTACCTCTCCGTGTTGATCGGGTCAGTGTTTGATCCAAGTCCGATCCGGTCTGGAAGAATGACAGTCCATTTGGTGTTTGATCTTCTCGTCGTCTAAGTCTTTCCTGGGCCTTGTTGACGCAGGAGTAAAGCTTTAGCGAAAGAATGATGGAATGATATTTATCCTTCTGGAACTAGAAGACACGATTTGGAAACGTTCAATGGTTTTTTTCTTTTGTGTTGTTCAGGGACGTGCGTGATTTTCGATCTTGTATCTATTACATCACGACAAAACGATCATGGTCTCGTCTTTAAACATATACAAGCACAAAAGATTTTAAGAATACCCGTGGCGCGGGGCCGGCCGTTGGATCCATAGACAACCGACGTGAAATCTGGCCGTCGGATAAGTCTGTTCCCCTGTTTTAGGGCTTTATAGTAATTTTGAAAGAGAGGGAAGAGCACGGCTATGGCGGACAGGCCTAGGGCGAATGGCGCGTCGTCGTCCTCCATGCGCGAGCTCGTCTCGCCGCTCGCGATCAAGCTCCAGCAAGTGTGGCTACAGACGCAGTTCCGCCCGTCGAGAGATTCCAATGCAGCAGTGGATTTGCCGCTGCCGTCGCCTGGCGGAGCGGCTGGATCGGTCGGCGATGTTGGAAATTTCTCGCCGTCGCCACCGACGCTCACCTCTCCGGTCAACGCCGCGGCCATGGCAGTGGCGGGCACTCCGTCGTCATCCTCGGAGAGTGGCGATGATAGCTGGGGTTGCGTCGCGATGGAACCCCGCGTGTCTGGGGTCGACGAGAATGCGGTGCTGCAGTACATCGACAGCATGCTCATGGAGAACCAGATCGGGGAGCAAGCGTGCCTGGATCTGGAGGTGAGCGTCGGCGCGCTCCAGGCAGAGCTCGCGGAGCTGATCCAGACCTCGCCGCCCGAGGTAAGCCCGAATCTCGACTGGAGGAGCGATATTTCGAGCAGCGCCGGCTATGGTGCCTCGCAGCCATCGCCGTCGCAGCTTCCACCGGCCCCGCAGGGATCATCGTCGCGAAGGAACTCCCCCTCCTCGCTCCTGGGTTCTTGGACATCGCAGCCTTCCTTCGCCGTGGATAATCCTTCTACTTCGTCCTTGCATCACCACCAAGAAAACACTGTGGAGAGGAATCGAGAGAGCTTGCAGCCATCGCCCAGCCTTAAGAAGCGGAGCCACGGGGAGACGAGCGCCAGTGGCAGTGGCTTCCAGATGGTGGGATTTTTCGAGCGCCAGAACCTCTTTGGGCTGGATTGGAACGGCAGGTCGAATGGAATTGCAGCAGCGGGGGCGACGACGCAGGGATTTCCCAACCGGCCTCCCAGGCTGATCGTACAGAGGAGCGAGAACTACACTCGGCTGTGGGATAGAATGGGGCTCAGGAGTCATCTCCTGGACAAGCTGGTGCTGTGCGGCGAGGCGGTGTGGAGCGACGACTTCGGCAGCGCTTTGGCGATCATGGAGGAGCTCCGGGAGCAAGCCGGACCCGAGGGCGACGCGACGCAGCGGGTAGTTCATTACTTCCTACATGCATTGAACGCCCGGATGAGCAACACGGGCTCCAGGTTCTACAGCGTCATGTGTAAGGCGCGGCCTTCCATCGCCGAGACGCTCAAGGCGGTCCAGATGATCCTCAAGCACACCCCCTTCCTCGGGCTGCCACATTTCTTCACGAACCAGATCATCCTCGAGGCCATCAAGGGCGAGCGCAAAGTACACATTGTCGACTTTGGGATCATGTATGGGCTCCAGTGGCCGGCGCTGCTCCAGCTCTTGGCGGAGAGGAAGGAGGGTCCCCCGCAGCTCCGGATCACGGGGGTGGATCTTCCACCCAGAGCGCTCAACAATCACTCGGGGAGGATACGAGAGACGGGGAGCCGGCTCAAGCGCTGCGCACAGGACTGGGGGATTCCTTTCAAGTTCCGGTCTCTCTCGTGTGCATGGGAGAGCATGGAGCCGGGGTTGCTGCAGCTCAAGGACGACGAAGTTCTCATCATCAGCTGCTCGTTCAAGCAGACCAACTTGTTTGATGGGTCGGTGATCGCCGAGAGCCCGAAGCTCCAGTGGCTGACCCGGATCCGGAACCTCCACCCGAAGGTTTTCATCCAGTCGCTGGCCAGCTCCAACTTTGCGGGGCCGATCTTCCTCCAGAGGTTCCAGGAGGCGCTCGTCCACCACGCGGCAGTGTTCGCGGCCATGGACGCTTGCATCTCGAGGATGCTGCCCGAACGGCGGGTGATCGAGCAGGACAAGTACGGGCGGGAGATCATGAACATCATCGCCTGCGAGGGGTTGGACAGGGTGGAGCGGTCCGAGACGCACCAGCAGTGGCACCACCTGGCCGTCAAGGCGGGGCTTGAGGTGATACCGCTCAGCCCGGCCCTGTTCGAGGAGTCGAAAGCCTTCGCCAGGTTCTACAACAGGGATCTCACAGTGAACAGGGACGGGGAATGGATGTGGCTGGGTTGGAGAGACCAGATCATCCATGCGTACTCTGCATGGCGTGCGGCAACGTGAGGGCATGATTGAATTTCAAAGGTACTTCTTTATCTCTCTCTAGATTTTATTGCTTTCTCGCTCCCTCCTTTCTCCAGCTTTGCGTCTCGAGTCACTTTCGTAAGCAAGTCGGCTGACTTTGTTTCAATAACTTGCAGCTCGGTCCATTACGGGGTGGCTCGCTGTTGCTGGAATCGATCGTTCACGCGTCTGCTAGCATGGAAGGCACGCATTGTTCGCTGGATGGTCAAGATTTGGATCCCCGCCCGTAAGTGTTCAGTGTGAAAGGTTGGAGTTCCAGAAAGCGGGGGGGAGAAAGACTTTCTTGTGTTGGGAGCGATGCTGGATTGGTGTAATTGTCATGCTGTGGTGGGGTGTATAGTTGTTCGCTGCTTGTTTCTTTTTTTTTTCTTCTTTCTATTACTTTTGGTTTTTTCTTTCTCGACTATCAATGGCTCCGCAAGCAAAGAAGATGTTGGGGCCAGAGAAGAGAGATATATATATGTACCTCCATTCTTTTTTAACTTCATCGTCTAACACATCTTGTGCAATTGTTTACCGAAGATAACTCGCTTTGGAACAAGTGTTGGCCGACAGCATCTGTCAACATCAAAGATGATGGTGTTACTTGTACGGGTAAGTTTATGATCTCCCGCAAGGAACCAGTTGCTCGTTTTTCCTGATCTCCACGCTCTTTGTTCCAGGAATCACTGGCTAAACAAACAGCTCTAGACAACGACGATACAAACAAGCAGAGGGAAGTGCATTTTTGCAAACAGTGTCGGCAGGATTAAAGCAAGCACTCAGATGATTTAATCAACAAGGAAGAGCACAGTTGCTGGATTGCGCGCCTAGAGTTCTCAAAAGGTTCGCTATGTCCCTCTTTTTGTTTATGACAGCGTTGCTCAGCTACTTGCTCTGTAGAGTGTGTAGCGCTCCTTTTGCGGGGCCATGGAGTGATGGTGTGCGCCACTAAACAAATCATGGAGGCACAACACAAGTGGGTCAATGGATCGACTCAACAGTGAGCCCAAGGTAGAAAAGCTTTACCGCTCTTGTGTTCGTTCTTTGACTTGACGATAGAAAAACGTTTCAGGCTGCTGTTCGTTTTTTGACTTTGACAATACTGTGTGTTAGAAAAGGTGAAAGAAGTTTCAACATGTCAAATCGCGAAGGGCGGCAGTTTGGCCACGAGAGAAAAAATATTCTCTGTGTCCCTCGTGATTTCGGCACTCGCTCTGGCATCGCCGCATACAAACATCGTTCCAATTGGGGACGTGGTGTTGCGGAGAACAAACGGATCTAGCGCACGCCTCGGCGCAAGCATCCAAATCCGAGACCCCACACTCAGTGCGTCACATCCATTGCAAAGCTGCCCACTCGCTTCATCATCCGATCCGACGCGCACACGCGCTTGCAAGCGAATCGATCCCGCAGGGAATCCAAATCCTGCGCGACGCCGCCACCGGATCACCACGAGCCCTCATCCTATCCGCGCAACAAAGCATAGAACCCGTTCGTTTGATCATGTCAGGAAAAAAATACTATGTTGAACAAAGTCGTGTTCATTCCTTGACTTGGTTGACCGAAGTTTCAGGCTGCTCGCGGGTCTTGTGTTCGTTCTTTGACTTTACGAACTTTCCACAAGAAACCATGGGACGGAATGTTTGAATTTGAATGGGACGGAATCTTTGAATTTGCAAGGTGGCGAACTGTTTGTAGAAATGAAACGAAAGAGGCCAGATACTGTTCTGGAAGAAGGTAAAAATCTCCCAACTTTTGTGGCTCACAAACCGTTGACGACTTAAGTGTCTCTTATTTTATTTTATTTTCCTTTGCAGTGAAGTACGATGGCGTGTCCCCTGATTTAATTGAAAGGTCACTGGCCACAAAGACGAGCAAGAAAGAATACGACACGACAGAAGAGATAGAGATACCTTTTGGCTGTACACAAACTATATCAACAACAGTGGCCGAGAAGGAGTGAGCACCAACGCGTACGTAGACTTTCGCTTGTCTCGCTGGACTTGCTCTAGCTTATCTTTCACGATCTCCCCGGGAGGATCTGCAACTCCAGCGCAGCGTCCACCGCAGCATCTGCCACCTGCGGCAAGCTTGACTTTCGGAGGCGCAGCACCACGTTTTCCAGCGACGTGACGGCCGCTGCCGGCCACGCCGACGCGCTCCTCCTGCCGCTGGAATCGCCCAGGCGTTGCTCCTTGCACGCCAGCGTGAGCGCCTGGAGGAGCCGCCGCTGGAGCAGCGACAGCAGCGCCGAGCCGTGGCCTCCGCTGGTGGACCTCTCCAGCACCTTGGCCAGCTCCTGGAGGCTCGAAAGGACGGACGGCGCCGCCAGCCCCGGCGCGGCCTTCACCGCCAGTATCAGGCACTCGGACGCGGTCTCGGCGATCCGGGGCTCCGGATTGCCGCACAGGTCCACGAACAGCCCCGCTCGCGCGCTGAATCCCCCGACGTCTTCCAGCTGAGAAGGCAGCTCCTCCACTTTGAAACCGTTGTTGGTGGCGCTGCTTCCACTGCTCTTGAGCTTCCCCGCGTTCCGGATGAGCAGCAGCCGGCAAACCGATAGCGTGGGATCCAGGAAGTCCTGCATCCCCTTGAGGTGGACGAACTCCAGGAGCGCGACCAACCTGCTCACTACATGCAGCTCGGAGATCACTGCGGTTTCCACCTCCTGCGACGATACCAGGAAGAGGCAGAGCCGGACGTTGTGGAGGTTGACGGTGGCGAGGTCCTCCTTGAGGAACTCGAAAAACTGGGAGACGATCTTGAGCTGGAGAATGTCGTTGATGTCGATGCATCTGAGGTCCAGGAGCATCACCAGCAGCTTCTGCGCGTACATCGGGATCGGGTCTTCGTCGTCCAGCAGCACGGGGTACAGTGGCAGGAAATACTGCTTGATGATCAGCCTCATCTGGTCCTGTCTCGTGCCGCTCGACTGCTCCGCCATGTCGTCCATGATGACGAGAAGAATGTCGCAGAAGACCTTGAGGCACAGGAATCGCGTATCTCCACAGGTGTTTCTCCTGTAGAGATTTGCCAGGCTTGGAAGCACTTGCGTTATGAAGATCTCCTGGTGAGCCAGGAGGATACTCGGCTGCTGTGATATTGACTCTATAATTCGCAGCAGTGTCGTTTGAAAGTCATCCTGGCCCTGTGCAGAAGAAGGCCACGTAAACAAGAAAATCAAAAGCACAGTCAGTACCTGACTCGTTGCTGCTTCCATCCGTTTCAGAAAGGTGGCCAGCTGCTGTAATACTTGCGAGTTGACAATCCTGTCCCGAAACGTCATGCTCCGAAACAGATGTAGTACGACTGGGAAGAGCGGCATGGAGCCTCGAGGCTGACTCCGTCCAAGAGTTGCATGCTGAGTCGTGGTGGCCGAGCTTGGCCGCTTGCTGTTTGCTGACTGCTGGAAATCGGCACCGATGCTGTCAAGGATGCCCGGAACTAGCGAGACCACGATCTGTATGAGCGCGTCAACGCACTGTTGGACATAAGCATCCTTTTCCTTCGTCAGTCTCTCCACGGCTGGCACAATTTTAGCGTTGCAGAATGACAGCATCCACCTGCGGTTGATCTTGCACAGCAAAGCGGCGCAAACGAACGCCTTGCCGCGAAGAACTTCCGGACCCTGTTCCAAGATGGCCATGATGTTGGGGATCAGAGCCTTCTCGTCGAAGAGCACCTGCAAGTGCCTGCTGGCATTGTTCATAACGCTAGATCCGACCAGCGCAATGTTCAGGAGGTTGATGTAGACCTGCTGAAGCTTTGCACCTCCTTTGCATAAACCAGCGATCAGCTCTTTAAAGGTCACCTTTTCCAGAACCACAGCGACGCTTGAAGGGCTGAAACGGACCAACCGCACCAAGCAAGACCCTGCTGTTGATCGAACAACTTCTTGTTTGGATGAAGTCTTCATTATATAGCAAAGATTCCCCAGCACGTCATGAGTGGTGAAACGGGCCGCCCACTCTCCTCCTTGACTTGAAATGTTCTCAATCGCTTTCAGAGCGTAATGCTGAGTGACATCATCTTCGCCCTTCCGGAGAATAGATGCCACAAGAGCTATCGTCGTGCTGGGAACCTGATAGGAGAATAACAGAAAATCAAAACTTGAACGTATGTAATGCTCAGAGGACGAACCTGCCAAACAGAAGATCTTCCTTCCTTTGGTACGTTGTCGTGACCAGCCCCAGATCTTGGAGACCCTCCGTTTTGAGTTGCAATATAGAACAACAGTTCGCCAAGTGATGCCATGGCACAACGGCGCACTTTTTCCTGCTTGTCCCTTAAAGTTTCCGTTAGAACCGCAATGATACCTGAGCTCGCAAGGTCGTCTTCAATCAGTGTTGCATGTCGAACGAGAAGGCCAATAACGGACGTAAGTTGCACTCGCAATGCCGGTAGCTTCGTTGTTCGCAGTAGCTTGACAAGTGAGTGCATCAGAACTCCGTTGATAAACACGTTCGCAGCATCCATGCTAACACAGATAGTCTCCAGATACTTGAGCGTGTTCATCTTCTCGTTGACAGATGTATTCCCACATATACTGTTCATTATCCGAGTCACAAACGCTTCCAGTTCGTCGGGTTGTAGCTTCAAAAACTCTGACGACGACAGCGAATCCACTGGCAGCGTTTTCCCATCGAAACGGACGTCAGCTGCCTGGTCAGCCTTGCGGTTCTGCATAATTGGCCTCACAGCAAGGTCGGACGGATGCCAGAGAGCCTGAGATAACGTGATTGAAGCCTTTGGATGATCCTCAGCTTTGGAGACAGCCGGTTTCTTCTTCTCTCCCGTTAAAGCAGCAATCCTCTGAGCTTTCCTCGGTATTCCAGCACCAGGGGGCGTAGCAGCAACCTCCATTCTTAAAGCCTCCAAACGAACTTCTTCCACGTTTTTATCATAATCCAGCTCCTTGCCGTTGCTATCCGCTCCATCTTCGTGAACGCTTTCGTCATGTGTTGTAGCTTCCGCAGCGCTGACACTTTCGTCATCCTCGGTTTCTCCATCGGTGTCCGGACGCTCCGCAAAGTCGAGTTCCTGGTCATGGTTTTCCAGCGTCAGATCTGAATCGTTTGTAGCTGCCCCAGCATTTTGCTGCCGGTATGAATCCCCTTCGGCCTCTCTTTGCAAATTCGTCTTCACTATCTTCGACAGTCTTAAGACGTTGACAACAGCATTGGCTCGTCCTGAAGCTTCCGTCAACGGCCCTGAAGATGCTGGACGTCTCCCTGGAGGCGTTTTTCCATTGGCGATAGTTTCCCCTTTGTCTGCTGTCTTGTGCAAGTACTCGTGCTTCTTGATTGTTGCCGGCTGCTGCTTTGGACCCGATCCACCATTCCGTGACTTTTCTGTTATATCCTGTGGCTCTGAAGTCTTTTTCGAATCCAGATACTTCAGAACAGCTGGTTTGTGACGGTAACACCAAAGGCTTGATTTTTTTCCTCCAAAACGAATGATCCCGTAACTCCGACCACTTCATTCTTTCCGCAGGATCTTTCACAAGGAGCCGGCTCAGAAGATCCTCGAAGTCCTTATTCGTTGACGCAGATAACGCTGGGGCTGGGTCATGGAGAATAGACTCCACCAACTGTGTGAAGCTCGTGGAAACGAATGGCGGCTTTCCGGCATAACACTCGTACATGACGCAGGCCAAGAGCCCATAAATCAGATGAAAAAGAATGAACACCTCCCTGAAAAAGCTCTGGGGCCATGTAACATGGTGTGCCTCTCTTGGCTTGCGGCAGCTGACATAAAAAGAATTGCGTTTCACATCAACAAGAATGTTCAACGAAAAGTACCTGTTGAACAGTGTTCTTTGAAATGTCAGCGAGTCGTCGAGCCAAACCAAAATCGCACAGCTGCAAAAGAAGAGTCAAAAAGTGCCCAAACGACCAAAATGCATGTATGTCTAACCTTGATGCGGCCATTCTCATCAAGCAGTAAGTTCGAAGGCTTAAGGTCACAGTAAACTATTCCCTTTGAATGCAGAAACCTACAAGGCGATATTAGTCAAGGAGAATATATACAAGCACAACTTAACTGTAGCGCTTCCACTAAATCACGGGCAAAATCGTGAACCGACTCTTCAGGCAGTCTAGTATCCTGCAAGACAGATCATAGAGCTGGGTAAACTGTGAACCGTTCCGTTTCCATGCATAAAAGCCAAATCTATGCCCACCTGTTTGAGAAGCGTCAAAAGATCGCCTCCAACGCAATACTCTAAAACCAGCCACAAGTGAGCAGAAGTCTCATACCTGGAAAGGAGGCAGAACGAGAAGAACGAAACTAGATCAGAAAGAAAAATGGAAGAGCATCTCATTACCACGCATAGAACTTCAAAACGTTTGGATGATCCAAGGAATGAAGCGTTCGAACCTGGCACACAAAGGTTATTATAGTCTATACAGTGCAAATCCCACGTTTTCTAGACACGGCCACTTACTTCTTGGAGGACTTTGTTCTTCTGGCTCTTCTCCACGCTCTTGATGGCGTAGTACTCGATCGACTTCTTCTTGCGGCCCTTGTACACAGTCTGCCATCGCGGCGCCCACGGTGAGAAGAAGCAGCATTCTTGGAAACCCTAAAGCTCGGGCAAGGAGGCTACTCACCGAATGCTTGCCCCGGCCGATTGCTTCGTAGATGTGGTACTGATTCATGCTACCCGCGCCGAAATGCCGGATGCTAGGACACCATCGCAGGATCCGCTCGCGCTGGAATGCATTGCCGCCTCGATCCGATCGATGGCAGCTCCCACGCCCCGGGCGCAAAAACCCTTGCCGCTACCCAAACAATTTCAAACACACTATCGTAAAAACTTTCAACGGATATTCCGGTATGTACCCCACAAGGTAACGGATCGATTCCCAGGGCAGCTTTTAAAGCCTCCCTGATTAAGTTAGTCGGACTGGATAAACACATTCTAGCCTACACGCTAATGGATCTGCAGCTTCGTTTGCTTCATTGATGGCTTCTTCGTTGATTTCGAGGACCTGAGACAAAAGAAAGAAGAAAAATTCGTATGACAAAGACGGATCGAACTTCTCGAGTTTAAAAGAGAACCTTCTTCTAGAGCTTTGACGAACGTATTTCACGACCTCGTTGAGAGGCTGGACCTGTAGAAGCCAATCAAACCAAAACTCTCGCGAGGAAAAAGTAGAACCTGTGTGATCCACTCGTGTTTTAGCAACTGCTGAGGAGTCATGCGTTGTTCTTTGTCCCACTTCAAGCAGCATGACAAGAAGTTTACGAAGCTTTTGTCACTGCATCCGACAACCATCCTGAGATCTTTCGTGCTTGGGAAGTGCCTCGTGCCGGATGAGTTTGGAACGATCCTCGGCTTGTTGTCGGAATCTACGCAGGCAAATAGAACTCCTAGAAGCCAAGAGACACAAAAGAACTACTTTTACCGAAAAACATCTTCTTGCGTTTTGCTTGACTGATGAGGGATAGCGGCGGGGTCCCGAGAACTTCCATCATGTAAGCAAGCTGTTCCACTTCGTCCTCCCCAGGAAACAAAGGATATCCTGAATACAAGTCGAGTGGATATTTGAAACATTTTGAGAAATTGAATGGTTTACCTGTGAACAACTCGGCAAGAATGCAAGCGAAGCTCCACACGTCAATCATCATGTCATACGGCAATCCTGGAATCACCATACATTTCCCGTAAGCAGCGTTTTAAACTGCAAAAATCTGGGTCTGGTCGATACCAAGGATGACTTCCGGAGCGCGATAGAATCTACTCTGTATGTAAGTATAAACTGCAAAAAAGAAAAACAAAACAAGAGTAGAAATCAGACGTAGTAGCAAAACAGGAGCTTACTTCGTTCGTGCTCGAAACAACTGGATCCAAAATCAATTAGCTTGATTTTCGGAGAAGCAGGTTGTTGAAGTAGTATGTTCTCCGGCTTCAAATCGCCGTGGATAATACGCGCTCTGTGCAAAAACTGGAGCGACACAAGTACTTGTCTGGCAAAGCACTTGACAAGGCTCAAGTTGAACCCTTCGAAATGGTTCTTCTTGAGCATGTCGAACAGGCTGATGTCATGCACTGCAAAAGACAGACATAGATGCCCCCGAAATTCGAAGCTTTCGTAGATCGTCACAATGTTGTAATCTACTCCTTCTTCTGCAGCCTGCAAAGACCTTTCAACCAGCAAAGGAAGTATTTTACGCTTTCACTGATTTAAAAATCCCGACTTGTATGTTAAAACAATTAATCTCACCTTGTTTCTCAGGAACTCCAACAGATTAATCTCAATGAAGGCCTGCTGGGTGAACTGCTTCTTGTTGCGAATGATTTTAATGGCTCGCGGAACTTTGTACTTGTGATCTGTGCACTTCAACACCTGGCCAAAGCTGCCTCTGCCAAGCTTCCCAAGAATTTCATATCGGTAAGCGATATGGTCCTGCATGATGGCATTGTAGTCTCCCTTCTCAGTATCAAAACCTGTAAGAGCATGAAAACATGAGTATTTCAAATCAAGCAAATTTACCATAATTGTATCGCCCCTGCCCTCCGACAACTTGAATCTTCTTCTGTGGTAAACCAATATAGTAAATTTCAGGATATTTCAAAATTTCCTGCTTTTCGAAGTCCGTCAGGGAGCTTGGATACTGTTTCAGAACCGCTGAACGCACAAAACAATTAAGCCATGTTGAATAATAAACGATAGTTTTACCTTCCGGAGTCATAAAAGTTTCCCAATCTTTCGATGGAGTTTGCACAACAGTTTGCGGGATGGCTACATCGGCATACGCGCTTCTATCCGTTTGTGCCATCCTTGGCGTAGGCCCAACAACCACCTGACAGAGCAGGAGCAAACTGGTAAGAAGATAGTGAACATAATCAAGTGTACAACTTTGGAAGGCCTTGAAGTTTGAGGACACTCTGCTGGTTCACCTCCAAAACCTGTAAAGCAATGTCGTGGGCGATATATTGGAAGCTAATGGGAAAGCAAAGTACCTATGGGGACGGAACTCTTGGTTGCGTCCGGAAGTTTCAAAGGCTTCAAAACCGATTGCTTTGGAGCAGCTTTTGTTGTCGCCTTCTCCGAAACCCTGCAAAACGAAGACGTTAGAAAATGTTTTTTCTACTTGCTACCATTACCTTGAGCTTTTGTGTGACATTTTTTTCACAGCATCCTTCGTTTCCGTAAACTTAAGCGCCTGTTTCCTCGGCGTGGCGTCACGCTGTTGCTCTTGACCCTCTGAAGCTAGCAAGCATGGAACTGTCAGGTCACGAGCACTGGCTATATCCTTCGTCTCGGCTGCCTGGGCGGGAGATGTCGCTTCTTCATAAGCCTCGGGCGGATTTAAAATCTCGTCCACCTTCCTGTCGTCAACCTCAGCCAAAATCCTTCGATCGACGTGAACTATCGGAGCATAGTTCAATGCCTGAAGAATCATTTGCTGTTGGTACGGCCTGAGCTGTTCTCCAAGAAACTTCTCCTGATGCCTCTCAGCATAGCTATCCTGCTTCTTCTTTCGCTTGGTAACGTCATTCTCGAACACTATGTCGATTTTCCTGGGCGTCCTCAGCGTCATGCTCTCAAGCTGTGCGTCGGTCTTGCGCTGCTGCAAAGCGGTACAAGCGAGCGAATGCTCCCTCCTCCCACTGTAAGACGACGTATCACGCCGGGAAGACCCGTGTTTTTTATCCAGCCCCTTCTTCACCTTGGAGAGATTGAGAGATGGGAGAGCCTTGCTGCGCTTGGAGGAGGCCTGATCGCCACCACCACCGGCATTCTTCTTTTCCTTGTCCTTCTTGCTCTTGCCCTGCTTTCCAAGTCCTTGCATGAGGCTCTCGATCAGATCGGCATGGAAGTAGGAAAGAAAGCCCGGCTTGATCTCTACTGTGTCCTTGAGAACCATTCTCGCTCGCTTCCACCACTGCTACTTCATCCCCAGCGCTTTCTCATCAATGTACCTTCTGATGGACTAGCCCAGACCATCGCCTCGCCTCGCGCCACGCTATCTCCAAGTCAAAAAAAGCGCGATGCCCTAAGAATATCCCCCGGGAATCTCCCGCCATATTTCGAAATGCCGCCTGGCGGTATCTGCGCGATCCAGTGGAGAGAATTGCGATGCTCACCGATTTCGAGGCCTGTGACCGATTGGTGCGATCGTGTACCGATGCCGCGAGCTGCGATCTCGCGCGCCGCCACATCCTCCACTGCGGCTATGGCGGAAATCTACACCTCGCCAATCTCCTGCTCCAGATCCACGGCCAGTGCCGCGATCTGCCCGGCGCCCGCCGCGTCTTCGCGTCCATCCAACGCCCTAATCCCCTCTCCTGGAACATCATGCTCGATCTGTGCGCCAAGAATGGATCGCTCCAAGAAGTGCTCGAAATCTTCGACGCGATGCCGCGCAAGACCACCGCCTCGTGGAACATCCTCGTCGCCGCGATCGCGCAGCTAGGGCGCATCGATCTTGCTGCCGCGGCCTTCGAATCCGTGCCATACCCTGACGTGATCTCCTGGAACACGATAATCACAGCTTACACCTCCATTGGACTGCTAGGCCACGCCCGCCGCTACTACGAGGCAATGCCCGAGAGGAATCTAGTATCCTCGAATGCGATGATTGCGGCATATTCCCGGGCCGGGCATCTGGACGACGCAAAGCGAATCTTTGACAGCATGACGCAGAAGAATATTGTGTCATGGACGTCGATGCTTACGGCATATACCCATGGTAGGCATCTACGAGATGCTCGCCGCGTGTTTGATTCTATGCCGGAGTGGAACGTCGTGGCATGGTGTGCTATGATCACGGCTTATTTCCAATCAGGATCTCTGGAGAGTTCATGGGAATTTTTTAGGGATATTCCAGAACCTAACATTGTTGCCTGGAATGCAATAATCTCAGCCGTTGCAATGAGTGGAGATTTGGATCAAGCGTCAGAAATGTTTAAGAAAATCCCCCAGCGTAATATCGTGACGTGGACAGTGTTACTTGTGGCATATGCCCAGGCAGGGTATGTGGAGGAGGCCAAGTATGTGTTTGATAGGACGCCCGAAAGGAATCTGGAAATGTGGACCGGGCTAGCAATGGCTTATGCCCTCACTGGGCATACTGAGAGTCTCCGAGCGCTTGTAGTGAGCCTTCCATTTTGTAATGTGGTATCTGACACAGCCCTTCTATGGGCATATTCCCAGCTTGGGAATATCCAAGCAGCAAAAGAAGTGTTTGATCAAATGTGCGAAAGGAACGAGATTACGTGGAACTCTATGATCGCTGCTTATGCCCAGACTGGGCATCTTTCAAAGGCACGGAGCTTGTTTGATGCGAGCGATGGTCGAAGATCTAACCTTGTGAGCTGCACGACTATCATACAAGCTTATGTCTGCTGTGGATATGCGAAGGAATCTCTCTCGCTGTTGTTTGATGCCATTGTGGAAGGGATCGAGCTCGATTCCATCGTGTTTGTGAGCGCTCTCGTGGCGTGGGGCCTTTGCGGATCTATCTACAAAGCCATGAAGTGCTTCGTTTCAATGCAACAGGACTATGGCGTTGATGCTAGTGCCCAACACTGGCATTGCATCGTGGATCTTCTCGCTCGCAATGGGAAATCTGTGGAAGCTACCGAGCTTTTGGCAAGCATGCCTTTCGAGCCCGATAGTGTGGGTTACACGAGCTTGCTGGAAGCTTGTGACACTCCTGAAAGTGGGATTACCAATGCCACTGCCAAGAACTTCGCGGAGATCCAGCCTCACAGTGCTACTCCTTTATTGTTGCTGTCCAAGAAACTAACGTTTACACAATAAGATCGCTCAATCACTTTGTATATAACATCTAAAGAAAACGATGTCGTAGAAGACATGATGGTAAGTCATGGTGTCAAAGATGCTGGTGGGATCTGGACGTGGAGAACCGATGAGCAGCGAGCAGCCGAGAAGCAGCAAATTGTGGATCTTTTCACCAAGCGGATGAAAGAATCTGGAGATGCCAAGGATCTCCTTGAAAGCAAGCGCATCCACGTAGAGATCAAAGAGAAGGGGCTGGGTCGGAACAGGCTGCTCACAAATCTTCTGATTGAAATGTATGGCAAGTGTGGGAACCTCGAAGATGCAAAAGATGTTTACACAAACATGCATCATCCGAATGTGTTCTCGGGAAACATCATGATGAACGCGCTCATTAAAAACGGGCATCTTCAGCAAGCTAGAAATGTGTTCGATCGAATGCGCGAGAAGAGTGCGGTGTCCTGGAATACGATAATTGCGGCATATGCCCAAGTTGGGGATATGCGGGAAGCTATGAGAATATTTGACGAGATGCCTTCTCCAAACGTGGTAACTTGGAACTCGCTGCTTGCCGGATACTCGGAACAAAAGGATCTGGAATCTGCAAAGAGGATCTTTAACAAAATGGGAAAGAAAAACCAGGTATCATGGACAACCATGGCTCTAGCTTATGCCCAATGCGGGCATTTGGAGAAATCCCAGAAATTATTCGAGGAGATGCCTGACAAGGATGAGATTTCGTGGACGGCCATGATCTCCGCTTACGCAATCAATGGCCACATAGAGGGCGCACGCAGTGTATTCGATCGAATGCCCTTTGAGAAAAACGTGGTGGCGTGGACAGCCATGCTTAATGCTTACACTCAGGGAGGGTATCTCGAAGATGCCAAGAATCTCTTTTGGCAGATGCCAGACAGGAATGTGGTGTCGTGGACGGTGTTGATTCAAGCGTGTGTGGACAATGGAAACATATCCGACGCTAAAGAGTTCTTTGACAAAATGCCACAAAGGAATCTACTGTCGTGGACAACGATGATCGTTGGATATGCCCACAAAGGGCATTTGCGCCAGGCATGGAGCCTGTTCCAACAGCTGCCGTACTGGGACCAGGTCTCGTGGACCGCTATGTTCCAGGCGTATGCACGGCATGGCCACATCTTGCGAGCCAGGGTAATGTTTGAGCGTATGCCGTACCACGACGTGGTGGCATGGGCCGCGATGGTCCACTCGTATGCCCTGACAGGGCATACGCTGGAGGTGTTTGAGGTGTTCCAGCTCCTGCTACTCGAGGGCGAAACGCCCGATGATGGAGTGTTCGTGAGCGTTTTGACCGCCTGCAGCCACAGGGGCTTCTACAAGGAAGGCTTGCGTTACTTCAAGTCAATGATGGGCGACCACGGCGCAAAGCCAATGGTGGATCACTACCACTGTTTGATGGATATCTTGGGTCGATTGGGTCGCCTGGAAGAGGCCGAGGAGCTCTTTGCGATGATGCCATTCTCGAGAAAATCGCTGGGGTGGATGACGCTACTAGGTAGCTGTAGAATTCATCGCGAGTTTGACAGAGCCCAAGAGATCGCTGGAAAGGCTGTGGACTCTGGGAGTGGCAATCACTCGATGTATGTGATGCTGGGAAATATATACAGGAGAAAGTAAAGGTATGATAAAGGAAGGAAAGGAGAGATGAGATGTGATCATTCTAACCTTGGTTTAAAGGAAGAGAATTACTGCAATGGTTGTTACCGTTTTACCTTGCAACGTTCGACTGCCACCTAAGACGCAAACCGTTTGTCCTCGAGGTAACTGTTTTTTTCTCTTTGTGTGGGTGTTTTCTATCGGTTGTTTCATGTGGAACAGGCTGCCGATAGATAGGTTTGTCTCAAGCTGGAATTTTTTTCCCATCCATCGGGAATTCGAGCATGGTTATCAGATTCGAGGTCTCGCAAGAGCGAAAAAAAATGGAACCAAGAGTGGCAAGATCGAAGGTAGGCCGCCCAGAAGAACAATGCGAGGACCAAGTTTCATGCAAGGAAGCTTGCTGTAGCTGCTGTGGCGGGCTCACTGGGATTTGCGCGGCGTTTTGCTGCTGCCCACTCACGATCCTCCCGCTGGCGGGATTCGTGTGCGTCAAGATCCCCGCCAAGCTCGCCAAGAGATTCGCGAGGAGGTTGAGGAAGCAGCCCAGCCGGAAGCTATGGAGGATGGGATCGTCCGAAAGAGGGCGGCCTGTGAGCCTCAATCTCTTTGGCAGCGGCAGGATCCAGGGTGGCGACGAGCAGCTACGATTCGTGGAGAGCGTGGGATTTGGGAATTCGGGCGATTGGAGGGAGTATTTTGGTGGAGGATCGCGGCGGGGTAGTGGCCGCTGCCCGGAAGAACAAGACGCGTGTAGCTAGATCCTGTAGGTAGGCTAGTTCCTCTACTTGTATAAAGTATCCACGAAAGACAAATGTATGTTGGGCATTAGCAAAATTTCTCCAGTCTCTAGGGTTTTTGGCGATTGGAGCGCGCACGGAGAGATCCAGCGCCAGGAAGCTAGGTAATCCAAGATCTCGCGTCTTCCTCCTCGATTCAGCTAGAAATATCTCTCCTCAGCGATGGAGGATCTCCCGGAGGAGCTGAGGACTCCTCCCGTTGCGCTCGCCGCGCTGGTGGGAATGCCCGAGCTTCATCCACAGATTTCGATGTCGCTCCACACGGAGCAGCCGCCGATCAACACCCTGGCGCTTCCGGATTTCTCCAAGGTGGCTGTGATTGGAGGCAAGGAGGGAGCTCCGCTCGAGGCTAGGATTCCAGCTCCAGCAGGGGTCCTCAAGGCCGATTGGATGCACAAGCATCGAACCAAAGTTCCTGCCGTGTTGGCTGTGCTCTTCGATCGAGAGCAAGTTAACGGGGATCCAGCGCAATGGATGGAAGTTTGTAGCCATCTAGACAATGTCAGGTTAGTCTTTTGCCTCTTCGTGTTTGTACTCTAACTGAGACGAGTGTACTAGGAATGTGATTCGCGGAAGGAACACGAAGTTGGTTGTGGCGATCGTCCAGCCAACTCTTCACGGTATTTATATACATTTGTCCCTCTTATAATGAATTTTTTCTTGCATATCCTTCTGTTCAGGTGAAATCAACGATGATCGAACGGCTGCTCTTCGAAAACGTGCAGAGCTTGACAACAAGTGTTGTATGACGTTCATATCTCACGATCCGACTGAATTGAAACGATCTCTCGCGAGGTTCGTTTTTGTTTTTTTGTGCTGGTGAATATCGTTTTCTGTGTACGATGCAGGCTAGGGAGTATTCTGGGGGAGCTTGCAAATCTTTATTACAAAGAACAGTCGCGCCGTGTGAAAGCTCGTCTTGACAAAAAGAACTGGACTGCGACCGAGATTGCTGTTCGTTTCAATTTTAAGGTATTGCCAGCATTTCAAAGCTTTGAACTTCTGATTACTCCGCTGTGATGCAGATGGGTTACTACGCGGAGTTTCGCAGAGATTGGGTGACTGCCCTCAGGTTTTATGAAACGGCGTACACTCTTCTGCTGGAGGTGCTTCTCTTCTA